TATGTGGTCCCTAACTTCCCAATGCCATGTAAAGTTTGTCCCTAACTTCCCAATGCCGTGTATATGTGGTCCCTAACTTACCAGTGCCATGTATATGTGGTCCCTAACTTCCCGATGCCGTGTATATGTGGTCCCTAACTTCCCAATGCCGTGTATATGTGGTCCCTAACTTCCCAATGCCGTGTGTATGTGGTCCCTAACTTCGCAATGCCGTGTATATGTGGTCCCTAACTTCCCAATGCCGTGTATATGTGGTCCCTAACTTCGCAATGCCGTGTATATGTGTTCCCTGACTTCTCAATGCCGTGTATATGTGGTCCCTAACTTCCCAACGCCGTGTATATGTGGTCCCTAACTTCCCAATGCCGTGTATATGTGGTCCCTAACTTCCCAATGCCGTTTTATGTGGTCCCTAACTTCCCAATGCCGTGTATATGTGGTCCCTAACTTCCCAATGCCGTGTATATGTGGTCCCCTACTGCACAGCACCATGTGTATGCCTTCCCTTATTCCCTGCTCAGCGCCGTGTGTACGTAGTTTAATCTGCTGCTTCTGGTATGAGTGGGACTGACGTAAGCTGCTCAAGCCGTCGACAAGCCGCTTTGTTTGCTCAGTAAACAGTCGGTGAATACCAGTAAATACCCTCTTTAGTTTATAGTTCCATGACTTGAATGGGAAGTTGTGGCCACACAGGCCGTAAAGTGAGAGTTGCGGTGACAGCTGAGTTGTCTCTTCCTGAAAATGACCTCATTCCTGAATAACCATGTCATAAAGACAGAGTACATGCGTAAAGACACACACTGGTATTACATTCTTAGAGGGAGACATGGAATGCAATGAAATGCATATGACGTCCACGACTGATACTAGTGAGTGAGTTTGGTTTTACGCCGCTTTTAGCAATATTGCAGCAATATCACGGCGGGGGACACCAGAAATGGGCTTCACACGACTGATACTAAATCTTATTGGTTCTCTGCGAATAAAGTAAAAACACATAAGCCCTTTTGAATATAAATTTTGAAAACGAATGTTGTTAAACTTTTTGTTCTCAAATGTAACACACATTATTGTGTCAAGTCTTATACGTCGCTCAACTGACCATGATGTTACGTGTACTACAATGAAAAGAAAAGACAAAACAAAGGGTCATTTGTGAAATTATTGCAAAGAAAATGTGGAACTGATTGAAATGGAAAGGTCTGTCGGGGGGGGGGGGGGGGGGGGGGGGGGGGTTGAATTCACATGTTTCTTCGGACGATATTGAATACAAAGCAGACTTGTCCTAGTTATCTGTGTTATTAGCTCAAGATATTTACACGAACTCGATGTTCATTGAAGGAATGAATGCCCCGAGAAAGATACCCGAAAACCCAATTTGAATTGCGTGTAACGGTTGCCTGGTACTTTAATTTCAAGACATCAGTGCTTGGTTATGGACCAGACTCTACAATGAAAACACAAGGTGGCGTTATTAAAGAAGTCAAAGTATTTCATGTCTCTGTTTCTCATTGCATAAACGTATATAACCATGAATAATATATAATAAACCAGTTTTTTCGACAGTAATTTGACAACATCTGTTTTATCTCATAAAATACTAGTCAATGTGTTGCCAAAGCGTATAGTGGTGTTTGCGTTTTAAGACTGAGTGGAGACTTGTAAAGTTTTGTCGGAATTTTACTTCCGTCGGTTGTGTTTCTTTCTGAACCTTCACAAATACCAGGGGATATTACATTTACCATTGGTGTATGTTGCAACACCATCCAATTGCATACCAGACGAAAATTTATTGTATTAAGAAATGTGGTTGAATCGTTTATTGTCAGCAAATCATACACTGTTAAATATTGACACGCTATTACATTTGGTCTACTGAGTAACACGTCAAGGTCACCTACTGACCGTAGTAGTTAAACGTTTAGATCGGTTTGTAGAAATATGTTCGTGTACTGTGTTCTTTTCTGTGGGTAAAATATCATTAAAATCAGGTACCCATCTGCGTCAAGACTGAGATTGCCGTAAGTAATTTTGTCTTTATTTTATGGATTTCTTTAATTTGATCCTGGGTAACGACAAACTTGGTAGTCATGGTTCGACACGACCACTGGTCAGCAGTCCGGGACTTGTGAATACCTGAAGGATGAATTGTTTGATAGGCATTATTTAGAAGTTGACGGATGACAAAGTAGACACAATTCATGGATAACAGCTTCTTTAATAACTGTGAAGGCGACGTATAAGGATCTATACTGAAACGTCGCCTTCATAGCTTTTAAAGAAGTTGTTATCCATACATTGTGTCTACCTGAAGGATGTTGGGTTTTGCCCCAAATACAGTTTTATCTCATAAGCTACTCGACTGAACAAAGTGTGGATTAGCTATCTCAAATGCTGTCTAACACTATCGTAAAAGTGTAACATTATGACAAACTTGTCATGCCAGAAATAAATCACCGTAACCAACTTTCGATAGCGACCGTGCCGCGCTGATATTAAAAACAACATTTGGATGGTTTAGTTGATACATTAAAACTATTTCATAGCTTTGTGTTTGCGTGACGAAACAGCGTTTAAATCAGTAGGCAACTCGGCCGCCCACGGATTAATAGTATCGTTGGTAGATATATATTATTCAAAGTAAAAATACAGCTCACATTGCCTTTTGTATAAACGTTATCGGTTGATATATGACGCCACCCTACTTTTAAGTGCACCAAATATGTCACAATCAGGAAGATATTGCACCGTTGTCATTCCGGAACATATTTACACCAATATTCCACATTCTCAATGGTTATGTACTGAAAATAAGCAATCGAAACAACATTGACTAAAACTGTGTATACTACAAAAACGTTTATATGAAGTTTACACGATATACGGCTTTTCCATTGGACGAGAGGTCGGTCACATGACCGCGAAACTGAAGTTGATAAGTGTTTGAACCCCTGGGAATTGCCTTGCACGAATAAATACAGAAGCGTTGTTCCTGATCATTTAGACCCTTTTATCTTGAACTTATCGTTTTAGCATACACTGGGATCCGTCGGAGAGTGTGACTGAATGCCCGTTCAAGGATACCCTCGCTAAACCAATCCCAGAGAACAAAACGGAGTAAAGCACAGCCTAACTATCGTAGCAGCAACTCTATCCGTGGCTAGAGTACAGTGACAGTCTACAGCAATCTATGAATTTAACTTAATATCTGTTTGACACATATCTATAATCAAATTTCAATGATCGGCGATTTGATCAATCATTACATACACTTGATATAGCCACATGTTCACTAACATCTCTCCCGTTACGTTTATCGTGTCGGCCATTTTGACGTCTTGTACTTGGACATGTAAATGTATTACGACGCGCTGTCATTGTGACTGACTTACTGAGGTAGTTCTTAACAGACCTTTATCATCCAAACGGGTTAAACGCCGCACTTCGCAATATTCCAGCTATCTGACGGTGGTCTGTAAACAATTGAGACTGGACCCGAAAATCCAGTAAAATATATCATCGATCCACGCAATTCAATTGGGATACGATGACATGCATCAACCAAGTCAGCGAGCCTGACCTCCCGATGCCGTCAGTCGCCTCTTACGCAGGCTTAGTCGCCTTTTACGACAAGCATGGGTTGCTGAAGACCTTTATTCTAACCCTGATATTCACGGGTGCATTCCGTTTGTTGTGACATAGAAGAAGTCTACAATGTTTAACTCTGTGGTCATTTCAAAATTTCCACTTCACATTTATATTAAACAATGATACAATCACACACCACATTTGAAACAAGATCATCATTAATTGTAGGTCACGAGGTCATTTTTAACAATAACATCCGATATGCTACCCAAACAAGGGTTACCATTACCCGATAGTATTTATCCGAAAGACATGGAGATAAATCTGAGCAAAAGGTTAAAAATACAGTTAAACTTTCTGTTATAACATTTGTGGGGATTCTTTCCGAAAGAGAACAGATACGTGACAACACCATAGTATCTACATTGCATATACGGAGAGAAATAGAAATAATATGCTGACGTATTAGCTTCTCGCGTCTCAATTGCATATATGTCGCGTAAATAATCCAGGTAATAAATTTAGTTTTATTTCTCTTGTATATTTGCCATTTAAACTTATGATATGATATTGAATTAAAACCTATGCCTCTGTCAGTATGTGTTGATGATGCCTCTATCTAGTGCCGTTTGGCACGCTATCCGTACTTCTAAAAACTGCAAAACCCCAAGAGCGCTAATGTTGCGTATTTGGCACAAAGACATTTGTTGCCATATACTCTAAGATCATTATGAAAAACATATTTCCTATTACCCTGTCAAGACGAGTGAAATCATCTTCAAAATGCTGACCTCAGCGTATATCGGACCCTTTCCCGAATGTTAAAAAAATAGTAAATGTTGACGCCAGAGAATAACCAGTCTCGATTATCCACTGAAACAGATTTCATTGGGCGTAAAGGCGAAATAGCAGTGACAATTATATGAATGAATTATATGATGAATGTTAATCTTTATGTGATGTTCAGTGCATGATAATTGCGTATTGACAAGATTGACATAGCCGAGGAACCGTTTTGAATGTATTTAGACGAGAAACGTTTGGTCGGGAATGATAAGACAGGAATACAGAAAATCCACATTCATTTGAATGAACCCAACAGCAGGATGCATTGTTTCTTCCCGAGACGTTCACTGGGAAGAATATTGGAGGAGTTTCAAACAGTTCAAATGTATTTGAAAATTGATAAATAATTTGTATATCTTGTGATTGTTTAAATTGCTTTAATGTTATTGTGTTAATGAACTTAGTGAAGCACTCGCTCACTCACTAACTCACTCTTCCATTTCGCTATCTATTCACTGTTCTGCAAGTGAGTGAAGGGGCGCCAGGGCGTTTGAAACAAGTCAGTTTAACATATTATTGATCGCTGTTATAAATATGGAATACAGATGTTACGTTATTTCTTTCAGCGTGTTTTCCATGCAACGACGGTGAATTTCAGTGTGACAACTGCCGGTGTATATTGGATACCTACCTCTGCGACCACGACAACGACTGCGGCGACAACTCAGACGAGAAGAGTAATTGCAGTAAGTCACAGCAATACTGATACTCTTCCTACGTACATTCCGAGCAATCTTTGTATATCAGTGCTTTTAAAAAGATACTTCTACGCTGAGATTATAGATGTTTTCCGATAATACATATCAACGTCAGTATTATAATTGTACAATAATTTGTGTTTTGATTTTTCTGTACAAGGACTTCAAAAGCCAGTCATTTATACGTGTCTTCACGTCTAATGCTAATCGTTTGATACAAATAGTCCAGACCCGGATAAGGCTACTTTCAAACTACATGGGTAGGGAACACGTGAACACGTGGTTGACTTATGAATGTCATTTGAGGTTTGTTTGTTTGTTGTTAAACGCCGCACACAGCAATATTCCACCTAGATGACGGCGGTCTGTTAATAATCGACTCTGGACAAGACAATCCAGTGATTGATATCATCAGCATCGATCCTCGCCACTCGCATCCACCCGATCCCGTTAGTCGCCTCTTATGACAAACGTAGTCTCCTTTTATGGTAGTCATGGGTTGCTGAAAACCTATTCTGACCCTGATCTTCACGGGTGCACTTGAGGTACTACCGAAATCTCGCACTGAAAGAATAAATCTGTAAAAGTCCGGAAACATCCCTGTGTTCATTGATAAATCCCTATTAAAGATAGAGGAGCAAGTGTTTCGTGCCATGAACCAAACACAGACACAGCCTGCAGTTAAGTTAAACTGCCCTGTGATTCACACTCATTAACTTAGAGCGACAAAAAAACATTTCCTTAATCATGAGAAGTCTCTACTGAAAGCGGAGTTCATTGAACTATTCCGACTATGTCGTAAACATTTGTTTATAGATCACTATCAACTAGTGATGATGCTAGGTGATCGCGAAGCGTCCGCGTATCCTGACCCACCGGTGGCACCCGTCAACAGATGCAATAAAGGCACATCGCCAGCAGCACTTGTCACTACCCTATTCCAGATAAGTTGTCTCTTACAGCAGGCACGGGATACTCAGGATTGACGTCCATGTAACTATGACCCTGTTGGTCTTATAGGCCACATATGCAGATCAAGGGATCAGATATGCGTCTCTGTACAAAGGAGATAGGGATATAAAAACAACTCAGAGAGAGTAAGCAGGTCGAACTTCACCAAGAACAAACCATGCAGTGATATGATTTATGGAGGGATGTTGGTCTAGAAACCGCTTATTAGTGGTGTGAATTATATGGTCCAGCAACGATTCACACAATAGTGTGATGTATGAAGCAGTTGAGTTCCGCGCTTTACTTAAACAGTTTATCAACATTGAGGCACAGTGCACTGTAATAAAGTGTAGAGGATGTGAACACATACAAGACATGTTTAGATTTATACACGTTCTGGAATGTGTTTTGATCCAAAACGGAATACACATTTGCTGTGTTCTAGCTAAACACGTTTAAGCTATCGTCTCAGGCTAAACACCACCTAAACACGACATCCCTATGATCTAAACGTGTTTTGAATTTAAACACGTTTAAACATGTTAACAACTTAAATATGTTTAAAAAAAAGTTCGTACCATAAAGCAATAAGTCAAATATGGATAATATGTACAGTAAACTACGGTTATAACGAACTCAAAGGGACTACTAATTTTAGTTCGTTATAACCGTAGTTTGTTATAAGTACATATACAGCATGACTACAGCAAGTAGTCGGGACCAAAAAGTAAGTTCGTTATATCCGTCAGTTCGTTATAGGCGTGTTCGTTATAACCGTAGTTTACTGTATAATACATATTGAAATTAGATGTGGAAATCACAACATAAATATCACCTGAACTTACAGCAAACTGTGTACACTACCAATACAAAATATACAAATAAACCAAGTTACGTTCATGGTGACGAGGACAGTTGACGTTTAAGGCAAGTCTACGTAGCACAGGTGGTAACGTGAAGCACTTCAAACCGAGAAGTTGCCGGTTCGTATCCCGCCGAGGTTCAAAAAGTGTTGTGTTAAAAAAATTGTTGCTGTGTGTCTGATAGTATTTCTCTGATATAGGAACACGGAAGCTGACAAGAAGGAATATCTGATTACTACGATAGACCCTTAACTTTGTTAGTTAAACCCCTCCCCCCATTCTTCTGAATACCCATTAAACGCTACAATTAACCATACCAAGCGCCTCCTTTTTGAAATAACCGACAAAGAAGGTAGTATACGTATCAAGGTATCCGGGTATCATTGGGTGTAAAGGCGTCTTACACCCATTTACCCCCCAAATCTGTTTAACTGTAAAACACAATCCTAAACATGTCAAAATTATAGGACATTTTTTACAGTGTAGTGACTATGGTTTGTAGTGACATAAGTCCAGTAGCGATTACGTGGTAATTGAGTTTATAGTGGCAGAGGTCCAGTGGCAAATCCTTGAGTGAGATGGTTTTGACGCTGCTTTGAACCGTTTTTCTGTTACATCACGGCGTGTCAGCTTGGTGTGGGAGGAAAACCTGAGCTTGTACATACATGTAGCACTTAGTTGAAACCAACCAGATTATGGTGCTGACAAACCTAGAAACATAAGCAGGCCTAACCTCGAACCTTTGAGGACAGTTGAGTTTATACGGTGACGTGGCCAGGATCGATGTCTTTTTGCATGGTTAATAGTGCCACGTGGGAACCACAACAGGTGCGTCAAACGCTTCATGCTCGTATATTCTCTGCATGCCCCACGTGTTGTTGTATGTGTTGCAGTGGGGTTAATCCCCCTGCATGTTAGATGAATAATGCATCGCCACCTGCAAACGGTAGATATGGCGTCACTGACGAAGAAGCCACACACTATGGTAGTAATTATAATTCTATTCGAAGGTGATATTGAGGAAGTACAGAAGTTAGGAATCACTCACGTCAGCCAGATTTTGACAGGTTTATTTGGAATTACTTTCTTTTATTATCTGTTCGTGAAGTGGTTACGGACACCGAGGACACCTGGGTCGTAATCCGTGTCTAGTAACGATACTCTCCGTGAGTGTTGGAAATAGACGTGATAAGTATCATTCAAACAAATCAACATACACCAACAGTAATTAATGATTCTCTGACGCACTGGTTACATTATCTATGACCAAGCAGTTCGGTGTGGTTGTTTGTGTGCTTTGAGACAGTTTAAGGATGATCTGTGGTCTGTAAATGTGATGCTTAACGTTTCTAATGTGAGTGAATGTGGTATTACGCCGCTTTTAGCAATAGTCCAGACAGACCAAGGCTGGGACATCGTGACTGAATATAGTTTTACGCCGCTTTTAGCAATAGTCAATACTGTGCATGGAGGCTTTTGATAATGCTACTATTCCGTAGGTACAGACATTAACTTATGACACGTTACTGTGTATACTGACTTTTGAAAACGAATCTTTCTTATCTAGAAGAATCCTCCATGTGTTATGTGTTTTTAAGATTCCGTAAATCGGATGTTCCTGTTAGCTGTTTCGAGCTTGGTGACAAATGCACAAATGCAAAGAATGTTATAGCTGTATTGTGTTACAGGCTGTTTGTATTATCGCTTTTGTAACCCGTGACTCATTGTGACAGAACATGTATGACATGTTGCATGAACTATTCAGGCATATTATAAGCCAGTTAATTTATTTGTTATACGTCCCGTGAGGATTCCGGGTTAGAAGAGATCTCCAGCAACCCATGGTGGTCGTAGGGAGCGACTAAACTGATCGGGTGGTCGGTGTGGATCGTTGGCCAAGATGTTTAACTTAACCACCCACATACCTTCCAGTGATCTACCCACCTGAACTAGACATGGAGGAGACCAGTAAAAGCGCCCCATCTGTTCATATTTTGATCTGTGCATAAAGATTGACCAAAAAACCTCCACAAGACTGTATGACAAAAAGGATGACTTCAACATTTCGATAGTCGACATTCCCTTTTTGTCGGGTAATATTCCAGCAACTCCAACCTTTGGTTTCAACATTTCAAAGAGCGTCGTACGACTCTTACTCAAAAGTTGTTTGATCAGGGTTACAACATTAAAGGCCTCAGTAGAGCTTTCAAAAAGTTTGATGGTAGACATGTGCAGGACATTTCCAAATTTGATGCCCGTTGCAATTCCCTATTTTGCCTTGTACCATTGTGTTCCCTTGGTTTTTAAGACAACAATTAACTTGTTTTTGGCTGTGTTTGTGATGGATGCCACCGTTGGGGCAGGATACGCTCACCTTTTCGCGAACACCTAGTATCATCACTATTTGATAGTGATTCATAAAACATGCTTATGATATAGTAGGAATCGTACAGTGGTTTCAGCATTTAGCATTTATGGAAATAGGTTTTGGCGCTTAAATTATTATCATTATCTGGTCAAGTCTGGATTATTTTAACGGACGCCGTCATACAGCTGGAATATTACAGACTTCGGCGTTGAAAAACAAACAAACAAGCAAACAAACGAACAAACAATTCTCGACAAGACCAAACAGAGAACTACACCGTCGTGCTGCCGTATGTACAAGTTAGTATAGAAATGTTTGTATGTTACAGCATACCCGGGGTGTTCAGGTTTTGAGTTCAGCTGCAGGAACCAGCGTTGTGTGTCCCAGAAATGGGTGTGTGATGGTAGCGATGACTGCGGAGACGGTTCGGATGAGCTCAACTGTGGTAAGTACCTTCCCAGCCACACGTTTATATAAATACTTGGCAACTGGGTGATATAATATCATTTTATTATAATAATGTGTGATTTCATCAGAATACCCGATAAAGGTTATTGTTTCATAAGACGGTATACACTTTTAATTTTCTTCGGAATTCCTTTTGAATTATTTGTTTCAAAAGAAGGTACACCTCTTTATATGTAAACGGTAAATACGTTACAAACAACGAATGTTACTGAAGTATGCATAGGTTCTGGCGTTTGTTATCAATTGAAAAGAATCCTTGCTTTGATCAATGTACGTTAAATGTACTATTTGGAACAGTTGTGTTGTTATATTGTGCATATTGAAAGAACCAGTGTAGTGTTAACGGTGCAATGTATACTAAGGCATACAAACCTATCTGTATTTGTTTAATGGTTTATTCGCATGTCGACTCTATGGGAAATATTATTTCAGATAAATACGCCTGCCTTCCCCAGGAGTGGGCATGTCCTTCCAGTGGTTATTGCATCCTTATATCCGATGTCTGTGACAACACTGACGACTGCAGCGCCGGGGACGATGAGGTGGAGGGTTGTAGTAAGTATACTTAGTAAAGTCTCCCTCAAGACAAGGAAAACAAGTATTCTGGAACAGTCTTCAGGTTGTCTAAACCATATTTCTCCGGTAACCGAGACAATTTGGAGACAATTCTTGGTTTTTAAACACTCCTACGCAAGCGTGTCATTAATAGGCTTGTTTTCATTCAAGGCTCATCAAGTTGTACCCAGCTGTCATGTGATCATGCCTGTCGCCCCAGCCCCTCAGGCGGCACGTGCTACTGTAATGCGGGATTTACCATCGACCCCACGGACAACAGAACATGCATTGGTAAGATATCACAGCATATACATGGATATGTGCGTGTTATGATCAAATAATTTACCTCAAACTCTAAGAAGTAAAGAACACTGTACAAAGGTTCCATGCTTAGAATGAATAGTAAGTCCAAACAATATTGCTTACAGATTTTGACGAGTGTTCAACCTGGGGGTTCTGCGACCAGGGCTGTGTGAACACCATTGGTTCCTACAGCTGCAGCTGTGACGCCGGCTACACCCTCTCCTCCGACAACATCTGTACAGCCAACGATGGTGAGACGCAGCTGACGGACGTATAAGATCTGTGTCAAACGTCCGCGATATACGCCCATGTTTGATGGTGTCTAAAATGAAAATTAAACAGGAAATGCGTATTCGATGGTGTTGTATTTGATACCGGTATCATCGTTGTCCATTGGACCTTAAGTTTGCATGTCGTTGGGAGACTGTTTTCATCCTGGTAACCTTTTGATATTGTTTATAATTTTGTGATATAATTTTCAAGTGTATACTTTCTTTTGCCTGGCTGAAGCCCACTTCTGGTGTCCCCCGCCGTGATATTGCTGGAATATTGCTAAAAGCGGCGTGAAACCAAACTCACTCACTCACTCTTTTGCCCGGCAGTTTACTTCTGTCACAAACCATTTACAGATGACCACACGAGTTCTCGCTTTGCGTAACGACTGAATAGAGTATCGTAAAATGGTATCAGAAGAGAACGCGTATGGTATTATTTTATTCACTACCAACGTTAGATATGCAGTTGAATGTAAATAATTTGAGAACAATTTTTACAGAACCGAAGCATATCGTTAGTCCTGTTGCGCATGAATACAGATATGCCCAAATATGAGTTATTTTCATAACCCTCAACAAAGAGTTTCTGCAACAAGGTTACGTCAAATTTACGGAGATGCCAACGAAATCGTCAGGCACTTGTACAATTAGTGCGTATGTGAAATACCAGTATCATATGTCATTTGTCATTATCAAAGTAACTCAAACAAAAGTCTTTTGATATGATGCTGAAAACGTATTAGTTTATTTAGTAGCACTTTCAATGGTACACTTTCAGGCGGCACGATGAACATTGTATTGTCGACGGGCAAGAGTGTGATTACGATGGATCGAGATGGTCAGAACGTGGTGGAGCGTATGACGGCGTCCGTGTCGGACCTGGACGTCAGTGTACACAACAACCTCATCTTCTACATCAACTCCACTGACAAGAAGGTACAGTAACCGCTTAATTTCTCCAGTCCATGGCCAAGAACCATGTGACCAAGCAGATAGCATGTAACAACATTGTTCTCTCTGTATGCCATTGGGATTGCTCTTTTGAAATCCCAATTCCTATGTACATTGTCTGTGCGCTTTATGTGTACCGGATGTATGTCTGTTACCATCAGGTGTCTGTGTCTGTTTTCCATCAGGTGTACCAGGTGAACATCAATGGCAATTCAGGTCGGCGACTGCTGCCGACGCAAGGCGTATCCAACCCTCAAGCCATCGCCTACGACTGGATAGGCAACAACCTCTACATGGCCGAGAGGGACAGCGCCAGGATTGACCTATTTTCCCTCAGCAATGACAAACAACGTAACATCATATCAAATGAGCTCAAGTGGCCAGCATCTATTGCCCTTGATCCAGTGAAAGGGTGAGTATTTCATTTCATGTTGTTTTATGAATTTTTGGAAGATGTTCAATTCTGCAGAGTGTTGTAATGAGTTGTTGAAATAATATCATGTAACTCCTATAAACCTTGTCCCTGTCAATTTTTAATCACCGTTAAAACAAACTCACGCATTTCTTGTCTGCTGTGGAGATACGGGCTACACTGAACCTTCCAACATCAATCCCTGCTTCCACGCCATCCACCCGTGTGTGTCATACTTCCATTGTCCTGTTTTTCAGGTACATGTTTTTTACAGACATGGGTACCACGGACACTCCCAACTCCGCCAAGATAGAGCGGGCGTACATGGACGGCAGTCACAGGATGGTGTTCCATCTGACCAAAATCCGGGCTCCTCGTTCCCTCGCTGTCGACCTCGCTGCTGAGCGGGTGTATTGGATAGACACCCATCTGGATCATCTGGAAACTGTGGACTACAATGGACTGGACAGGTGGGTCTGCTGTGGCCACACTAATCATTCTGTGATGACATCAATCATGTTTAGTGAAAGTAAGGCCCACATATATCGTCGGATTATATGTTTTCGAACATCATACGTTTTCGGACGGCCATGTTTATAGTGATTACTCGCGCTATAACGAGGTGTGTGGCGTCACAGACATTGTATATACTTGGATGATGGCTTGTTTTTAAGATAAAGTTGTCTTTTATAGGTGAGTGAGATGTTTTACAGTTGTTCATGTGATTAGCGGGAAAAGTACTTAATGTTTCTTTAGCGTCCGAAAACCCATATCACGAGGATACATACAATGGAAGTTAGGATTGAAAATTGATTTATTGATAAGATATTTACTGTGTTGGAATGGAATGTATTTAATGCTATATGCATTTATTTAAATAAACCCATCTGAAATATATGAGATAGAAGGGTTAAGATAAATGGCGTTGATTTTAAATATAATGATTCATGAACATGTTCATGCCTACTTTGTAACCGCCTCCATGGTCTAGTGGATAGAGTGTCAGTCAGGAGAACGAAAGATTGGTGGTTTTATACCCTGGCCGCGTTTTGTCAAAAGACGTTGAAAGATGACAGTTTCTGTTACCGTGCCTGGAAAGGATGCTTTCAACTAATCTGAGTAGTGGGACTTGAATTGACTGGCAGGCTCGGTATGCGCGGTAAACTGTGGGCTAGGACTACAAAACCGACATATGCACGGACCACATAAACGTGCATGCACGTCGTTATGTTTATCAAATAATCTTGAACGCGACGTCGAACCTCATTTCAACTCGCCTCCTACCTGCCTGTGTTGCATCACGTACACCTGAACTCAAACATCGTTATTCCAATTCGCGCTAATTAAGAAACCTCTGCTGAAATTCTCGACAGTTATAATTGGTAACGACTTCATCTATATATAGGGACATTGCTGCTTAACAACTAACAGTTAATCCGGACAATCGCTAATCCGGACGATTTTCCTGTAACGGTAACGTATGGAATAACGGGGTTTCTCTATACTGAGGTTTTCTAAGCATGTTTGTTTTAAGCATATGTTATTCTGGCTGTATGTTATAGGCACACAGTGATACGGGGCGGGTTAAACATCCCTGCAGGATCCAGCCTCGCGGTGTTTGAGAACCAAGTCTACTGGTCAGACATCACCAAGATGGGGCTACTACACTGTAGCAAGTCGAACGGACAGAAGACCATCACACAGATCTACAAGGATGGTGGGGTCAAGCCGACCAGCGTAAAGGTCTTCCATCAAACCGTGCAGCCGATGCAGAAACGAAGTGAGGGTCATAAATGTCACCGAGATCTACAAGTTCATTAAACAAACAGGCTGTTTTTGCAGTGTTGGGATCAGACACAACACCTAAAGGTTGTGGACATCTTTACTGTGGTCGTCAAATTAAAGCTAATTTTGGAATGATGTCTTTCAAGAACTAATTTCAGTCGTCTCGAAGGGACCAGATAAAGTTTCAACATCAATAAATATGTTCTGGCCGTCGCTTTCACACAGTGACCTTTAGTATTCAAGTACAGTAGACTACGGTTAAAACGAACACGCATACAACGAACTGACGGATATAACGAACTTACTTTTTGGTCCCTACTATTTGCTGTAGTTATGCTGTATATATGCTTATAGCGAACTACGGTTATAACGAACTAAAATTAGTAGTCCCTTTTGAGTTCGTTATAACCGTACTTTACTGTTATATAAGTGAGCGTCTGTTTAAACAGTCTATTTTAGTCAATGAAAGGGCCAAATGGATCAGAAAAAGTGTTATGAAACATTTATTCTGGTTGTCAATTAAGAATTTTCTGGTTAAATTTGGTTAACATTTCTTCTAACAAAGCATAATGTTATCCAAGTACGTCCTATAGATTTCGAAATGTCACATAACAATAATTAGTGTGATAACATCTTCAATAATTAACCTTTTCAGTTTTAAGCTAGACACATATCAGTTCCTAATGTTCTCCCTCCAGCAAACCCTTGTGCGTCTGGACCTTGCAGCCACATCTGCGTCGTCACCCACACCACCGACAACGCCGACCTCGGTTACCGCTGCATGTGTAACGCAGGTTTTACATTGGAGAAGAACCGCGTCAACTGCACAAGTGAGTCCTTATATACACGATACAGTGATTCTATGTGGGTGATATACGTGTGTGGATGATGAGACGGACCAGTGATTGATTGTGTGAACGTTGACCAAAATGATCAGGATGCGATGGCGTGCTAAATCAACGAACATATACTGTCTTCTCAGAATCTCTCTTATCAAAGTGTCAGTTATGACCATATACGATTTACAACGAGCATGTGCTGATAGGTTATTTAACAAGAATCGGTTACCCATGTAGGAGTAAGTGGGTGAGTGGGTTTTACGCCGCTTTTACCAATATTCCAGAAATATCACGGCGAGGGCCACCAGAAATGGGCGTCCAATGTTTGGAACGGACCCTGGCCTTCGGCGTTTCAATGCAACTGAAATATATATGTATTTGTATTCGTTTTGTGTAAAACAATGCCCTTCTTCCCCAGAGGTGACACAGTTTATCCTGTTCGCCTCCATGCAGTCTGTACGTGGAATTCCCCTTGAAGAGCCCACATCTTACGCCACAGACAACATTCCACAAATCACGGGCCACCGTCGGGGTCGCATGGGCATGAACTACGTGGCTGTGGACTATGATGCTGAGAATGAAACTGTGTACTTCTCTGACGTTCGTAACAGAGTCATATACCAGGCACAGGTCGGCCAGTCAGGCAAGTGTACATTCAGCATGTCATTAGTTTATTGGATCGAAGTACCATACTGTTAAGCCGACGTACAGTTTAGTAAATATATTACCCTGCTTGTCTGTACAGATAATGATACTACTGCAACAACACATGGTAGACAATCCCCATGAATCTTAGAACGGCGTTTATGTAAGTGGCGGGTACTACCGGTAGGGCAGTTTTCGCGAACCCCTGGTGTCATCACTGGTTTTCTGTGGTCCATTCATATATTTTCACGACTACTTTGCCCTTTACGCCAAATAGAATCTGGTTATCAAGACTGGTTATTCTCTTACATTGACATTTTATATTTTTTAACGTAGACGTTGAAGCTCAGTTGGTCCGAAAACCTTGGATTTTGAACGATTAATTTTCGCTTGTTAAACAGTAACGCACTTTAGTCAAATAGATCGATAGGGATATCTGTATACTAGTTTAATGTATGCAGTTTAATTATAACACAAAGTTGTTTCCACTTGTCACAGAGGCCACCCCTCTCGTGGTCAATCATATACGTTCCGTGGAGGGCATGTCGATTGACTGGATCGCCAAGAACCTCTACTACACCGACTATGCGCGCAGCTCCATCTCCGTCGTCCGACTGCGCAACCCTGGTGACCGCAGGGACATCATCGAGGACCTCGGAAATCCACGATCTGTTGTCGTTCATCCTTTAAAGGGGTACAGATACTTCTCCTTTCTTATCTATCACATCATTGTTCTTCCTTGAAGGTCTGATCTTCATGATCAGCAACCCATGTATGTCGGGAGAGGCGACTGACCGTATCGGGTGATCAGGCGTGCTGACATGGTTGATACAAGTCATCGTATCCCAACCGTGTAGATTGGTGCTCATGATGTCAATCACTACATTTTCTTGTACAGACTCGATTATTTACAGACCGCCGTTATATATCTGAAATATTGCTGAGTGCGGCGTTAAACAACAAACAAATCTTGACAACCGTGTATTACTGCATCTATCAACACGTATTGGTGTTCGGCTTTACAACAGTTAGAGCACGGTTTAGTGTTGATGTTGATGTATTACACATTAAAAACAGGGGCTTCCATTCAAGAATCCAATTAATGTAATAATAAATCTTTAAGCGAGATCCTTGTGGAATTGCGTTAAAGTTTTTTTCCGTATGCACAGAGCATCCATCAGATTTACCAGTACAAAGTTGTATGTGGCTTGCTTTTGATTTGTGCCCATGGCATGTCTGTAACCACTTACAACGTCATTAGTTTGATGAACTAGCACAAACTCTCTCCAGAACTACGCTGTGTTTCAGAGAAACATTTGCATGGCTACAAACTAAATACAGTTAGGCCCATATGTCGAACAGGCTCTATTCTAATAAGATCATGATTACATGCCGATGTCCACTTCATGATAACAGTTCGTTGAGAATCAGCAACATTATTAACGTATCGCTGCAGCTGGCTGTTCTTCACCGACTGGCTGCGGAACTCCATGCAGACCCCCTACATTGCCAGAGCCTACAGTGACGGCAGCAACGTCACCAAGATTCGGGAACATGAGCTTGGCTGGCCCAACGGCCTCTGCATAGACTTTGCCGCCAACCGACTGTACTGGGTGGACGCTTTCTTTGACAGGTACCCGTCAATCGTGTACTTGTCAATCGCACGTGGATCACATGAACGCCTTCAACTAATTAAGTGCTGTAACTTTAAATGTTCATTTTCCTTATTCCTTATTTCCCCTTTTCCTGCTAGCGTATGGAGTATTATAATTACATAATAGTTAAAAGAATGTGTCATTTTTTAAACGCATATTGCAGTGCTTCAACCTTTGCTATGTAATCTATTCTTTACGTCTCCTATATCTTGTGCATATGGCGTTCCATCATTGAATGATGCTTCATGCTACTGTAAAATGGCCCCTTCACCAAAATAGACACGGTATCACGTTTGCTATGAAATGCTTATTCCTGTTTTACTTTTGTAAGTACATATTATGATTTCAACCGTTTGTATGTCGTTCTGTTTTGCCTAGAATTCAGCACTCCGATTTCTCTGGAAACGATCTTCAGACCCTTACAGGGCACTCTATCACTCACCCATTTGGAATAGCCATATATAAAGGTCAGTGTTTATGGGGAAAATGCCTTCAGCATGGGCCTGTGCACGATGCCATTAGCCTATTAAACTAGGAGGTGCTACGGACACAATGTCAGTAAATAATAAAAGTAGGTAAGAAATAAATGAAATTGAATTTTTGATGACTTTGTCTTATTATGAGATGTCCAAAATTTAACTTTTTGTAGGCACGGGTCAATATGCTCTGACATCCACCGGAAACATGCCCCTAACACCAGTTATACTTTTGAGTACATACAGGCTTAGTCTTTGCTTGAACGCTTGAACAAAGCTAAAGATATCATTAATTTGAGGAAAACTAAGATTTGATTAAATAACATGAAAACGTACTGCTATGAATTTGTTTCTTTACAGCCTTAATAATAAGAAAGAAAAGTTGAAGCTGCATTACACAATAATAAAGCTACCACAAAGACAACAAAAAGATTGCTCAAATGTCGAAAGTATCTTTATGGACTGTCTTGTTAGGTTGTAACCGACAGCTGCTCTGAACCCACACCACTCACTCACTCACTCACGCACCCTCATATTGCCAGATTACATCTACTACACTGACTGGCGCCTGGAAGCCATTGTGAGGATCAACAAACGTGGTGGTCAGGAAACCAAGATCCGCTCCGGGGTGGGCAAACTGATGGGCATCAGAGTATATGACCACGACCTCCAGCCAGCCTCAAGTAAGTCTTGATTTTCTGTTTGTAAACGTTCTGTGGATATGAAAGTAATGGGATTGTAGTATGTTTACGTAAAACATTCAAAATAGCGTTTCCCAGATAGGACAGTGCTCCTGTCTTCAAATATATGTTTGTTAATTGTTTGACGCCGCTCTCGGCAATATTTTGGCTATATGACAGCGGACTGTTATTAATCGAGCCAAGGCCAGACAATCCAGTGAATACCACCATGAGTATCGATTTACGCAAATGGGATACGATTGTCAACCAAGTCAGCGAGCACGACGATCCCGTTACCCACCGACAAGCATGGGATGCTGGGACCAATTCTCAAATACGTGATATTATTCATTAGTTTCTTTTGGCATATATTCGTCTTTTTCGTTAGTTATTCACTAATTGTGAGGTAGGGTTTGGGTTAAGTTTGCATGTGGCCTTTATGGAAAACAAGAGCAACGCCAGGATGAGCTTTTCTGTACACACATTCACACATTTCTGAAGTTTAATAGCAATATCATTCAAATAAGATCCTACTTCTCGCTTAGCTGAATTTGATGAGATTGTGAGTCAAGGATGGCCCAGTGGTCTAAGGCGACGTTTTGCCGTGCTGCGGTCCATGGTCAAAACTCTTGATCGATGGTCACAGGAAAGCGGTAAACGTCACTTTCCTCTCACTCACACTGCCACGCAGGGTATCGGAGTTGAACCCAACTCACTCACTTACTCCCCCGTGATTGTTTCAGGTCAGAACCCATGCATCCGGAGGAACGGTGACTGTTCCCACTTCTGTTTCCCTGTGCCTATATCTGGAGGTCTGGTGAGGGTGGGGCGCCACTGCGACTGTCCCTACGGAATGAAGCTTGGTGACAACCAACGCACCTGCGCCATCAACCCTGACGAGCCCAACCCCACCAGCTGCCAACATGGGTTGTACCAATGCGACAACGGCCGCTGTATCCCCCGGGGCTACAAGTGTGATGGAGACAACGACTGTCTGGATAACTCAGATGAACAAAACTGTCCAGTTGGTATGTTCACGGGGTGACTGTAGTGGAGCCTGTGTGGTTATGCCGCTATGAGCATCATTAGAGATAAAATACTTGGACAGTTAAGTCAATAACCGCAAGGAAAAATACATTACATTTGTCATTTTGGAAATTCGCTTCTACCATGCGTTGACCAATGCTTTAATGTAATTAATCCAACTGAATTTTGTCATGTGTTACTAAACTGTACCAGTATATGTTGATCATGGTTCGAATATCCATATCACTCAGATTATGATCAATTGACATGTCGGCAGTTGTCTCGTCATTTTAGTGTCATCAAAGTTGATAATGGACTGTCAGGATCTCGATTCAAAACCCGATCGTAGAACTACGAGTGTCGTAACTCTGATGTTTGGGTGTAGAATTCTATAGTTGTGGCGCTATTACTGCTTGTTAAACACTTTAACCCCGTGTCATTTTGACCTTCATCCCACATTCAGCGTCGTGGTAAAAAAAAAGAAATACCGTATGAAGCGTCCTGAAATCAAACTCACCCACCTTTGCTTCTGTTACTGTGTATCAGAGACAACATGTCCCACCAACCGCTTCCGCTGTGATAACAGCCGCTGCATCAGCCGAGTGTGGGCGTGCGATGGCGACAACGACTGCGGGGATATGTCTGACGAAAAGAATTGTCGTAAGTACATTAATTCAATTCCTCTTCAAGTTTACACCATACATTCGTGGAAATGGCCTCACGATACGACTGCTGCACGGGCATTTAAATCACCGCGATGGTCAGTTGGTAACATTGTTGTTAAACTGCGTGTCGGTCAGGCTCAAAACCCGGTTTCGCTTCCCCAATTTTTGCGAAGCCAATTTTTCTGGTTTTCCCTTGTCGGGATATGGCTAGAAATATTGCTAAAAGGGGAGAACACTGACTCACTCACTACATCCCCACGTGCGGTGACAAAACGCCTGTGTTTCAGAACATCAGAAAGTAACCCGTTCAAGCGTACCTAGTCCTAGGACGCCATGGGTCACGAACATATATGTCGTGTTGTTTTACCTTTGTCAACTCCGCAAGGTGTAATGAGTACATAAGTGACTGATTGCTTCCCGTTGTACATCCCCACGTGCGGTGACAAAACGCCTGTGTTTCAGAACATCAGAAAGTAACCCGTTCAAGCGTACCTAGTCCTAGGACGCCATGGGTCACGAACATATATGTCGTGTTGTTTTACCTTTGTCAACTCCGCAAGGTGTAATGAGTACATAAGTGACTGATTGCTTCCCGTTGTACTCCCAAGACCTGATGCGCCAGTGTTCCACATTGCTACTGAACTTAACTAACATGTACATGCAACCGACCCTCTAGTTAATTAGCTCTCTTGGGGTTTTTTTCAGCGGACAAGACATGCAACCCCCTCGAGTTCCACTGTAACAACTCCTTGTGTATCTCACGTCGGCTTGTGTGCGACACCGACAACGACTGCGGAGACGGCTCTGATGAGGGAAATTTTTGTGGTTGGTAAATCATCCCTGCGATGTTTTAACGAATCGACTGAATCACTTACAATACACGACTTACATGAATGCACCATTTACAGCGGGAATGTGCACTGAAATATTACCAGTTCATGGGTAACTCGAATACATGGCTCGACATGATCACAGCGTAACAGCATATACATTCGTATTGAAACATTGAAACAGTCTTACACAAAAATATAAAAATGCACAGACACATATGTTGAATACTGAGATATACTATCCATGGCCAAGGATATAGGTGAAGTTATTTTCAGTATTTTTGTGCTTCACGCCAGAATCCTATGATTGTGGGTTCGAACACTTGTTCGCCCCGATTATGTTTCTAGGTTTGTCAGCTCCATACCCGTGCTCGTGGGTTTCACCGAAGTTGTAAACGTCAAAGGGTCTTCCTCCCACATCAGCTGACACACCGTGATATAACAGTCAGGAATGTTGTTCAAAGCGGCGTTAAACCTAACTCACTCACTCACTCACTCACTCACTCACTCACTTCAGCATTAATTTACTCAGTACAGATAATTTGTAATTCCTCATAACTTGGCTATTCTCCAAATAGAATTATGTTTTCCATACTCTCCGTTGCTGACAACGTGATACTAGTATATAAGAGATGGTTTATAATTGATCCATGCTATTGAATCATCTGCCAGAAACACACACCTGTCCCGTTGGATACTTCAAATGCAATGACAAACGGTGCATCCCGGAGTCGCGCGTCTGCAACGGCGGCAGCGACTGCTTCGACGGCAGCGACGAAGTTGGCTGCCCGCCCCTCAACTGCACGGGATCTCGGTGGACCTGTAAGACCATCCGCCAGTGCGTCCTCAGAAAGTACCGGTGTGACGGCGTGGCTGACTGTCAGGATGAGAGTGATGAACACGAATGTCGTAAGTCACCAATAACCCCTATCTATCATGGAACAAGGAAGTTGAGGTGATCTGGGTTAGAATTGATCTTCAGCAACCCATGCTTGTAAGGGGCGACTAACTCGTCGACTTCGTTGATTGACTAGTTGGGATTTTGTATCGAGATATTTTTATTATTAGCCTGAATTATTGCTTATAAAACAACTTGAAACAATGTATTTTTTTCTGGCAGGCAATTTCCTAGTTTTCAACAGTCTGAAGCAAAATTAAAGAATTTTCGGAGACAATTTATTTTTTCGATAAAATCCCAGCCCTTCCCCCAGCATGTCAAATGGTTGCTCCCTTGTAGAACCAGTCTGTAGAACGTCCGATGTGAACGCCAAAGTGAAATAATATTCATAAATGAAAGAGGCTATGTAGAATCAGGATGTCGCGTTATTATTGTGTCGACATGTTCCCGAAACGTGATGTCACTGTCCCCAGCCACGCGGCCACCGGAAGGCTGCCACTCTGACGAGCTCAAGTGCGGTGTGGGCGGCTGCATCCCCAACAAATGGAAGTGTGATGGACAGGAGGACTGCGAGGACGGTACAGACGAACCTGACACGTGTCGTAAGTACACTTTCAAAATGAGGAGTATCGGTATAGAGACATATAACTAGTCGTGGAAGTCGTAAAAGTAATCGTGACGTAGTTGATGACGTTGTTGTCTCTAGTACGTTGTTGGCGCGTTTACCTCTCAAGACACAATCCACTTCATGCTGAATTTACACTAAATGCATGTTATTCTAAAAAGCTTTGACAGCTTGTGTCTAGGTGGATGACTCGATAATTATTTACAATACGAGTCCATTAGATTTTGTATTTCATTATTCGGGAAATATAAATTGTAAGCAACATCCACATGTCTACCAGGCGTGTGGCAATGCACTTGTATGTGTCTGGTTAAGGTTTCAGCAATTATTTTTGTCATCAGCAACACCAACCTGTTTCGCAAACCGATTCCGCTGTAACAACGGACGCTGCATCTTCAAGGGCTGGGTCTGCGATGGCGATGACGACTGCGGAGACAACTCGGATGAAGATCAAGAAATGACATGTCGTGAGTGGCCCCAGCATTTGATAATTACCTTATTTCAATGTTCCCGACCAGAGTTCGAGATAACGGAGTTAATCATAATGGAATATGTCACTGGGACCCAGTCACATAAGGTCACATGAATACATGGAAGTTACAACAAAATACAACTCATTATGTCTTGAAGTTCTTTTACTAGAACATATACAGTAGAATGCATTTGATGCTATAATGGATCATTCAATTAACTTTCTTTCAGCCCCACCCCCCTTCTCCTGCCCTGGTCAGTGGGAGTGTCCAGGGAATGTCCGCAAGTGTATCAATATAACCCAAGTGTGTGATAAACGGGAGGACTGCCCTGGCGGACACGACGAAAGCCCTGTCTGTAGTGAGTATATACCAGTGCGCATTTGGCAGAGAATATCAGAGCACTGTATGCACGTTGTAGTGAGTATATGTTGAAGCAATGTCTGCAGTGAGTATGAAATAGAGCACTACTTACACAGAATCCAACATCAAATTGTATTCATTGATTATCCGAACGATGAAAAAGTGACACTGGATGCTAGGATTGTTTGCATTGTTCAATGTGTGTCGTGTGTCAGACTTGTGCAAGACATTTCAAAATTTGATCAGTGACCAAAATAATGTCCTTTGTAATTCCCTTTTTTGACTTGTACCACACGTTCCCGTATTTTTTCAGGTGAACAATAGACTTGCCTTTGCATGTGTTTATGACGGGTATCACCGGTGGGGCAGGATACGCTAACCTTTCCGCGAACACTTGGCATCATCACTATTTGATAGTGATTCATAAACACATGCCTATGACATAGTCGGAATCGTAGAATGCTTTCAGCAGAAATTTTGTATGGCTATGGAATTGCTTTTAGTGTATTTTATTTACAATGACTTACGTGCAACATTTACAGCGGTAATGCATTGAAATGGTTTTGTCACTTATACTTACAGATTCTGAAAGTTGTCGCTTCAAAAACGGAGGGTGTAGTCACCGATGTATCCAGACGCCACGGGGGGCGGAGTGCAGGTGCCCCACCGGTCAAGAGCTCAATGATACCAAAGTCTGTATAGGTAAGAGGAGCGGTGGGGTAGCCTAGTGGTAAAAGCGTTGGCTCGTCACGTCGAAGACCCGTTTTCGATTCCCCACATGGGTACAATGTGTGAAGCCCATTTTCCGGTGTCCACCGCCATGATATTGCAGGAATATGTCTAAAAGCAGCGTAAAACCATACTCACTCACCCACTGTATAGGCAAACTGTGCACCATCTGTGTTAGTAAGCTGTGTGAATCAACAGGTATTTGTAAGTAGGCTTTGGCAACTGTATGTTTTGTGTACATCAATGCAGGTACAATTAGATCACTTTGCAATTAACACGCACATGTATCCACCTGTTTAGGTGATCTGTAATCAATGAGGATGTGTACCTTTACGTAGGTAAGCACTGTTAATATCCGTATTAGGCTTGCCTAGTGGTTAAAACCGGCTTGGCCGGGTTCGACCCCCCCCCCCCCCCCCCCCCCCCCCTGGGTGCAATGGGTGCAATTCTGGTGTTCCCACCGTGATACTGTTGGAATATTGCTGAAAGTGGCGTAAAACTGTACTCACTCACTCACTCACTGTATTGGTAAGGTTAAGTCACTGTGTGGCATGTATATGTTTCAGTTTGTATGCGTACTGTAACCTTAGTGTATACAACAAAGTTATTAAGTATTTACCGTTGTGTAACGAAACACCCGTGAAGTACAGATGTTACAATACCTTATTGCAGACACGGACGAGTGCGCTGTGCCGGGTGCGTGCAGTCAGCAGTGCACGAACACCAAGGGTTCGTTCAAGTGCTCGTGCGGGCCCTACTACGACCTGATGCCGGACGGAGTCCACTGCCAGGCCAACCGAAGTAAGCATCAACTGTGCACCGTGTGTTAGGGGTGGAAATATAGCTTCATCGCCTTTACCATTAAACAATGATGCCATTCTACAGTAGACACTGTACTTTAAATATATAACGCCAGAGAATAATCGGTTTCGATAATTTGACGAAACATTCCAATGGACGTAGAAGGCAAAATGGCGGTTGAACATAGATGAATGGATCACTGAAAATCAGAGATGACAGTGCTCGCAAAAGCATGTGACAGAGTACAGATTGTATCATTGGAATGGTGAGCCCTTCACTGCATATAATGGTTAGTCATACACTGTGTGACTGGGATTGATAGACATAAGCCCATGGAAATATTAATCCTATAGTGTTCCAAAACATATGACTAAACACAACTGTATCTGTATAATGGTAAGTCCTCCACTGCTGCTCTGGAATAGTTAGACCTATGACGTATCTCTGAAATGGTTAGACCACTGACGTATCTCTGAAATGGTTAGACCACTGACGTATCTTTGAAATGGTTAGACCACTGACGTATCTCTGGAATGGTTCGATCTATGACGTATCTTTGAAATGGTTAGACCTATGACGTATCTCTGGAATGGTTAGACCTATGACGTATCTCTGGAATGGTTAGACCTATGACGTATCTCTGGAATAGTTAGACCTATGACGTATCTCTGAAATGGTTAGAACACTGACGTATCTCTGAAATGGTTAGACCACTGACGTATCTTTGAAATGGTTAGACCACTGACGAATCTTTGAAATGGTTAGACCACTGACGTATCTCTGGAATGGTTAGACCTATGACGTATCTCTGGAATGGTTAGACCTATGACGTATCTCTGGAATGGTTAGACCTATGACGTATCTCTGGAATGGTTAGACCTATGACGTATCTCTGGAATGGTTAGACCTATGACGTATCTCTGGAATAGTTAGACCTATGACGTATCTCTGAAATGGTTAGACCACTGACGTATCTCTGAAATGATTAGACCACTGACGAATCTTTGAAATGGGTAGACCACTGACGTATCTCTGGAATGGTTGGACCTATGACGTATCTCTGAAATGGTTAGACCTATGACGTATCTCTGAAATGGTTATACCTCTGCTGTATCTCTGAAATGGTTAGACCTATGACGTATCTCTGAAATGGTTATACCTCTGCTATATCTCTGGAATGGTTAGACCTATGACGTATCTCTGAAATGGTTATACCTCTGCTGTATCTCTGAAATGGTTAGACCTATGACGTATCTCTGAAATGGTTATACCTCTGCTATATCTCTGGAATGGTTAGACCTATGACGTATCTCTGAAATGGTTATACCTCTGCTGTATCTCTGAAATGGTTAGACCTATGACGTATCTCTGAAATGGTTAGACCACTGACGTATCTCTGGAATGGTTATACCTCTGCTGTATCTCTGGAATGGTTATAGCTCTGCTGTATCCTGGAGTGTTTGGTCCTACACTGTAGCTTATGTCACATGTCCCCAGATTCCAGCCTCCTCTACATCATGGTGGCGACTCAGCAGTCTCTTGTGCGGTCTACGCTCAATGCCAAGGTGTACAGTGACCTCCCGGTGCCTGGACTGAGATCGCTCTCCGGCTTAGACATCGATGTCTGGAATGACTACATCTACTTCTCTGACACGGGACTCAAGAAAATATTCAGGACTACCTATAATGGGACAAATCTAACTGAGGTACAGACACCTTGATATATCGTATATGTTCAAAAACTCCGAACATTATTTCTAACACTGACATGTGTCATCGAATACTCACAGGTAACACACGCACGCACGCACGCACGCACACACACACGCACACATACACGCACGCACGCACGCACGCACACACGCACACAAACACATGTCCATAAATGTTATTAATGTTATAAATCTCACTTCCATTAATTCATATTTGAAACTCCACGTGAAGATCCTTGTTAGAATTGACCTCCGGGAACTGTCATGAGAGGCAACTAACTGATTCGTGCCATCGTATCCCAGTTGCGTAGATCGAAGCCCATGGTGTCAATCGCTGGATTGTCTGGTCAAGAATATTTACAGACCACCGTCCATTAGCTGAAATATTGTCGAGTGCGTCGTTTAACACCAAACCAAACCATTACATCAAACGTGGCCACGTAGCTGAAACATTCCCAATGTCACGTTGACAATTAACACAAATGAACATAACGACTCCTAATTCTCAAGACAGTAACGGTGCTATATCCGCATATAGGATGTGGTTGTATTCATTGTTTGCTTGTTGTGAACGCAGATCGTGACGACGGGAATCGACGTTGTCGAGGACATAGCCGTCGACTGGGTGGCGGGGAACTTGTACTGGACGGACTACAGGATGGAGACGGTCGAGGTATCCCGGGTGGATGGCACAAACAGGGTGGTCCTCTTCAGCGAGAATATCACGAACCCCCGGGGCATAGAGGTCGACCCCAGAGACGGGTAGGAGCCTATCACATACCCACCCCTCTTGTTTTAGTAAATTATGAACTTGTATGTAAAAAACCATTACCATTCTTGTCATGATAGGTTTGTTGTGGCGATTATGTACACAGGCAGATTGTAACCCAACCTATACTTCGTCAACTATTCCATCGCGAAGAAACATTAAAAATATATTTGTGACTAACCAGGACATAAGGGACCTAAGGGTGAAAAATCACATTTTGACTTTTGATTATATTTTAAAACAACAGTATCTTCGGAACTCAAAAATACAATTAACAATCTTCCTTCAATTCATATTTATTTCAGAAATTCATGACATCAAACATTTGGACTCATTTTCAGATGTTTAACTGTTGATGTAATAATTGCAGTTTTTAGACAATGTCTGAAAGTACTGAATTGAAATTGGACATGTATGCTGAAAGGTTTTCAAATAATGTCTTATTACATTACGGGAGAAATATAAGATCTGTTTGTACAGTCTTCACTGAAGTAATTTGACGTCAAACGTCTTTTTGGCGTCACAGCACAATTGTATTCTAGCATCCATAAGGTCTCTCTTCTCCTGGCGGGTAACATATTTTGAACTCAGCAGCGTCGGAAAATTTCCATCCCCGAGCCGTGGTAATTAAGGCTATTATTCATACAAACAGGTAATTTAGGTACCTGTGTTTAACAAAAGAACCTGCTCATATTTCTATGAGACATTATTTTGAAAGCATACTCTAAAAGCGTTTGTTTGCAGCATCCGGCTTCTATTCTGGTCCGACTGGGGGCAAAATCCAAGCATTCAACGATCTGGTCTGGATGGCAGCAACCGCGAGGTGATCGTTTCCACAAACGTCTACTGGCCTAACGCTCTCACACTGGACTACCCCAACCAGCAAATCTACTTCGCAGATGCCCGGATGGACTTCATCGATGTGTGTAACTACGACGGTTCTGAAAGGAGGAAAGTGTTCTCCAATGACCACGTAAGCGATATTCAAGTGTTGTTTAATACACGATAACATTACATATATTGTGATCTCATACACTTAGAGTATAACCAATGGGCCCCGAATAACGGACTATAAGTCCACCCTAATTCACTAGGGACAACTAATCCGCAGTTTCGAGTTGCGATTGGCCTATTGTTTGGATGACGTCACATAAAACGAAGGAAGGATAACGCCATGTTCAGTATGACGTCATATTGCTATGGGCCTCTTTGTAAACCGTGAAAACAATGGAACGATTGAAACGAACCTATATCCGTTTCTTATGGCTAAAATACGTTGTGTCCCTTGACGATTTCGGGTTAGAATTCGTCTTCAGCAACCCATACTTGTCGTAAGAGGCGACTGACGGGATCGGGTGGTCAGGCTTGCCGACTTGTTGATGCATATCATCGTATCCCAAAAGCGAAGATTGATGCTTGTGATGTCAATCACTGGATTGCCTGGTCACGATTATTTTCAAACCGCAGTCATATAGCTGGAATACTGCTGACTGCGGCGTTAAACACCAAACTGTGTTATTCCACTGACTCCCACCCATTTTGCAGTTTCTACGTCATCCCCACGCAATCACCATCCTTGAAGACTGGATCTACTGGACAGACCGCGCGGCCAGTCGCGTGTCGCGCTGCAACAAGTTCGACTGTTCCAACAGAACGGTGGAAGCCGCCAGTCTGAACCGACCTCTCGGCATCGTGTCCTATCATCAGTCTCGCCAACCCAAACTCATAGGCTACCCACCTGATGTGAAAGCAGGTAATAAATAAAAATATATACTCATAGGATGGAAAGTTAATCAGAAGAGTAAAGAAAGTAATATTCTGCTTAGAAGGAATTTACTGCCATGTTTGACACTGCCGTGTATATAAATCCCTCCTCAATTATCCAGTGCATGTTATCGACATTCCAGTATGATATATATCGTATAACCTCCCGTTCAGCAACTCATTTCGAAGACGGCAGAGCAATAACAAACATAAACAGTTCCAAGTCTGGAAAAAACACTTTGTTAATGTAAAAGTTGTAACAATTAGGAGAATGTCTGCACTTATTGTTTCAGTAACCAACCCGTGTGCCAAACAACCCTGCAGCCACCTGTGTCTTCTGTCCCCCGACCCAAGCCCCGGGTACACGTGCACCTGCCCTGTCGACATGAAGCTGGATGCGTCCAACACCAACTGTGTTGAAGGTATGGAGATTGCACTGTAGGTAATCGTGTTCTAAGGTAACATGCGCGATACTGTTAGTAAACAAATATGAATACATCACTTCCAGTGGAATATGACAATAGCAAGGTTTCAATTAATCAATTTAGTTCAGTGCAAATAAGCAACAATTCCTTTGAATTAGTTTAACCATTTACCTTACAACAACCTGTTTTGAAAACGTAATTTTGCTTCATTTAGAAGCTATACCATAACGACATTGATCGTAGCTTTTAGGCACGAGATATATTTATGTAAATGTTATTTGTACCTGATGGATGTGGAATTTAGCCATACCACAGACACACTGAAGACAAAACATAGAGTTCTGGTGACCTGACGTATACTTTCACTTTGATTTTATCTCATCATATGTCCATAGAGATGTAGAGATAAGTAGGCTCATGCAAAATAGATTATTATAACATTTTCAGATCACAAAAATAATACAAAGCCAGAGTAAGGTTTCTAATCGCTGTCCCTCAAACATGAGCTTCAATTCTCAGCACGTTAAAACTGAACTGTGAAAGGGGAACAACAACCTGTTGATCATTTCCTGTCAATAATGGGTCAAGACGTTTTGCCTTGTGTGAAACTAACTTTATTCTTTTGATTAATCAGAAGATATCTAAGTGCTAGATTGCGATACATCGTAAAATGAAGACAAACAGAAAGGTGAATCATAGGAATTAAACTGTCCGAGAGCCGAATTGCACGAGCTTATTCGCCCTACACAGACAATGTACAACAGCATACAATCGTCCTATTGCAGCCCATGACGATGTTCTTCTGTACATGACCAACACGCAGCTTGCAGGAATAAACCTGGCAGAGAAAGAGGACGCGGCATTTGTCCCCATCAGTGCCATTGCTAGAGGTCTTGACTTCGACTATGACAGCGAAAACAAATTCGTCTACTATGTCCAGTCAAAGGTTGTAAGTAACAGAACATATTTCGTTTTTGTAATTCTGTATTTTACAGTTTTCGTCCTTAATCTGTTCTGTATGTTACAGTCAATGCGTTAAATATGACTTGTGCATTTAGCACTTTACAAGCTGACTGAAAGATCTGTCCATTTATATAACAGATTGACGGAAACTCACGAAGAAGTTCAAAGGGGCTTAAAACATCACAATAGATTAATTATTGTAGGACCAGAAGCAAACAAATAAAAAATATACATTCTCTTCGTTTTCTTTTTTAATCATATCATTTTCAGTCACAGGGTAATGATATTTACCATCAAAATGTTTAGAATTTGGAACACAATATACAGGTTTTTCAGTCAACTTGTAAATTGACTGAAATATTTGGTTTCGTAAATTGCGTAAGTGAAAAGCTCAGTCATTTTACACATTGACTTTAACATTAATAGTAATCATGTGTTTTGTATGTGTCACTGGACAGATGTGCATCAGCGCTCTAGTGCTCGGTACAGGGAACAGATCTTGAATATATATTTGGTATTGTGTGTGTGTCGGGGGGGGGGGGGGGGGTAAACAAGATATTTATGTTTCAGACTATACAATGTCTGAAACAATTAATACATTGTGTCAAGGTGTTTTTGTAAAAATTAACTAAGCGGCAAAAGAAAGTATAGGTTGGCAATTTGTAATTTTCCTAAAAACAGCGATAACTAGTGGAAAGTGGGTATTGGGAATTTGACTGCCCAGGATCAGGTACCACAAAACACCGGTGACAAATAAATGGTGGAACAGGTTTCCCGCTTATGGCATAAACTGCACGTGCATGTATGAGGCAGCTGGAGGTCATACACGCTATTGAAGGCAACTGTGTCGACAATGAACTTGTAGTGTGCCTGACAATGTTTAGATTATATTATAATTCACAACAAAACCTCTTCTTGTTTTTTTTCTATCGATCATGAAACTCGACCTATACTTTCTTTTGCCGCCCAGTTAGATTCAGGCTCGTAGCTTAAATTAGCATGTCAGATTGACATTAGTTCAACAAAATAGCGAAACTTCTCTCAACTTCAGGGTAGTATTAACCGTATCCGCCTGAACGGCATGAACGAGTCCACGTTTGTCCCTGCTGCTGTGGAGGGCTACCCAAACGCCATTGTGGTCGACTGGATCTCTCGCAACCTGTACTGGGCCAACATGGCGGCCGGATACATCGAGGTGATGAAGATGGACGGCGACCAGCACTACCGGAAGATCATCCTCAGCAACACCGGCAAGGCAACTGACTGTGCCAGACCCTTCTCTCTCGCCGCGGATCCCATAAAGGGGTGAGATCCACAAGCTGATCTAGTCCCTTACTGACTACCCGGAGGAACCTTCAGTTCCTTTTCTACGAAATAGTATCAGTCGTTAGAGACGCAATGTCATTAAAACCATATCTTTTACCTATGTGCGTGAAGGTCTGAGAACACATCGATATGAGGTCACGTCGGGGAAACTTTCTTATCAGCCAATCAGCGTCGTGACTGATAAATTCTCGATACAAGTGAGCAAAGCATTCAGACAGGCATATGTGATTTCTATGTCTCGAAAATGAATGTGCTCGGGTATTTCCGAATGCAGTTACATAAAGCCGCACTACTATATTGAAGTGGATAGTGTATCATACATCCTGTTGTTGATAAGCAGCATGGCATCTACGCCCGAAAGGGAGTATCGTCCAAGGAATGTTTGTGTTCTTGTTTTCCTTTGAAAAAAATCGACATTTCCGAATCGAGGTGATAAGAAAATGAAGCTGATCCGTGTCGTATTAGAAAGCTGACATCTGATTGGTTCAAGAACTCACGCATCCTTAGTTAGCTAAGTTAGCTCTTGGTTCACCTGACACAGATGCTCAGATCTTCGCGCAGAGATATATCTAATCGGAATAGAAGATCTGATTGTTGGTGCCACTGATGTACATGATAACGTTAATTATTGCGACAGGATCTGATGGTTCCGGTAGTTGGTAATTATTAGGAAACCCTCTAATCGCCATGTCATGTTCACTGGACGCACGGGGCCATAACAGACAGAGTAGTTTAACGCCCAAAGTGAGCTTGCGACCGATTTTATTCAGTTTAAACGATGATTAATTCGTCATGAAAAGAAGATTAAAGTTAAGGTAATTCCGACCAGTAATTGCTAATATTAAAAGTACACAATGTTCATACAGAGTGATATACTCTGAAAGGTCCCCTTTGTAATATTGTCAGAAACATAGGTGACTGTTCATGTTATCAACACATACTGAGTATAAATTTATTGACTATAGTATGTCATAGGCCTGGATTTATATGTCGGTATTATTGCAGCAAACTGTACTGGTCGGATCAAGGCACTGACGGAATACAGATGAAGATAGCAGTGATGAACATGGACGGCTCCAACCCCACCATCCTCGTCAACAGTGGTCTCCGGAAGCCAGAGTACATAGCCCTGGATACTAAGAATGACATGCTGTACTGGTCGGACCCTTTCTACCAGAGGGTGAGAAGCATTGCCATAGAAACGCATTCATCGGCATTCATTTATGATAACAATTCCCTTCGAGTTTCACCAGTGAGCTTGCTATGTCTCTGTGGTTTCTTCACCTCATTAAACCATTATATGTAAATTTGAAAATATACTACGAATTCGCACATTATGGTTACCGACATACATGTTTTGCACGTTTTATTATCAATGTTCCTATTTGAAATCTTAAATCGTCCTTAGCTGTTCTCAAACAGCGTCTTGTATACGAAAATATTACTTCGCTTTTTATTAAGTTGTCTATTGTGCAAAGGTATTTGATTGCCTCCGTCCTATAGACATAATTTTATCCTCCAATGATTTAAGATTGCTTTATTAATAATTACACGTGCCGAGTCTTACAATAGTTAAAAGTGATCACTAAACAAAAGGCAAGAGTACAATACACAATCTGATAAATCTAGTTTATAAAAGACAATACCACGTACTATATTATTATTACCGTGTATTAAAACGTGTCAGTCTCGGTATTCTTGGTGTTTAACTGAAAGGATTTGGCATCTTTAATTCAGATGATTTAATGATTGTCTCTTCACCATGGACTAATAATGACACAAATATATGCTTCATGACGTCGTGCAATGATAAGCCCACCAAATGTGCATGTGCCAATATCCTATATCATTCCCTCCGTCCATGGAAAGTTTTTCATTCTTAATGTTCTGTGTACCCGGTGATGCCGAACGATCACAATGTAGGAAATGCATATGAACTCTTTGACTGCTCAGATAAGCCGCCACTCCCTGAGAAGCGGCTCTCGGTCCCAAGCAGTGGAGAACCTGGGCCAGCCAAGCGGCCTTGCGGTGTACAACAGCATCCTCTACTTTGCCGACACCTCCTACGAGAGGATCTACTCCGCCCCTCTCTCCGACCTCGACAACCCCCGGGCCCTCCGCAACAACCTGGAGTCGCTAGGAGCAGTTCGGGTTTACCATGACAGGCATAGTAAAGGTTTTGTTCGCAGTCAACATCTTAATCAAATGAATACATTAATATAACGTTCAGTTCACCAACGGAAGTGTGATTACAGAAAATGTCATGCGTAACTTTCAGTTGTCGATGGAGACTAGGAGCCGTTGAGTAGCCTAGCTGTTTTAACGTTCCTTGGTAACGCCGAAGGCCCAGTCTCGAATACCCGCAACTATGCTTGTCGTAAGAGGCGACTAACGTGATCGGGTGGTCAGGCTCGTTCACTTGGTTGAAGCATGCCATCGTATTCCAATTGCGTGGATCGATGTTCACGAGTCACTGGATTGCCTTGTCCAGACGCGATTATTTACGGACTGCCGTCATATGGCTAGTATATTGCTGAGTGTGGCGTTAAACAACAAACAAACACATGGCTGCATTGTCTGAAGTCCATGTATGATAGTCCCCTCCTTGATGTTACGTGAATATTGAATACTCTCTCACTTATTCACGGTAACTGGAATACTGTTAAAAGCAGCGTTAAACCCAACTCACTCACTCACTCTCTCACGAATATCGGACTAGATGCCCATCGTACTCAGTCCCTTAACATCACTAACGATATTTTGATAAGGGATGGTGGGGTTGCCATATTGTTGGTGCCTACGTTAAGGATACGCTAGAGACAGGTGTATCTCACATAGGTATATAAGACATGTCTTGGTTTCACTCATCGTGATACGAATGTATCCATGCCAAAAGCGACAGGAACCTCTCCTCACTCACGTATTGTTTTACTAGGTGGTCACACTGGTTGTAAGACCAACTACGGCAACTGTGAGCAACTGTGTCTCCCCAGCGGGCCAGCAGGCCAAGCGGTGTGTCAGTGCTCAACCGGCTTCATTAGGCAGAAGAATGGCTCGTGCGGCAGTAAGTACCACGTGATAACCTACGAGAAATTACGCAGTGAATCCCGAGTGAATTACTTTCCTAAGATAATCCTATTTCCGAGTTTCGAGTAGGTTATTATATTTATTATCCATGATGTATATTTCTGAGAGAATGTAAAACATGCGGTTTCATGCGCAAGATAGATGACGTCATCTTAAATTATGTGCGACAGTGCGTTGATATGACGTCATCGGATACAAAGATAACGTTGGAAGAAGTGGCTTCAACTGTCAATGAGCATGGAGCTTAAAGAAGCTGTACTAAAATAATGTGTATCTGGCACAATGTACATGTAGTTAATTTTGATTTTATAATATGCGCATCTGATTTGTTTGATTTATGCAGTAAATTTGACATACGCTCACGCGCTGATTCATCACATCTTCCACTCACAATGGATTTACGTACGTTTCACACAACTGAACAATTTGAAAGTAATCAAATTATCAATGAATCTTTGCCGAGATAACATTAGATAAATAACGTGAAATACCGGTACTGTGTCTGACACATTTGAAAGCAACATTGACGTTAAGCAGGGGTGTATTTTAAGTCCGTTTTTGTTCTCCTTCTTTATCAATGAATTAGCTCAACAAATTCAGCAGAACTGTTCTGACTGCATCCAACTGCACACGGAAACTATAAGGTTATTTCTTCTTTTGTTTGCTGATGACATAGTTTTCAAGCACAATATCTGGCCTACAAAAGCAAATTAATCAGCTGAAATGTTATTGAAAAGAATGGAATTTATAACAAAAATAAGTCAAAAGTTATTGTTTTTAAAAATAGTGGTATCTTCGCTAAAAGAGAGAAATGGTTTTATCTTGGACATTCATAAGATGTTGTATCGTTCTATAAGTACTTAGGTGTATATTTTACAAATAGATTGTCATGGAACATGCATGCTAACCAAGCTGCTGTACAAGCTAAGAAGATCCTAATTGGAATTCTTCAACTATGGAAGTTATTGGAAATATATCCTGTAGTACATTCTTTAAGATTTTTTACACAAAAAAAAGCCCAGTTTTGTTATATGGAGCAGAGGTTTGGGGATTAGAAATGATTGATGTTATGGAAAAAGTACATTTATGTGCATGCAAAAGATTCCTTGGTGTGAAAACTGGAATGTCTAATCTAATGGTCTACGGAGAATGTGGACGATATCCCCTAACTATGTTTGCAAAGTAAAAACAATAAAATACTGGATTGAATTAGTTAAAATGCCTTTAACAAGATATCCAAGAAATTGGCATTTTTCCTTATCAGTATCTGAGAAACTATCAAGTTATTCCCTCTTTAAAAAACAGCTTCTATGGAGAGCAATACTTATTAAATGTGACACTAAAAACATTTCGAATTGCACTTGCAAGATTCAGTTGTCCTTCACACGAACTCTTTATCGAGACGGGAAGATATATGGGGATCGTGAGAGAACACAGAATTTGTCAGTTTTGTGATTTAAACAGTGTAGAAAGTGAATACCATTTCTTTCTACTTTGTCCTTTGTGTGCTGAACACAGAAAACAGTTCATTGATAAATAGTATATCCGATTATCCGTTATCCATGTTTACAGAAATTTGTTACATTAATGTTAACTAAAAGTAAGAATGTAGCAATAACGAAAAAGCTGTCAATGTACATATTGCATGCTATGAAGCTAAGAAGTTCCAAATATGTTACCTTTTACATATATATACACCCATTACTATATGACATATACTATAGGCGCATCATGTAGCTTCTTCGTACTTGGAGCAAATGTTGACTGTACTAATGTCCCTAAAATGGCCCAGACTAATATTGCGCATGTGTCAGACGTTGGTCTAAACTGCCGGGCAAGACCAAGTATACAGCCATGTTTGATGGTTGCTAAAATGAAACAAACAAGAAATAATTATTAGATGGCGGGTATCGTAGGCGATATTGTATGAATCATATGTTTGTATCAAGAATTATCTCACAATTGGACACGAAGTCTCAAAGAACATTGTTTCGCAATTTTACAGTCCAATTTCCAAGTGTATGCTTTCTTTTGCCGGGCAGTTTACATTCCTTCAATTTTTAATGCCTTTATGTAGGAAACAGACATACTATGTCGCACTGATACAGACGTAATGGGGAATCCCGTCTCTTATACCATGTCAGAGTAGTGTTTAACAGTTACGCTAGTGTTGATCATCGTGTCATACATTTCATACGACCCATACGATATGTTTCAAGGTACGCTGCAATACTTTTGAACACATCTGCACATCTCTTCTTTATCTTGTGCAGGTGTGGACTCCTTCGTCGTGGTGTCCCAGTACAGCAGGATACGAGGGTTTGGTCTGACCGGAGGCGACCACAGCGAGACCATGATGCCAATAGCAGGAACAGGTGAGCCTCACACACACAACAGCTACTGCTGACGCCTTAAACTAATGTTCCGTCATTACGTCTGTTATAGACCGTGGTGTATTCGTAGTTGATAGACTGTCTGCCCGTGTCATGCCAAAATACTTTTAAGTTGGGACTTGTTGTTACCCTGCCTGATGCTCTGCATTAAGGGGATAAAACAGGGACTGGTCGTCTCGGAGTCAATGTGTCTGAATGGGGTATCTATGTTAAACTGCGGCATGGTATCTCATTGAGCTAGCACTATAAAACCAGCATTGCACCTACACAAGCACACACGTGCATGCACATCGCTTTGGAAGTAATAATCTTAAACGAGACATTTAACCCCATTTCACCTCATTTTGTTATTATATTTTGCACTGTCCAAATAATAAGACATAATTTAAACATTGCACCTATTGAGCTTTTTATGACCGTATATGTTATTATGGCCGATCCAACACATGACTCAAGCATCTCGTTTATCCTCTGCTGTAGGCCGTGCAGCGAGCCAGGTTGACGTGTACATGGCAGGGAAGTTCATCTACTGGGCAGACGCTGCGCCACCGGGCAAGAGCGCCAAACGAGGCGGTGTCAGGCGGATAAAAACTGACGGATCTGGAATGGAGGACGTTATCAATTCCGGAATTGGTAGTGGAGGAATCCATGGTGTTTCGGTGGACTGGATTGCCCGTAAGACACTTAAAGTTGATTGTGACGGACATCTCACGATTGTATTGTAGTGACGATTAAGTGTTAAGAGATATCCCTCAGTAAAATTACAGTTAAATGTGTAACAACGTTATGTTTCTTTCAGAAAACATATACTTCACCAACGCTTTTGCTGTTGAAACCTTCATCGAAGTATCTCGACTTAATGGCTCCCACCGACGAGTCATCGTCAAATCTCAGCACGGATCTCCCAGAGCTATCGTCGTCAACCCCATCAAGAGGTACATTGTTAGAAATGTTCTATATACCACATACATATTTAATCCAATATGAATCACGCTCTATTGCTTATCTTTTATGTCCACCGGTATGTATATGCCAAGCAAACCCGTGTGTTAAGCCAAGATTGTCGGCCCCGTTTCACAAAGCCAACGTAGTGCTACGATTGTCGTAAATCCCATGGCTATCTCTCGGCTCGAGTCGTTGCTTATGTTGTCAGCAACAATGCTGCCAGTTCCAGCCTCCCATCTGATACAGCTGAATTATATCTTTGTTGGTTGGTTGGTTTGTTGTTTAACGCCGCACTCGGCAATATTCCAGCTATATGACGGCGGTCTGTAAATAATTGAGTCTGGACCAGACCGTGATTAATATCATGAGCATCGACCCACGCAATTTGGATCGATGACATGCATCAACCAAGTCAGCGAGCCTTACCACCCGATCCCGTTAGTAGCCTTTTACGACAAGCATATTCGCCTTCTAGGGCAAGCATGGGTTGCTGAAGACCTATTCTACCCCGGATCTTCACGGGTCTGAATTAGATCTGATTGTGTATTAATGCAGAATTCACTCACTCACCTTGATTACCATCAGGTATCTGTATTGGGCGGACTATGGCCAGCAACCCAAGATAGAACGCTCCAGATTGGACGGCAGTAACAGAACAGCCATCGTGACGAACGGCATCAGCTTCCCCCGCGACCTGGCCATCGACTACAAGACTCACAACCTGTACTGGGTTGACTCCGTCATCGACGCCATACAGGTACGGTGGTTGGGTTGTACATGTAGTACACATATTGAACCTTTGAAATTCGCAGGCGTCAACTGTTGAGTGACTGCGTATATATTTTTTTATTAGTTTGTTTTGTTTGTTTATTGTTTAATGCCGCACTCAGCCATATTCCAGCTTCATGACGGCAGTCTGTACATAATCGAGTCTTGACAAGACAAACTAGTGATTGCCATCGATCTATGCAATTTGGAAATCATGACATGCATCAACCATGTCAGCGAGCCTGACCACCAGATACCGTTTGTCGCCCCTTACTTCTTTTATTCATATTTTATTAGACATCAGTCAGGTACATATATGGTGCATGAAACAGTAACAGCATGGTTTATATTATGCGATTTACAAGAATCGTCTTTGGATGGCATCTTTCAAGGTACAACTTGAGACATAATGAGCCATGTATAATACAAACATCAGTAACCATTGCTTACATCATGTATGCAAGAAACTTTATTCAATTAAAGGTTTCATTCAGTTGTGTCTCCGTATTTTAGCGGGGTGGATGATGTTGACTGAACTGTAGAGTAAACCCGAAAAGTAAACCGACGCTTTCTTCCAGAGTGTTTCCTTCAGCGGAGGAAACAGACAGACTGTCCGTCTGAATCTCCCCAAACCATATGGCCTGGCTTTGTACGGAAACTATATTTACTGGGTGGACAAAAACCTGAAAGAGGTAAATATGCATCTAGCAGTACATATACTTTAAATTACAAATGTGTTTCATTTAGCAGATACATAGATGATGCCTGACCAGATTAGCGGTATTTTATTTTGAGCCAAAGACGACAGATAAGCTTTCCAAGTGAGTCTCAAAATTACCTGCAAATTTGGAAACATAGTTAATGCAACATTACTGGTGATGCTTTCTATCTTCTCGTTTTGAAATAACTGCGATACACACGTACGTAATTAGGCAAGGAAAGATGGCCTACGTATGTGATCTGTAAAACTTTCAATAAATGAGGATTCAGTGTTCACGTCGCCATGCCACGTGTGTTTCACATTGGAAGGGTGTTAATGTAATACTTCACCCGTTTGTAGCTATACAGAGTATCCAATACCGGCGATCAATCCCAGAAAGCGGAAGTCATCAAGTCCAATTTGCTGAATGTGCGAGACGTAGCCATATTTGACAAGTCCAGCCAGCCCGCTGGAACCAGTCCGTGTACTAAGAACAATGGAGGCTGCCAGCAGCTGTGTTTCGCCATGCCAGGGGAGACCACTCCCACATGTTCCTGCTCGGCGGGGCAGTTGGCTACAGATGGGAAGACATGTGAAGGTGTGTGAGTGAAGGACATAACCTCTTGCGAGGTCACGTGTATTCAGCAGTCTGACATGCACCATGGTACATTGAAGAATGTTAAATGTTCTCTGACATGCACCATGGTATATTCAAGAATGATAAATGTTCCTTGACATGCACCGTGGTATAATGAATAATGTTAATATCTAAGAATGTTAAATGTTCTCTGACATGCACCGTGGTATAATGAATAATGTTAATATCTAAGAATGTTAAATGTTCTCTGACATGCACCATGGTATATTGAAGAATGTTTAATGTTCTCTGACATGCACCATGGAATATTGAAGAATGTTAAATGTTCTCTGACATGCACCGTGGTATAATGAATAATGTTAATATCTAAGAATGTTAAATGTTCTCTGACATGCACCATGGTATATTGAAGAAAGTTAAATGTTCTCTGACATGCACCATGGTATATTGAAGAATGTTAAATGTTCTCTGACATGCACCATGGAATATTGAAGAATGTTAAATGTTCTCTGACATGCACCATGGTATATTGAAGAATGTTTAATGTTCTCTGACATGCACCATGGTATATTGAAGAATGTTAAATGTTCTCTGAGATGCACCATGGTATATTGAAGAATGTTTAATGTTCTCTGACATGCACCATGGTATATTGAAGAATGTTAAATGTTCCCCGAGATGAGCCATGGTGTATTGAAGAATGTAACTTGTTCCTGACATTCAGCATGGTCTCTCACCTGTACCATGGTACACTGAAGATGTTATATGTTCTCTGCTGTTCAGCTTTGACTGAGTTCCTGATCCTGGCCGCGGAGACGGAGATCCGCGGCTTGTCCCTCAATCCCGATGACGGCACCCTCCCCATCCCCACCATCACGGGGCTGAAGGGGGCGGTGGCTGTCGACTTCGACGTCAAAGAAAACTACATCTACTTCAGTCAGGTTGGGGAAAAGAAGATCAGCAGAGTTATCAAGGGAGAGACTGTCGTGGAGGATCTCGTAGCCAAGTCAAACCTATCTGGTAAGGAGGCATGGCCGAAAGAGAAGCGTAATGTTCTACGCAGTTGAGGTACAATGACATGCGCCTGACCACCCGATCCCGTTATTCACCTCTTGCGACAAGCATAAACGCCCCAAACGGCTTCCATGGGTTGCTGAAGACCTATTCTCTACCCGGATCTTCACGAGTCGAATGACATTTAGAAGGGGTACACATTAGAGCATATGACATTTGAATCAATAGAATGTTACGGTGGGCGTCATTGATCTCAGCTACCAGAAAACTATACGTTGACTCTTTGTGCATGAAAACCCCAATTGAAAGAATAAATGTCGAGTGGACTGAAGTTTATGACAAGCAGTTACTGTAGTCGTAGTTAGTTATACAGTCAGTATGCATGATTTGCCTTCCAGAGTTTGGGCCCACAAATGACATCACGTCTGTTGAGGGAATAGCGTTTGACTGGGTGTCCAAGAAGATCTACTGGGCTGACCTATTCAAGAGTAAGATCTACAGCATGAACCTCGACCACAGCAACAAGGTGGCACTAGCATCGGTCAGCAGCCCCCGGGCTCTAGCCATCGACCCCTGCCGAGGGTAAGTCAGTAGCTTCAGTAGTATATAGACTGTAAGGAGTGGTGGGAGTTGGGTAGCCTAGTGCCCTGTCGAGGGAAAGTCAGTAGCTTCAGTAGTCTATAGACTGTAAGGAGTGGTGGGCGTTGGGTAGCCTAGTGCCCTGTCGAGGGAAAATCAGTAGCTTCAGTAGTCTATAGACTGTAAGGAGCGGTGGGGGTTGAGTAGCCTAGTGCTCTGTCGAGGGAAATTCAGTAGCTTCAGTTGTCTATAGACTGTAAGGAGCGGTGGGGTTGAGTGGCCTAGTGCTCTGCCGAGGGAAAGTCAGAAGCTTCGGTAGTCCATAGACTGTAAGGAGCGGTGGGGGTGGGGTAGTCAGTGGTTAACGTGTCACTCGTCATGACAGCCCGGGTATGATTCCCCACATGTACTATATGTGAAGCACATTTCTGGTATCTCCGGCAGGGATAATGCTGGACTATTGTTTAAAGAGAATGTATGTTCGTCATTAAGGGTCTACACATTGACAGGTTGGGTATATCTAAGTGAGGGTGTATGTACATCATTAAGGGTCTACACATTGACAGGTGGTGTATATATAAGTGAGGGTGTATGTACATCTTTGGGGGTCTACCTGTGGACAGAAAATGTACATCTAATTGAGGTGTATGTAGGTCGTTGACATTCTGCACGGTAACGAGTGTTGTAGTCGTAAGTTAGGGACATTCAGTTCACTGGGGACCACGCATTGGAATGTATTTACATTGATGGAGGTCCACACGTGAAGATTGTGTATGCCTGTTGCAGATATCTGTACTGGTCGGACTGGGGCCGGAGCCCAAAGATCGAGCGCGCAACGATGGCAGGGAACCAGCGTACCGCCATCGTCACCACGGACCTGGGCTGGCCCAACGGCCTCGCCATCGACTACGACCAGCAGATGATATACTGGGCAGATGCCATGAAGTACGTGGCAATGTCGGGCTGCTGGCACAGTGAACTAAGACAAACAGAAAGGCGTTATGCTTATAAGTCATGAACGTGTGTTATTTTGTTAGTTAACGTTAAATAACTCTTTGATGTCAATGTGTCTGTTGCTTTTCTCTGTTTTAACATTTCCTTTCCTTTAAACTAGAGACAGGGTTGAAAGAGCGAATACTGATGGAAATTATCGTGAAGTCGTCATAGAAACCACAGTGCATCCATTCTCCATGACCATATTTGGGGATCACATTTACTGGACAGATTGGACGTTGCGTAAGTACACAATGAGACAGTGATGTTTTGTGTCGTCTCTACCGACTTCTAAATCTGCCACATTGTAACTTTTGTTTGAGACAGGCGATGTCCATAGGCACTCAGCGCCAGATCAGATGAAATGCAATGGGGAACTTGACCTCTCTATATAGAACTGTGTATGGAAGTAAATCGGTATACCGTCCAAAACACAAAGATATTTTTCTATTTTTATCGCCGATGTGTTACCTTTATATGGTCATAACAACAAATGAAATGTAATAACGCATTGCATATCAAACGCCAGGGCCCCCATCTCCAAGTCATTATGTATAAATACAAAGCCTGTTATATACCTATGCAGTTATTCCAGTGTTCATGCGTGATGTTGTCTTCCCGTGCAGGCGGTGTGTTCCGAGCTAACAAGTTCACGGGGTCGAACATGCAGGTGATAATCCAGGGTCTCTCCACGCGGCCTATGGGACTCACCGTGTATGCAGCAGACAGACAGAAATGTGAGTCACAAGGTCAAGGTCTTCAAATTAGAGGCAACGGCAGAGTGTCGTCATGCCTTGGTTCTTTGTCAATTGTTCGCACGCCGTAAGGGTATACTGTTCGAACAAAGTAGGGGATATCCAGTTATTATCTTTGTTCCTTGTCTACTGTTCTCACAAAGTAGGGGATATCCATTTCGTTGTATACTGTTCTGACAAAGTAGGGGATATCCAGTTATTGTCTCAGTTCCTTTCTACTGTTCTCACAAAGTAGGGGATATCCATTCCATTGTATACTGCTCTCACAAAGTAGGGGATATCCATTTCGTTGTATACTGTTCTGTCAAAGGAGGGGATATCCAGTTATTGTCTCAGTTCCTTGTCTACTGTTCTCACAAAGTAGGGGATATCCATTCCTTTGTATAATGCTCTAACAAAGTAGGGGGTATCCAGTTCCTTGTCTTAGTTCCTTGTCTACTGTTCTCACAAAGTAGGGGATATCCATTCCTTTGTATATTGTTCTAACAAGCGTTTTAAGGTTGGGGATATCCAACTATTGTCTTAGTTCTTTGTTCAAATCCCTGATTATAATTAAATTGAAGTAAACACCACCTGATGGCATGCTGTGACGAAATAACATGCAAACGCATATACAAGTATTTGCTGTGGTACCTATACTATCTGAATGATACAGGTAACACCAACCCTTGTGACGTCTTCAACGGTGGCTGCAGTCACAGCTGTCACCCCGCCCCTGGAGATAAGGCCGAATGTGCTTGTAATGACGGCCTTGACCTTAAAGTTGGAAATGGAGGAAAGATGTGCGTCCCAAAAAGCAACAATTGTTCCGAAAACGAGTTTGTCTGTGAAAATGGGCGTTGTTTGATTCACCGCTGGGTGTGCGACATGGACAACGATTGTCAGGATAAGTCAGATGAAGATCCAAACTTGTGTGGTATGTTGTAACGTTATTGTTTGTTTGTTTATTGCTTAGCGCTGCAATATCCCAGCTATGTGACGGCGACCTGTAAATGATGGAGTGTGGCCCAGACAACCCAGTGATTGATATTATAAGCAACAATTCATTCCGTGGATGTTCGATAACAACCAAGTCACCTGACCACGCGATCCTTTTGGATCGCCTTTTGGGGACCTATTCTAATCCGGAACCACGCGAGATGTTTTAACAGGATTGCTTTAAAGAATAGTTTATCAATACACATGATAAACATTTACTTTATAAAATTCATACTGAGTGCTCAAACGTAATTTTTATTATTTTGAGACATGACGTATATAAATGCTTTATACCGGGTCAGACAGTTTTAACTCGTAAATAATCCCTATTTTCCACAATGTGGTGCCTATTTCAAACACTGAGAGCGGAGAAATCTGTCCAGCGTATACTAAGTGTTCGTTGTACATAATTGTTTATGTTTTTGTGCAGGTTAAATTTGATATTAGCTACCGTTGCTCATGACATAATCTTTGTGTGTGGAGAAACCGTTACCTTGTGTCTGTTTGTCTTCAGCTCTTCATACATGTGACCCGACATACTTCCGGTGTAACAACGGCAGATGCATCCCTCTCAGGTACAGATGTGACTTTGACAACGACTGCAGAGACAACTCTGATGAACTTGACTGCCGTAAGTACAAAAGATATCCACATATTATCAAGGTCTCACGTGTATGCTTCGGTAAAGAAACTGTAAGATGTTCCAGGATGATTAATTTATGAACTTTTCCATGTCCAGCATACCCTACATGTGGCACTGAGGAGTTCAGCTGCCAGAACTCCCGCTGCATCAGCCTCACCCAGAAGTGCGACGGCGTCGACAACTGTAGGGATGGGAATAAAACAGACGAGACTGATTGTCGTAAGTTTAAAATACACGCTTTCCTCTCTTCAGTACGACTTGCCATATGGTTGCCAAAACACAACATAATATTAATATCGTTGTCATGGTAATTGAAACATGTAAAACCGTACAGTAACAAAAGCTCTATCAGCTGATGGAGCTAAGTGGTTAGAGCAGTTACATGGATGAATCTGGTTCGAACTCAAAAAGACCATAAATTGTTTCCACCGTCCAAAAATCTCTGCAATATTGCTATATTTACCCTGTCATATTCGAGTAACATAAAAGCAATATATATTTGTGTCTACAGCTCCGCGTTCCTGTCCAACCGGACAGGTGAAGTGCCCCACCACCAACATCTGCATCGTCCGTCGATACATGTGTGACGGCGACAACGACTGCGGCGACAACTCGGACGAGAACCCTCTCTTCTGTCAGCAGGTTACATGCTCTTCTGGTGAGGCACTTTGGGTACAAAATAGGATCTGTATAAAACATATTTGCAATTGCATAGTTTTGTAAAGACGTTTAGGCTACTACGTGAATACCTCAAAAGGAATAAATATAGTTGCCAGATCGAAATAAAGATTTATACAACATGATCAACTGAAAGTTTGGTGATCTGTTCAAACGTTCAAGATGGAGTCTTTTACTTTTACTTATACAGGAGATTTCTACTGCGACAAGTCTCACAAGTGTATCCCGGGCACTTGGCACTGCGACGGGGACGACGATTGCGGCTTCGGAGAGGATGAGTCCGACTACTGTAGTAAGTAGCATAAGTGTCCAATACTCCATGTTGGCAGTGTAACATTATGATTACAGTAACACTGTTTATTGGTTTTTATCGCCTATGACGTCATGGTCACTGGATGACGTCATTTGTCAAGCAATGAAAACAATGGAACAATTGAATATATCAGCTAACAACCTGCCCAAAGAGAAATGGGTTTTTTGAAATTTGATTGATAGTAATAACAATCATAACATGAAAGCCATGGTTTTAGGGACGCAAATTATTGTATTTGCAGCAATCGGAAATGAGCCAGTCATAAACCCCTGTGCATCAATGTTATGAAAGAGATGTGTAAACAATTATGTGTATATGCCTTATTTCAAACAGGTTACAACAACCGGACGTGTTTCGGCAACCAATTCACCTGTGACAACGGTCGGTGTATCTCCATGAGATGGGTGTGCGACGGCGCCGACGACTGCGGGGATAAGTCAGATGAAGCAGCCACCCTCAACTGTTGTAAGTTCTTGCACGCACTTTCCAACAATGTTCAAAAATATTTTAATAAATCTGGTTGTGATACTGATCGTTCAGCATGGCTAAGATGGTCTTATAGATAAGCATGCGTCATCTGTTCCTCAAACCAACATGTATCTGTTCTTCAACATGTCACGCATACATGTCCCGTCTACTTACAGCTGAGCGTACCTGCCCTCCCGACACGTTCACATGCGAGTCTAACAAACAGGTGGGCACCTACCCATGCCTTGACCGGAGGCGCGTCTGTGATGGCATCCGCAACTGTCATGGCGGCGAAGATGAGGCTCAGACGTGTCCGCCGCGGTCATGTCGACCCACACAGTTCCAGTGCGCCAACGGGTTGTGCGTGTCCCAGAGGTTCAAGTGTGACCATGACAACGACTGTGGGGACAACTCCGACGAGCCTGACGACTGCGGTAAGCAACGTTTCAGGTCTCCTTAAAGGCGTAAGGAGGCCGTTGTTCCGACATGGTGTGCATAAGAAAACGTTCGGTATAAAATAAACAAACATTTCAGGACGTTGACATGTTCTACATTTTTCTAACGCCCATTTTATTATTAAGGTCAACGTTAAATTTGTGTTGGACTAGTATACAGATACTCCTGACCCTGCAATTCCCCAGTGAGGATTGTTTTGTATATTAAAGTAAATTTTACGCTTGGGGACTTTTGTTTGAACGGGAGGAGGCACGGGTTGCCCAATCGTCTAAAGGGTGCCACATTGTGGGCTCGAATCAATGATTCGCCCGGAGTGTTCTGTCAGCACCATACCCCTACTCAAGGGGTTTACCCATGTACTCAGCTAACATAAATTGAATTTTAAAAATTAGTGAGGGAGAGAGTTGGATTTAACGGTTCTGTGAACAACATTCCAGTTATATCATAGCATGTCAGTTTAATGTGGGAGGAAAACCCGAAGGAACCCATGTCAATGCATGTACACAGACAGTGATGTCAGATGACCTTATATTTCAGACTACTCGACATGCAATGGTAACCAGTTCACGTGCTCCAACCAGCGGTGTGTGCCGCACAGATGGGTCTGCGACGGCGACGACGACTGCAGAGACAACTCCGACGAGAAGGAGGACCTATGCTGTGAGTAGGATAAATCAGCAAATGACATTATGGAACATGGCACTCAATATTTACACCATCTTTGACTTGCCTTGCTCCTACGTTTCATTGACCTTCATCCTTCTCACAGTGACACCAGAGCCAACGTGCCCAGGCAATCAGTTCCGGTGTGAGAACGGCAACTGTATCAACTATCAACACGTGTGTAACAAGAACCCCGACTGCGGCGACAACTCGGATGAATCACACTGTAGTAAGTCTGATAATGAAGACATCTGTTGCAGAGGATTGTGGGGTATTGCAATAAACATAAAACTTCACAGGTATTTAGCCTGAGTTTGGTCAAATAGTATGTGTCTGTAACTTATTGCGTCTGTTTATTGAAGGAGTAGATCCCAAAGGGAGGTAGCTATTTTTGGTAAAACCCAGAGCACTGGAATCACACTTTTGTCGATTCTGAGATTTAAACCCACGTATTGTGTATCTATATTAGATTAAAAACAAGGGAACACATAAAGAATATTAGCTGAGTGTGTTTTCAGTAACGTAATTATCATGTTAGATATAAAGGCTGTTTTATGCTAGCATTTGGCGAGATATTTTCTATCTCTAATATTTGACATTTACGATACGAAAACAGACGAGAGAGATAATGTGATGTTTATTTTTAAATAATCGACATAATAATAAAAGACATTTTTATTTCCTAAAGTTATTTTAGAAACCGCGTAGGGATACAATTCCCGTGTGTACCGATTCTTTTACAGATATGTAGTCCCAAAGTATTTGCAGCCATGAGAGACCTCTACCTAATCATTTCGTGAAATTTATACAATAGGTTTTAAAGTGATAAGGCATCACATCGATTTATCTAGCTTTTTAAAAGTAGTTTCTGCCAGGTGGCCTCATTTGCATTTATGTCGTTTCATGATACCAAGTTAATGGCATTGGTTAATCAAATCGATAACAATGTCCATGATATGACAAACCTTTATTATAATTTGACCCCGATTATGTTTCTAGATTTGTCAGCACCATACCCGTGCTCGTGGGTTTCACCTAAGTGGTAAACGTCAGAGACCTGCATCACATCGGGCTTTCCTCCCACATTAAGCTGACACGCCGTGATATAACTGGAATACTGTTAAAAGCGGCGTTAAACCCAGCTCACTCACTCACTATAATTTGACCCCTGATTTACCATGTGTTCGTTGTTTCCAGATGTGAATGAGTGTGACAGGAATGATAATGTCCCACGATGTGACCACACGTGTGTGGACACGCTGACCAGCTTCACCTGCGAGTGTAACGCCGGCTACAGGCTCATGTCCGACCGGAAGGGCTGCAGAGGTAATTCTGTCGAGGATAATGTCATGATTCAATAAACGCTTTTGCAACAGTGGCAAAATTTCCCCTAGCAGCATAAACGGTGATGATGAGAGTGAAATAGATGATGACCAACTCTTATCAGGACAGAAATGTAGAACGGTTGGATGACATAGGAGACGAAGATGAACCCCGTCAGTGACAGAAATGATATGCATAAATCGTGAAGTTTAGACTAACCCTCTTTATACAGAATTTAATATATTTTATCAGAAGAGGTTTATTGCTAAATGACATGTGAGCGACAACAGTGGGATATTTTCTGTAGTATACAGGAAGGAGTGATTTCTCGGAGATTGTTAAAGTAAGGACATCCAAGTGAAATGTGACATTCGTGGCAAATAGTATTATTACTAAATGTTCATATTCTTAATTCAATTATTGGTGATAAAATCCTGACTTTACAGTGTGAACAAGTCTTCAGTCAACCGATCATTGAGTCTGAGATTCGGTCCTTGCCCGGATGTTTCATGGCCGCTATATCTTTAGTATTCAATATCCAATTTAAAAAATCAAATATAGTAATTCCTTTCTGAAACCACCTCTGTACATAAAATGTGTAGGGATATATCAAATAGACGAATGTGGAGGAACCTGAGATACCGTATGCAAACCCCGATGTTACGTGTGCAGATATCGACGAGTGTGTGGAGAAGCAAGGCGCCTGCAGTCAGCTGTGCGAGAACACACAGGGCAGCTACATCTGCAAGTGCGCTGAAGGCTACCAGAAACTGGCCGACGGCAGGACCTGCAAGAAGACCGACAGTGAGTTTCTTGTCATGTGACCAGAGCCTTGTCATGTGACTCTTTATGTGACCCTCACAGCAATCGTTGTTATTGTGGCCTCGTTCTCCACAGAGATCATCCACGTACGAATATCGTTATCAGTGTTAAAGATGGGAGTTGCGAGGGACACTTCTGAAATGTGACACGGTAGTTTACAATTTGTTTATAGAATGTAGATTCAGTGAATCAGTGTTTTAGCAATATTCCAGGAATATCACGGCGGGGGACACACATTGTATCCGTGTGAGGAATCGAACCCGGGTGACCAGCGAACGCTTTAACCACGAGGCTACCCCACCGCCCCTATTACAGATGCAGAGCCGGCAGCGAATAAATGAATCAAGAGATTAATAATGATAGAAAATTTAACAAGAATGATTGGCACGAGAGTAACGGTTCATTTTGTTTTACAGTTCGCGATTGTTATTTTAATATGTACATGTACATCATTAATACTCTTATTCACCCATTTCCAGATATAACACCCTGGCTGATATTTGCCAACCGTTACTACATCCGGGAACTGTCAATAGAGGGAGACAACTACCGACGGGTCACACAAGGCTACCAGAACATAGTTGCTCTTGACTTCGACTACAGCGATGACCGTCTCTACTTCTCCGATGTTAAGGCACACAGAATCTACCGCATGTACCTGAACGGCACAGGCACTGACACAGTATTGAGGCATAATGTTCCCAGTGCGGAGGGCATAGCGATTGACTGGATCGGAAGGTATCCATTCCATATTGGAACTATAGGATGAGCGAGATAGGTTTAACTCCGCTTTTAACAGTATTCCAGTTATATCACAGCGTGTCAGCTTATGTGCCAGGAAAGATCAACGTGATACTTGGTGCTGTCAAACCTAGAAACATAATCGGGGCAAACCGGGATTCGAACCCACGATCATGGCGTGCCCAAGAGATGCGATTTTGCTAAGCTGCGGTATAGACGATTGAGCCACCCGTGACCCTATTATAGGGTGATATTTCAGTAGAGTTACTAATTAATTATAGGTTACAATTTTACATCACGTAATGTTTCTCTAATATCTTACCTTAAATAAGGACTCGCTTCCGCAACAGTTCGACTTACAGTAATCGATAGCTCTTTGTTAGTTATACCATTGCAAAGGTACCTTTGTGTTTACAAAGGATAACAAATTCATCTTGGAATTATTGATTCTCAGGAAACTTTACTGGCTGGACGGCAAGAACATAGAGATCTTCGTGTCAGAACTGAACGGCACAAACCGCCGCAGTCTTCTGAAGAGAGGCTTGGAACGTCCAAGAGCCCTGATTGTGGATCCGTTTGGCGGGTATGTAAAGCATCGAACGTTCTAGGGCGCTCACTGTGGAACCCGTTTGTCAGGAGTTAAGCATGATACGACGGACACCTGTTGCATGGTGCCCACTCTACCCCTGGTAGTCCCGGATAAACACAATAAATAACACTTATTTCATTCATGATAGGGTATATATATATGTTATATTTATGGCTGTATCAATAGATCTATCGCTTCCAGTCGATGGGCCAATGGCAAAACATTGATGACAAGTTGAAATAATTATATTTCATATAAAATATTAAAAAATGTTATATTTGATATTGATTCTGTCAGTAGTTTCGATAGTCGTGAAACAATGAAAGCAAAAAAACTTTCCATATTCATTAGAAATTTCAGCTAAAAGAATCACAACCTCTTGTCAAATACTTAAACATTCGTTTTTAACCAGAATGTATAATCTTGGAAGTCTGCATTGTTTGAAGGGATAGTTGTTCAGAATGTAATAGTGGTATAACTATTCAGATAGTATCACAATTATGTTCAACCATCGGATATTGCAATATCAAAATGTTCCTGATAGTCACCACCGTATCTTGATGATTTAAATAGTGAGCAATGGTGTTCAGCTTGTGTACGCAACCTACAGTGACAGCCACAGGGTATGGCAGAAATTCTGCAATGTGACGGAACATTAACTTTTTTACGGGTTCCTGAGGTTATGTACTTGCGCACATGATTTTATTTCTGACTCTGACCCCAATTCTTTAACATTTGGCATTAAACTTTGATATACTAATCAAAATAATATAATCTGTTGATCATAGTTGCAGCTTAGATTGATAATCTCCTGGTCGTTATGTATGTCTAATCCTTGTGCTACGTACCCGTACACCAATCTATATTTTCATCCACATGAAAAGTGAGGGATACAACATGAAATATATCAATGAGAGGAATGGAACTGGTTCGTTTGGGAGGCGAATGTACTCACGAACACCACCTTGTATTACCGCAATGTAATATTATTGGTCTTGATACTTTCAGATACATGTACTGGACCGACTGGGGAGCAAAGCCGTATATAGGTCGTATGGGTTTGGATGGCCAGAACCTCTCCCTCAGCTATATTACGGAGAAGATGGGCTGGCCTAACGCCCTTGCCATCGACTACGACATGAACAGACTCTGGTGGGCTGACGCCCATTTAGATATCATAGAGTGAGTATCGTCCACTATGGCATCTCAGGGGGGTCGTGTGTGCTTCCCTAAAATTATGTTGAACATTACTTGATAATACATACAGTAAATTACGGTTATAACTCAAGGGACCACTCATTTTAGTTCGTTATAAGCATGTATAACATATATACAGCAGTGGCCGGGACAAAAAAACCAAGTTCGTCATATCCCTCAGTGCGTTATAAGCGTGTTCGTAATAAACGTAGTTTACTGTATATCGCACCATCTGTCACACTAACCATTTTAGTCAAGGAAAACCATTTATGAATGTCAACTTATTATGATGAAGGAGTAGATATATACTCCGAAACGTTGTGTTTCTCATAAAGAAGTTGACATCCATAAATTATATTCCTTATATGTATCACTTCTTTAATGCCTTTCAAAGACTTCATTTTAGACAGTATATGTTTATCTTTCGAGATTGATAGTAAGGATTATCTGGACACTGTACGTGAGTCCATTTCTGGTCTTGGTCTCCCAATAACACGTCTTTAGAAACTGCAGGGCAAAGGAGAAGTAGACACTCGTGTTTGATGGTGGTTAAAATGAAGCAATCAAGAAATGGTTATTCAATGGTGATGTATTTCATACAGGTAATTATATTTTTTTACCTTGAGGTTGCAGTGTTTTGGTGACTGTTTTCAGCCTAGTAAAGTTTTAATACGGTGTCATTGTTTGGTCATAGCATGTGTATACTTTCTTTTGCCCAGCAGTTTATAGAGCCTTTAATATATTCCGAGACCAGGGCCCACTTGTACAAAGCGATCTTAGCGCTAAGACTATTGTAAGCCTATGTTAAAGTATGGGAGTTACGATCATCTTAACGCTAAGATCGCTTTGTGCAAGTGGGCCCTGGAAGTAATGGGATTGTTGGCTCTACCTTTGTGTGGCTGTTTCTCGTATCCTTGTAAGGCGGGACATGCGATTGGGATAACTAGGTTTCAAAAGATGGGCCATTTAATGAGAATGTATGCTTTGCTTCATACGGTTTTACAAAATTACTAACGTCTATTGACAGATCCATCAACCTTGACGGCACGAACCGACAAACGGTAATAGAAGGGGTGCCCCACCCATTCGCCATGACCATCTTCGAGGAGACCATGTACTGGACGGACTGGAATCATCTCACCATCGAGTATGCCAACAAGTTGACCGGCGCCAACCACACGGTGCTGCGGAATATCACACACCGACCTATGGACATCCATATATACCATCCGCTCAGGCAGAAACCTGGTACATATCCACTATTCACTCTAACGCCCGTTCGGGCAGAAACCAACTAACTATAAAACATCCGTTAGATAAGAACCCAGCTTCATATAAACCATCAGCTCAGGCAGAAATTGATACATGTCCACTATCCACTCTGACACCCATCCGGGAAGAAACAAACTACATATAAAACACCCTTTCAGGCAGAAACCAGCTTCATATAAACCACACTTTCGGGAAGAAACCTGATAGTTATATAAAATTATACTATCTACTCCATAATCCGAAAGACAGACACACCATAAAGCGCCTAGGCAGACACCTAGTTCATATACGATGTACCTTATGCACAGCCAGAGTGAGTGAGTGAGTATGGTTTTACGCCGCTTTTAGCAATATTCCAGCAATATCACGGCGGGGGACACCAGAAATGGGCTTCACACATTGTACCCATGTCGGGAATCGAACCCGGGTCTTCGGCGTGAGGAGCGAACGCTTTAACCACAAGGCTACCCGACCGCCTTGCACAGCCAGAACCAAGACAGATACATAGAACCGATGATAGCGCAACGGCTGTCGAAGGCCTATGTTAAAGTATGGGAGTTAGGATCTATTTGTGGAACACTGCCAAGGTTCATGTAACACATGTACTTTGTCATCCACTCGGGCAGAAAAAAAAGTTCGTATGGTCACCTCGCTCATGCAGAAAACTAATACATGTAGATCGGAGTAAACCCGAACAGCATGCTACCGCCCAAGCGGGCACGACAATGTTGAATCAATGTTGCAACAATGCTGTAAGAAATAAGAATGATTACTGTTGGATTTGAAAGTTGTGATGATGTTGAAACGTCGACATTGAATCAACATCAGATATCAATGTTGAAACAATGTTTTGCTTCCACGTTGAAATGAAGGTGATTCTTGGTTTGATTTGAAATCAACATCAGCTATGAATGATGAATTGTGGTAGGGTATTGGTTGACATGGTTCAAATGGACTTCCAAACTCTACTCCTAGCCTGAATTGCATCGTTTGAGATACTAGAGGTCGCTGACTGAGGTCCCGGTTCATCTCGTGTCGGGGGCATGCCAATTTCTCCACTTTGGGGACACCTTCCAAACATGGTTTAACTAGGGTGAAATGCTGCATTTTAGGAGAGTCCTGTGTGACTATTGGTCTGTCAGATACCCCAATTGTCATTGGCCCAGGTTCAGTATGGCACACATACATGCACACATACATACACACATGCATGCACACAGCAGAATTAAAAGGAGAAGTTCATCTGCTCTCAATATCTTGTATGAACAGCATTAGAGTCCAAAACTGACTGACATCGTCGTCCCATGGAAGCATTCAGATCCCGAATTGTGGCCAGGGGAATGTTCACCCACTCTGCCTGCAGTGCTTGTGCTAACTGTCCGAGGTTCTGTGACGTTCTCCCTGAGGAGAGAAAGAAAAAGTCTTATTAACACATAAACATAACCATTGTTGCGGAAAGAATCACACTATACTGAATTTACTGATACTCTCTCACCAATCAAAGTATATTTCCATTATTCGTTTGCACAAAACATGTAGTTGTACAAAACACGGAGTTGTGGCGTTGCAGCGTTCTTAGAATATAAACGTTGTATTGTTGAATACTACTTAACGGTAACCGATGATGAGGTTCAGAAAACTACAGATAAAAAAACAAAATCTTTGCTAAGTAAACACATATCCAAATTGTCTAACTTAACAATTACTTCAATCAGACTTGTTATGTTTTACATAGAACCATTATTAATGTAAAGAATACAACTCACCTCTGTGTTCTGCCATCAGAAGTAAATCGCGAGCGCTGGTCCAAACATGGAGGCATTCTGCCCTGCTGTCAACATGTGATCAGATGCCGAATGTGGCTTTCACAATAAAGCTGCAAAATATTAGGCAACAAGCTTGGTTGGAACCCTGAACCACAGTCCTGCTAAATGCCTAATCAGTCAGTGTTTTATCCGTAAATCCAATTAGACTTGTTCAGACTTTACTTGACTTTTAAAATATTATTATTAACTGACATTTTAATTGATTTGAAATGTTAAACTAAGTGTTCTGCACTTTCAACCATAATGGCGTATTAACCGAAATTAAAGACTATAATTATATATTATATTACCGACATTTATCACCAAGCCCAAATACACGCCGGGAATGTTCAAGTTCAATGCAAGATGTCACGGCAGTTTCGTTACAATCAATTCTTTAAGAAAAACATTTTACATATATGTAATGTCAGCTTTAAACATATTCTCTACCCTTGAAGATACGGGGTAGAATAGGTCTTCAGCAACCCATGCTTGCCGTAAAAGGCGAATATGTTTGTCGTAAGAGGCAACTAATGGGATCGGGTGGTCAGGCTCGCTGACTTGGTTGATGCATGTCATTGAGTGGATCGATGTTCATGATGTCAGTCACTGGATTGTCTTGTCCAGACTCGATTATTTACAGACCGCCGTCATATAGCTGTAATATTGCTGAGTGCGGTGTTAAACAAGCAAACAAATTAAACATATTCTCAATATCGATAGGCCAATGTTGAATCAATGTTGAAAACAATGTCCTCTTTCATCATATTTTCAAATATTGAAAGGCCACTGACGTTGCAACCTCAGATCTACCAAAATTTCAACATTGAAAAAACAATGTCATATGCCCGCTGTGTCGATAACCTTTAAAAAACAGAGCTAGTAGACAACCGATTGTAGTATGGAAGTGAAAATTCACACGTATTTCTGACCGAAGATACGTTTTAAGAGATAAGAAATACAGAACAATTGCATACATTTAAGCACAGTTTCAGACTGACATGCTCAGTGATCTATTCTGGGGACAGTTATAGCAATCTGTATGAAACGGTAAGACATACGATATAAGGTTTTCAAAACTCTTTTGAATAAAGAATAGGAAGCTGACATTCAGAAACCCATACCTTTCGTGTGTGAACCCTCATCTTTGAAGGCTTGACATAACATAGCAATGTGGTTGCAGCTCCCAACCCCTGTGGAACAGACAACGGCGGATGTTCTCATCTGTGTCTGATAGCTCCCGGCGGAAGTGAATACACCTGCTCATGCCCAGACGACTTCCTGATGTCCCAGGACGGCAAGACGTGCCAGGCCAACTGCAGCAACACCCAGTTCCGGTGCGGGGCCACCGACGACCGCTGTGTGCCTCTGCTGTGGAAGTGTGACGGCGAGGAGGACTGTAAGGATGGCGCGGACGAACCAGAGGACTGCCGTAAGTAGCAACAGGAACACGTCACAACCATTAAGTCCAGTGGTTAAAGTGTACGCTCATCACACGGAAAGCTCGAGTTCGATTTCCCACCTGGTTACATTGTATGAAGACCATCTAAGTGACCCCTGCTGGAATATTGCAAATTGTATCATGTCCAGTGTACTATTAATCTGTTTTGCACAAACGCTCCTGTTGCACAGCGTGTTGCCCATTTCTAATGTGTAAGTTTGGCGTTGTTAATACTGCTATGTGTAAGCAGTGTCCCTGTGGAAAAATAAAATTGTAGATTGACGAGCACCATACGTTTTAAAATGGAGACGGGGTCTATCTGAACGACTTGTCCCAAATCTACTAGGACTGACAATGGGCCCTTGCATAGTTTCTTTTTTAATGGTAACGTTACCATACGTTTAAAAAGACCCTGGCTCCTTGGATCTTTTCAAAAGAACATGACTTTTTCAAGGCTGCCCTAACATAAATCATAGCACTAGCATCCCGTTGTAGTGTAAAGCCTTGTTCTCATTTAATAATAGCAGCTTACCTAAATACTTACCTTTCTGGGCGTGGGGTACTATAGTTGTGAACCCTTTAGCTCGTCAAGCCGAAGGCCTCTGTTCAATTCCCTACAAGGATACAATTTAAGAAGCCCCCGGTGTCCCCCGCCTTGATATTGCTGTAATATTTCATTAAAATCAGATCTTAGTTTTCGCTATCGCTAAACAAAGGCAGCCAGAACTTAGATCTGATTTTAATAAGATTGCGTACTCACTGACTGACTGACTTACCTTTGCCTGTACCCGTTTCCTGTTTTAGCGGTTAGCCACTGTCCAGTTGGTCAGTTCCAGTGCCGGAACCTCAACTGCACCTACTCCTTCAGAGTGTGTGACCTCCACGACGACTGCGGCGATGGCTCTGACGAAGACAGCTGCAACAGCCGACTTTGTGAAACATGGCAATTGAAGTGCGGCAACAACAAATGCATTCCGCGACGCTGGGGCTGCGATGGAGACGACGACTGCGGCGACGGCTCTGACGAAACTTCCTGTGGTAAGTCATTAGTGATTTTGCACGAGCAGGTCTCCTTTCTCTTTCCACAAATAATCAACAATCCACAACATACATGTGTATGTAATCCACAATCCACATCGCATATGTCATCCACAATCTACCTCACATGCCATCCACAATTCGTCTTACATATGTAATGTATACAATCCTCTTGAGCAGACTCAAACTAAATCCCAAAAATATATCACCTAGATTACACGTAGAGCTAATACGTTTGGGGGATAGGCCACAATCCACAATTTAAGAAATCTAAAATTCTCCTTTCATATGTAATCCACATATGCCTTTCATAAGTAATTCTTTCTCTTTACTACTACATTTCCTGGTCAGACTGATTTTGATTCAATTCGATTTCCTTTGCCTACCTGTACATTGTTCAACCAGTGAATCAGAAGCACAAGCCGGTATTGGTCTGCTAGTACTTCAAATATTCGGGTCTTTGAAAGGCATTTAGTGATTCACATAAGGAAGAGGATATATGAATGTCAACTTCTTTATTATGAGGAACACAATACTCCGAAACGTCGTGTTCCTCATAATAAAGAAGTTGACATCCATATATTCTTTTCCTCAAATATTCGTTTTGAAACGCAATGTCAACCGAAATTGATTCTTTTTTTAAAAGATTTGATCTTGAAAAAAGATATTGTCTTTGTGACCTGTGTTTTATGTATATTTTCATGAAAAAACATTATGGTAAATGTCCTGTATTAGGAATAAGCATTGTATTTAGCGAGCCGTGGCGACCGTTTTTATCAGTTGGCTTTATCCTGCTGAGAAACCTTCCTATTATGTGATCATAGGTTATACATGTATTGTATTTCGAAGTTGATAGTGGGCACGGGTGGCCCAGTCGTCTAAGGCGCCGCGATTCGCTGTGCAGAGTTGCGTCCTTTGGACACGCCAAAAACCTATACTATACTTTTGGTAAGAGAAATGGCGATGTTGCAGGTTACTGGTGGATAGACATGTGAGAGAAAGTATTATGAGATTCTTTGGTCTCTCATTACATGACCGGGGGGCACACATGGCTCAGTTGTCTGAGGCACCGCAATTCGCTGTGCAGAGTTGCGTCCTTTGGGCACCCCTGAAACCTATGATTGTGGGTTCGAATCCCGGTTCTCCCTGATTATGTTTCTAGGTTTGTCAGAACCATACCCGTGCTCGGGGGTTTCACCGAAGTGTTAAACGTCTGAGACCTGCATCACTTCGGGCTTTCCTCCCACGTTTAGCTGAAACGCCGTGATATAACTGGAATAATGTTAAAAGCGGCGTTAAACCAAACTCAGTCACTCTAAGTTGATAAGTAATATTACCATCATTATGTCCAGGAAATCATACATGTGGGACGAACCAATTCCAGTGTGAGAACGGACGATGCATTCCGTCTTCCTGGCAGTGCGACTACGACGACGACTGTGGCGACAATTCGGACGAAAAGAAGGAATTCCTTTGTGGTAAGTGCTAGCGTTGCCTGATCTCTCTTTTCACAATGTGGACAAACCCAGCGCCAGCTTTGCTACTTACAACGATGCAGTCCACATGAGCTGTATCCAGAATTCACAACTTGCTGTTTGACTGTTCAGTGATTTTAGGCGCCGCAACTCATATCACTCGTGTCCCTAAGTTGTGCTACTTTCAACTTGTCTGTTCGATTCCTCCCTCTTTTACCCGTGAAGATCCGGGGAAGAATAGGTCTTCAGCAACCCATGCTTTCCGTAAAAGACGACTGTGCTTGTCGAAGACTAGTAGTCAGGCTCGCTGACTTGGTTGATGCATGTCATCGTATCCCAATTGCGTAGATCAATGCTCATGATGTCAATCACTGGATTGTCTGGCCCAGTATTATTTACAGACCGCCGTCATATAGCTTGAGTATTGTTTAGTGTGGCGTTAAACAACATACAAACAAACCAATATCTGCACTTTGATCTTTGGTTTGTCAGCACCGTACCCGTGCTCGTGGGTTTCACCAGCGTGGTAAACGTCTGGGGACTGCTATGCTTCCGGCTTTCAGTAAGTTGACACGGCGTGATATAACTGGATTACTATGCATAGCGGTGTTAAACCCAACTCACTCACACCTGCCCACATTTACCTCACTAACTCTTAAATAACTGCTCACACACTGAATGTCATTCTAATTTTTTATTCATGTTGTTGTCTCCCCTGGCAGAGAGTCGTGCGTGTCCCATCGGATGGTGGCGGTGTAAGACCAACTATCGCTGTGTGCCCAACATTGCCCGTTGCGACGGCGACGACGACTGCCGTGACAACTCCGACGAGCTTGAGGAGAACTGTCCCGTGTGCCATCCAACTGGCGACTACCAGTGTAAAAACAAACGTTGCATACCCAAGCGTTGGCTGTGCGACTTTGACAACGACTGTGGTGATAACTCGGATGAAGGCAGAGAAAACTGCCGTAAGTGATCAAAAAGAGGATGATTTCGTATATAACACATGTCAAACAATTAAACCGTTTTAGTTCAGACGGAACCGTTCCCATTGGAGTAATGTTTCATTTTATTGTTCTAAAAAGATGTTAAGTTCCACCCGATTCTTTCATGCAATGTCAGATTAACTTTAGTAATATGAAAGAATCGGGTGGTCATTAATTCCGTTACAGATTAACAGTAGTAATATAAAAGATTTGGTGGTCTTAATTTCTTTTGAGTTGTAGAAATAATAGATACAACTGTGATATTAGAAATGCGGTGTTCCGGACTTTTGTTTCATATAAAATTCACTTTTAACAACTATGTCTCAATCATAACTCACGCAAATCAAATTTGTAACCGACATCAACATAGTATCTGCACAATTTCAACATGGTAAATGGGTTGGCAAATTATTCCAAAGTCTGGTGGTCTGGTTGCTATACATATCAACCCATATTTAGCCCATCTCACAGATCGGGGACCACTGCCATGATGGCCCCGACTGCTACCTTTATTGAATAATTAAATAAAACCAAAAATATTAAACAAAAACCTTTCTATATTCATAAACAAACCTCTGCCAAAAGCTTTTTCGATTCACGATTCCGACTATATCATGACCATGTAATTATGAATCACTATCAAATAGTGATGATATCAGGTGTTCGCCAGGGGAGCGTATCCTGCTCCACCTGTGGCACCTGTCACAAACACATGCAAAGGCAAGTCAATTGTTCACTTGAACAAACACGGAAACACATGGTCCGAGTCAAAATAAGGAATTGTATCGGAAATCTTTTTGTCACTGATGCATCAAATTTTGAAATGGCCGGGAACATATGGAACACGTCAAAATTGTGAACAATATAGACAGGATATTATTGACAAATGAGAGCCATACCACATCAAGGGATATTCTATTTCTATCACTAGAGAGCAAATACAGGAAGTGCTCCGAGTCCGAGTTCCGCTGTGACAACCAGAAGTGCGTGCAGGGACAGTGGAAGTGTGACCATGACAACGACTGCGGGGACGGATCAGACGAGGACCCTAAAATATGCACAGGTAAGTTTGAAGCTGCACTTTTCAATTTCAATTCTTGTGGATAGACATTGATAAGCCAAAAAAACGGTATGATGTATGATGTATGATAATATATTGGTGACACTCGTGGTCTAGTGGATAGAACGACTTCCGGAGGGGGTTGGTGGTTCGATCCCCGACCATATTAAAATATGGTACTTGTTGTTACCTTGCCTGGTCGGTTCTGAGTAAGTATACTATGTCCGAGAGATGCATCCATGTTAAACTGCGGTATGGTATATAAGTAAGCTTGCACAATAAAAGCAGCGTTAATACGGACTAGTACAAGCAGTCCACACACAAGCACGCACGCACGAACGCAGACATGCAAACACACATGTCGCTTTATAAGTGCAATGACCTGATGACAACGTTAAAACCCATTTCATGTTCTTGTACGTTAAACTTGTGTTTCCCAAAAAATATTCTTCTTAATGAAATCACAAATATTAATTAAATTTATTGAATTTCTATATTTCCAATGAGATATGTATATTTATATAGTATTACCCATGTATGAGTGTATATTGTTACCATGTATTACCTCTCCCGTAGACACCCACGTGTGCGCGGACAACAAGTTCACTTGCTCAGATGGGTACTGCACGAGCCTGGAGACGGTGTGTGACGGACGCCGGGACTGCAAGGACACCTCGGACGAATTCAACTGCACCGCCAGATTCCCCAGTGGCCGCTTCTGCCCCGACAACAAGTTCCAGTGTAGCAACCATGTAAGTAGCCTCGGCATTGTCATACCCTTAGGGTAATGTCAGTGTTACTGGTCTCGCAAATGGTCTCACAATTCATAAAATAAATTGCAAGCGATTTCGTGACGATTGATTGGCTTACCAAGCAATAAAAAAGGGTACACGACACCCACTTAGGAACTACTGTTTCCTGATTGGCTGAAAATAGGATGCTTGTGTTGCATTTTTGATGTCTACAGTTCTTAAATACTTTAATATTGTTTTGTAATATAACAAAAGGAATCACTAAAATATGTAAATGACACTTCTATCAAATAGTAGTACTAATGTCGTAGTGCCAGTCTAGTTGGGTTTAGTTATCCTCACTACATGATTTCTTTGCTTTTTCATAGCTATTTGCTGGATGTAGTTGAAATGATGTATGTCAATTATTTGTTGTGTGACGCATACATACAGGATGTCAGCTATTTGCTGTGTGAAGCACACATGTAGTGTGTCAATTATTTGTTGTGTGACGCACACATGCAGTGTGTCAACTATTTGCTGTGTGAGGCACACATTCAGCATGTCAATTATTTTCTATGTGACGCACACATGCAGTGTGTCAGCTATTTGCTGTGTGACGCACACATTCGGCATGTCAATTATTTTCTATGTGACGCACACATGCAGTGTGTCAGCTATTTGCTGTGTGACGCACACATTCGGCATGTCAATTATTTTCTGTGTGACGCACACATACAGTGTGTCAGCTATTTGCTGTGTGACGCACACATTCGGCATGTCAATTATTTTCTGTGTGACGCACACATACAGTGTGTCAACTATTTGCTGTGTGAGGCACACATTCGGCATGTCAATTCTTTTCTGTGTGACGCACACATACAGTGTGTCAACTATTTGCTGTGTGAGGCACACATTCGGCATGTCAATTATTTTCTGTGTGACGCACACATACAGTGTGTCAACTATTTTCTGTGTGACGCACACATTCGGCATGTCAATTATTTTCTATGTGACGCACACATGCAGTGTGTCAGCTATTTGCTGTGTGACGCACACATTCGGCATGTCAATTATTTTCTGTGTGACGCACACATACAGTGTGTCAATTATTTGTTGTGTGACGCACACATGCAGTGTGTCAACTATTTGTTGTGTGACGCAAACATTCGGCATGTCAATTATTTTCTGTGTGAGGCACACATTAAGTATATCAATTATTTTCTGTGTGACGCACACATGCAGTGTGTCAACTATTTGCTGTGTGAGGCACACATACAGTGTGTCAATTATTTTCTGTGTGAGGCACACATACAGTGTGTCAATTATTTTCTGTGTGAGGCACATATTCAGTATATCAATTATTTTCTGTGTGATGCACACATTCAGTATATCAATTATTTTCTGTGTGACGCACACATTCAGTATATCAATTATTTTCTGTGTGATGCACACATACATGCAGTGTGTCAACTGTTTGCTGAATGACGCACACATTAACAATGTGAATTATTTGCTATGTGACGCATCCATGCAGTGTGTCATTATATGTGATGTTTCAGATATGCGTTCCTACAAGCTGGCAGTGTGACGGAGACGACGACTGCGGTGACAACAGCGACGAGGTGGCGGAAGTCTGTAAAAACATGGAGTGTTCTGAAGACAAGTTCCGATGCGACAATTTCAAGTGTATTCCACGATGGCGGCTGTGCGATGGCGTAAACAACTGCGGGGACCAGTCAGACGAAAGGTCAAACCTGTGTAAGTATTTGATCATAAGAAATATCATTAAGAGGGTCATCATGGCCCAATTCTGGACTATGGTGTTTTTAATCTTTCTTGTATTGCCGTTTTATTTGTTTTTTTGTTTAACACCGCACTCAGCAATATTCCAGCTATATGACGTCGGTCTGTAAATAATCCAGTCTGGACAAGACAGTCCAGGGCTTGATATCATGAGCATTGATCCACGCAATTGGGATACGATGACAGGCATCAGCCAAGTGAGCGAGCCTGACCACCCGATCCCGTTAGTCGCCTCTTAAGACAAGCATAGTCGCCTTTTACGGCAAACATGGGTTGCTGAAGACCTATTCTAACCCGGACTTCTCGTGTATCTTGCATTGCAACACCTCGCCGTACCCCAGGTCTATGCTCAGTAATTAGCCTACGTTCTTTCAATCTTAGCACCATTCTCTCACCCCCCTCTGAATAGATCACTCCTTTGCTCATAGGTACTGTAAAGACAACCATCTGTGCATCAAATCAGTTCAAGTGCCGCAATTCGAAATGCCTGGATGCTGATAAGGTCTGTGACAATGTGGACGACTGTGGAGACGTCTCAGATGAAGAGGGATGTCGTAAGTGCACCGTTCGTGTTGAACATTAGAATTAATTTTACTTATTTGATCAGTAGACACGTGTACTGCATTCTTTAATATAACAAAGGGTATATAGGTGATATACGGTTTATATTGATATGCGTGTTATGCAGACAAGGACGTCGGTGTCAGGGACTGCTCAACTACCAACGGCGGCTGCGAACACAACTGCACCAACTTGTCCGAGGGAGGCTACTACTGTAGCTGCCGAAAAGGCTACAAGATCGCCACCTACGACAGAAAGACGTGTGAAGGTGACCAATCCCAAATGTCGGATTAGGGCTTTCAGACAATTTTGAGTATTCTGACCTGGCATCCAGTGTGAAAAAATGCACCCTAGAACAACATAAGTACATTAATTTTAGTAATCTATCCATCTTGTTGTCCTGGGTGCCGTTGTACAAAGCGATCTTAGCGCTAAGGTGATCGTAACTACCATATCCTTACATAGACTTACGACAGGTCGTGCTAAGGTTGTTTTGTACAACGGCACTCTGGTACTGTAGGAAATGTTCTGGTACCGTTGACCTAAAGGAAGGAGCTATGTTGATGAGTAACACCCAAAGAGGTGTATGCCCATGATTTGTTCTATTCGCTCATATATCATGACTCGTGCATAACCAATCATGGTAATGATATACACTCATGCATTGGGTCTATAAATATATAAATATATTTCCTTGGAAATATGTAAATTCAATAAATTCCATTGACATTTGTCATTTCAATGACAAAAGAGTCGAGTTGAATGTAATTTCTTTTGAAACGACTCAAGAGGTGACATGAAATGGATTTTTAGGGTGCGTTCATGATTATTGTACTTATTTAGCGACCCATGTCTGCGTGTGTGTATGTGTAAGTGTGTGTGTGTGTGTGTGTGTGTGTGTGTGTGTGTGTGTGTGTGTGTGTGTGTGTATGTGTGTGTGTGTGTGTGTGTTAAATCATGATCCCTGCATGTTACCCACATCACTATGATCGATTATCTATGATCATGCACATCTTCCACCTATTCCTAATATTGTCCTAATCGTTGTGTTGATACAGTCGCCGTAGTGCGTGTCCTGTGAAACATCAGCCTTCATGTTGGTTCATGGCTTTGTGCTTTAATATCATGTGTTTTTGTTCCGCAGATATTAACGAGTGTGCCGGGTGGGGCAACAGTTGTCCCCAGCTCTGCCAGAACATCAAGGGCACCCACAAATGTCAATGTGCTGATGGCTTCGTCGACACCAACAGAAAAGGCACGCTGTGCAAGTCCAAAGGTTCGTATGTGCAAAGTTATACTGTACACCTGGGTAATAATTGACCTTATCAGCTTATGATTGAGGGGTGGTGTCCAACTAGTTCTACTTGCGAATACCTCAAAAACGTTGGTAATCATAGTAATTGTTTATGGTTGAATTACATGAACAAAATGAAAATGTATTATATTGCTAATAATATTTATTTGGTGCATTTTTCAGTCCCATAGATATTAAGATGAAAACAAAGACAATGGCATTCGTAATGCCTCGTAAATCTTTGTGTTACCTTCTAAACATTCTTCACTGCTCCCAAGTAGACCTTCAACAATCTTATATTCCACAGAGAGAAACGCAGTCCTGTTGTTTGCCATGGGATCCGAGATCCGCCAGTACCGCACCAGCACCAAGGAGTATACTGACGCGGTGGTGGCTGGACAACGGATCCATGCCCTGGACGTGGACCCCGCCTGGCAGCTCCTGTACTGGACGGACACGTCACAACGCAGCATACAGCGGGCAGCCATGCCGAAAGAGGCCACGATGCAGGGGTTCGCTCAGAGCCTGGAAATATCCGGGTTACAACAACCGGAGGGTCTGGCAGTAGACTGGGTAACAAAGTAAGTTATCACTTGCAGTTGTATTGAATGTCGCTTCGACAGTCTAATGTTGGACGAAGGTTGGGATGTTTGGGTGGTAAATGGAAATGACACGTGGATATGGAAATGACAGGTGAGGCTCATAATCTAGGATTCGAACCGACAGCTAAGGGACACAACTCTTAACAGTTGGCTGTGGCATCTTTGACAACATGGTCACGTCTTCTATGAAAGTACAGTTTCAACTCCCTTGCCTCGGGAAGATGGCCGTGCCAGTGCCCCTGACTATGGCATGAACTCCTGATACGAATAATGATCATATTGATGTGACACGTTAGTCAGTCCAGGCTTTGACTAATGGCTCAGGTCATCAGGACATCACTACGTCCCTAATACATAAACTTATATGTATTTGCTCTGAGGGGCGGTCGGGTAGCCTAGTGGTTAAAGCGTTCGCGCGTCACGCCGAAGACCCGGGTTCGATTCCCGACATGGGTACAATGTGTGAAGCCCATTTCTGGTGTCCCCCGCCGTGATATTGCTGGAATATTGCTAAAAGCGGCGTAAAACCATACTCACTCACTATTTGCTCTGATCGTGTCTGTCATTTTCTTTATGAATATATAATGATATTATAGGAACATATTCTGGACGGACTCCGTGAAGAAGACTGTGTCAGTTGCCAAGTCTGATGGCAGATATCAGAGGACTATCGTGAGCAAGAACCTGCACAGTCCCACAGCGATAACTGTGAATCCTAGACTCGGGTGAGTCCCTTAATAGAAATACAGAACATCAAACATAAACATGTCAAGAGAGTCTGATCACAAATCCCAACAGTATCATGACCATCTATGCAGACTGACGTCAGACAAATGTTCATCCCACACTCCGTGTGATCAGGTCCTTCATGGGGTTTCGAGTTGGTTTTCGTAGGGTTTCCGTAGGTTTCCGCTCTCATCAACCTATGCTGATCGTAAGCTATGGATCAGGTGCTGAGACTCGGCGAGACTTGGTTGATTGCATGTTATAGGACCGCGACGACATGGAATGTTGCTCAGAATATCAATCACTGGTTTGTCTGGCGTTATAAAACAAACACACTAGCAAACAAAAAGAACTGGGGTATCCATTATATAATTATACCCTTTCTCATCTGATGTTCGTTCCTAATATTTCATATGCATTTGTAAGCCTAGCGAATTGAAACTAAAATATTGAAAAGAGACATGTATGATTTATATCCCCTCATGGCGGTACAAGGAAGGAAACAAATATTATTTGATTTCCACTTCAGGTTTCTCTACTGGACAGATGTAAGTGGAACCCATCCCAAGATTGAACGTGCATGGACAACTGGAGACAAGCGATCTGTACTGGTTTCAACAAAACTAGGCAGGCCCACCAGCATTGCAATCGACTTCTTCATGGGCGACCGCGTATACTGGTGTGACGCTAAGGAGAACGTCATTGAGTCCATGAAGGCAGATGGTTCCGACAGGGTGGTGGTCACAGCCAAGAGTAAGATATTCAATAATTTGTTGATGTCTTGTAGTGGAATAAACTGACTATTTTTCATGTATTAATGTATTTTCTGCAAGATAACACAGCAAAGGGCAATACTCCTCAAAACGATCTCTTTTTTCCATACTATGGGTATACGTTTCTAGTCAGCATTCATCATAAGCGTTGTACGAGTGAGTAGGTGTTTACGCCACAAACCTTATCATGACAGAGGATACCAGAAATCGGCTTTAATCATTGTTCCAATGTGGGGAATCAACCCCGGGTCTTCAGTTTCACTGTTTGGTCAGGGTTACAGCATTCAAGTCATCAATAAAGTTTTCAAAAGGATTTATGGAAGACATTTCCAAATTTGAGGCATCAGTGACAGAATTTATGCACAATGCAATTCCCTATTTTGACTTGTAACCGCTGAACAATTGACTTGCCTTTCCGTGTATTTGTGGTGGTGCCAGGTGGGACAGGATACGCTCACCTTTTCGCGAACACCTAGTATCAGCACCATTTGATTGTGATTCATAAACACGTGGTCATGATATAGTCGGAATCATACAATCAGCTCTGCTTTTAGCCGAGATTTCTGATGAGTATGGAAAGCCTTTGGTACTTTTATTTAACAACTTGACTAGTCCATCCCACACTGTTAATTTCATTTGGCATTTGTTTATTTTCAGATCTGTTGAATCCAGTGAGTCTGGACGTGTTTGAAGGTCGCCTGTTTGTTGTGGTTCAGCAGTCAGGACAGATCATCTCCATGAACAAGCTGGGCCTAGGGGATAACAGGACCCTCCAGACAGGCCTGGTGCTACCAACAGGCATCAAGATATACCACTACAACAGATATGATCTCACGAGTACGGTCTTACACCAGACATGTATTTCATCTTGTATTCAGAGAGCGAATCTACCGCTCCACGTTAAAACTTGTTACCCATGTAACCTTATTTTCTTGCCTCAGCAATTTTAATTTAGGTTTTCTTTTCTATGTAATTTCACAGAACTTCACTTGGGAGTTCCTTGTGGATGCTGAAGCGAAGCGTTCCTTGTACTGCATGGTCTGTGAATGTTGATCAGCCACGTTGTCAATGAAACCATTACGATTCATGACCACGAGATTGAGGGGATTGTATTTCTATCTTCTAGTTAAGAACGCTTGTGCAAAAGCCACGTGCAGCCACCTGTGTCTCCCCGTGCCAAGCGGATTCCGATGTGCCTGTCCTGACGGCACCAGCTTTGCTGATCCAAGTGAAACAATTTGTGATGCAGGTACGAAATGTAGCTTTTTTCACCGTTTTCTCTACTGTAAGGCACAAACACAATTACATTAAACGTTGACAGGCACCGACATTTGCTATATGGAGTTATGTTCCTTAGCTGTGCCACGATCCGATTATCGGGAATCTCCAAGATTAACTCCGATTATGATCTTTGATCTGTCCTCGGCATGATCGTTGGCTTCACCAAAGTTTCACTTCCTGTTTTAAACCAACTAGAACTTATGTGATATTCCTCAAATACCGTACTCACTCACCTATAATCCCACATCTAAACATTGTTTTGCTACCAACGTTTGTTTGTCATGTGTGACTCAAATTCCGCGTAACCTATTATTTCCACTTCTTCTTTCAGCTAAAGAAGTCGAGATCCCTATACCCGAGGGCTGCAAGTGTCGGAACGGTGGAGCCTGTGTTAAAGTGGCTGACAACGATACCTACAACTGTGACTGTATAGCAGGTAATTAACGACCACTGAACCAAATACGTAACTCTATCCAAGATGAATTTCGGTATTGACAGATACATGCAATGTCAAAATGAGACTAACATCATTTGTTCACTACAATTGCAATACATATTTTTCAGGGTTTTATGGACAATATTGTGAAAATATACAGCCACAACACCTTTCCCAGGATGATACAAGTACGTATACTCTACAAGCTATTCAAAATAACAGAACTCAAAGGGACCTTCACCATTAACAAGTTATATCCAAAGTTAGTTATGGTACGCAGTCACGTTTAGTGATTTTCCAAAGGCTACTGATAACTTGTTTGAAGGTTTTACTAAGGTATTTAAGAAACGCCATTATCTAAAAGTTATTATATAAAAAGGAACAGTTTCCTAGTACCGTCTGACTTTGTTACATCCAGCGGTGTTTGGATCTGAAGAGGCGACTATTCAGAAGAGATACAAGAAATCATGTTTGTCACGTGTTGTTTCAGGTACAGCTGCCATTGTGGTGCCGATAGTGCTGGTGACCATCATCATCGTCCTCGTCGTCGTCATACTATTGGTAGTTCGGAGGAGAGGGTAGGTTTCTGAAAAACAGTATCTGCTTGCATTCATTGCTGCAGAGAACGTTGCAGTTGTCGGACGCATCCTACTGGAAACGTTAACAAGTACTCCAATGAGTCTTGCGAGCTGATAAATGATATAGGTTTTATTGCCCATTTGGTTAGAAATGGCCGACTTAATAACAATCGTATGTCCAAATATCACTTCACCTGCACCAGTGTATTGTTAACGTCATTGGGGCGGCATTGTTGGCTAAATTCGATTCTTATTTTAACGTCAGGTTGGAATAATGTCACACTAGAAACGATGATAGCTGAAGATAAACGTCATTCGAAAATATGTTTTTTCTAATATAGCGGTCGTGATCTGTGCATATTGTCTAAGGGGAAGCTTAAAAGGATTAAGAAATAATGGGAAATAAAGAAATTATTACACTGACATGTGTGTCAAGCTGTTTTTCGAAAGGTGTAAGAATACATGTATTACCCTCTCGCTCAGGCGATACAGGGAAATTCAGACACTCGTTTCGGAAAATCAGTATGACACACATGCTCGTATGTTAATATCTATATACGGGATATACTATTCCAACTACAAATTTGAAATATGTTAAATAACACTCTATACCCACGATTCCATTATTTAAAGATCGTTAATGACATATTCCAGATGGAACTAGATATCAATCAATCTTTGTTTCAGATATGGTTTTAACTTTAAAAAGATCCTATCAAAGACGCCCTCGTCCGACCCTGAGAACAAGCCCCAAGGCGTGGTGTCCTACCACGACGGGAAGCTGGGCATGCCCGGAATAACATACGACCTCCCCGGGGCCACAGGCTTGAATGCTGTAAGTAACCACAAACTGAGTCCTCTTGGGAATACAGGGGCACAATATCCCATGCTTGTCGGAAGAAGCTACTAAAATGATTGGGTGGTAACACTGTATGACCTGATTGTGTGTTGTTCATACTTTCAAGACTCGATTATTAACAGATTACTGGATATCAGCTGGAATATCACTACAAGGGACATGTTTCCAAAATTAATTGTTTCTGTTTTATTACAGCAATAATGCTGAATGTAAGAGTTTTGCTTGGTTGGTTGGTTTGTTGTTAAACGCCACACTCAGCAATACTCCAGCTATATGACGGCGGCCTGTAAATAATCGAATCTGGACCGGACAATCGAGTGATTGGCTGAATCGGAATACGATGACTTGCATGACCCAAGTCGCAGAGTTTCACCACCCAAACCTTTTAGTCGCCTCTTACTTCAAGCATGGATTCATGAAAACCATTTCTCACCCAGATGTTCAATGGTATTATATTTTTTTTAAGCTGATGTCATTCATTTTTAACAGGAGTCGTCGACAGACCCCGTTGCAAGTATAAACGACCCTACCTCTCCGACCAACTTTTGTAACCCCATGTATGACAGTCTACACGTCCAGGAGACGATATCCATACCCCATTCATCTCATGAACCACCAAAACAAGCATCGGATGTGATTGACGCCTTCCATTCGGACAAAAAACATTATAACGGAAGTGCTGACATCCGGCCCCCTCCCCGGGCATTAGACCCGACGGAAGACGTGGAACATGACACGGCTGGACTTGTTACCCAGGGAGACCTAGAGTGACCCCGACCCCTAGGCAGATAGACAGAGGTACTGTTGAGAAACTGCACATCTTCTGCCAAGATTTGTCTTCCAAGGAACATGGAGGAGATATGGAGATTTGAACTGGCATGTCTAGGAGTGAGTGAGTGTGTTAATTTCAGCCATTTAAGGACGTGAACTAATTACACATTCATAACATCAGGCACAGTCAGACAGTGTTGTAAATATCAGATTAAATATACTACTCAAAAGAAGTTAAGGTACACCCGATTCTTTCACAGTACTATACTTTAGTTAATCTGTTATGTCTGAGGGGGTTTATTGTGGTTTGAAACCTCTGATTGACCAATCAAACTCGATTATTTTCCACATTCATGGTAGTAGAATGGACCTTACGCTTGCAGTGCCTCGGCAAATGTTTTCAGCATTGTAACGTTTTGATAACGTTTGTAACTGTGTGAACAAATCTAACGTTGAAGTGTATGACAGATTAACCGTAGAAATATGAAAGAATCGGGTGTTCTGTAACGTTTTTGAGTGGTATATGTTCCAAGATAGATGAAGGCATTTTAACATGCATGTCTTGAAAGGATCATGTTTCAAAATAGACTTAGTCTCTTCTTGATTGTAATAAAAGAATAACTTTTTATATACACTAGTTGTGCGATGTGTCTATGATTGTGATTGCTGTGATCAGGATGTTGTGTATGTTCCTATCTTGTGGGTGCCTTGAAATGTCAGAATGCTAGTTCTATGAATACTAGAGAAGCTGCATAATGATGTAGAATGGCGTCTGAGACTCCATAAAAGATATATGAAGTCACTGAATGTTGTGCTGGACTGTAGCATTATGTTTAAGATTCATGTTGAGATGTTGTATGATAGTTATCACCGTGCCCGACGTAATGACTAGTGAAGGATTAGAGTGTATATACATACCCCCATCCTAATCCCAGAAATAGAAGTGACCATAGGCGGATCCATCCCCCCCCCCCCCCCCCCCCCCCCCCCAAATGTAGTATGTTGTTGGCATAAAATTTATCAGAGAGAGACTTTGATATTTTGGCCCCTCCCTTTTAACAATGCTGAATCCGCCCTTGGTTACCCTATGAAACGTTCAGTGCGTGCAGGGGCATCAATTATGTTGTCTCAGTGTGAAAGACACCCATATGGGACATGGCAAAGTACATCTATGCAACATAGTAACGAATCTGACATTGATTTGACAACTGCTGAAGTCCTATTTGACATGTCTGTTTGGAGATTAGGCTTTATAAGGTGCTTTTAATTTGACTGATTTCAATGTTATGATTGGGTACTTCATATTGCCTAATAGTATGTCACCATGTGCCTATGACTGCATAATTCCAATATCCATTCTTCTCCATGGTCCTATCACATTTGCATAACCGTATCATGACAGCATATATAAACCATGACATCATGTGTGCTACATCGTTGTCTTAACCACATGGATGATACAAGATTTGTTGACCTTCAAATTGGAGGGTTTCTAGTTTGCCATTTTTATCAAAATTATAAATAAGACTGTGAGATTGAATCCTTTCAATATTTAAGAACATGATTACTATTTTGAGATGAACTATTAAACATTTGCAATGTTTCACAGACATAATATTAATCATAAATGGTCAGTTATAGATTTCCCATGCAGCCTACATCGCAGAAAGACCAATGTTGCATATTCAACACAGACCAAATTTTAACAAGACTTAGTGTTCTGTGACAAATAACCAAACCAAAATCATGAACTGGTGTGATTGAAGTTGGTTTATGATTGCTTAAACTGTATATCAGTTATAGTCAGTGTAGCAGCCTAATGTGGGAGGACAGCGAGAAGTGATGCAGGTGTCAGGGGTCGCCATTTTGATGACTACACCTGACATGACACATTTGTAACCATCTCTTGTGGTTGTGTGGTAAACATTTACATTCATGTCAGGACGTCAAACATCTGGGCTCCGTTCCACAGAGCGATCGTAGGGCTACGACTGTTGTAAGCCTATGCTAAAGAATGGGAGTTACTATCATCTTAGCACTACGTTTGCTTTGTGGAACGGGGCACAGGGGTTTTACTTGTCCATGTGGCTAAATCTCAAAACGCTCTATGTGTGACCCCATTGTCTGACAGTAGGTTAGATGGGTCATGTAATGAGTGAGTGAGTGAGTTGGGTTTAACGCCGCTTTTAACCTTATTCGAGTTATATCACTGCGTGTCAGTGATGCAGGTCTCAGACGTTTACCACTTCGGTGAAACCCACAAGCACAGATATGGTGCTGACAAACCTAGAAACATAATCAGGGCGGACCGGGATTCGAACCCACAATCCTTGGTTTCTGGCGTGCCCAAAGGACGCAACTATGCACAGCGAATTGCGGTGCCTCAGACAACTGAGCCATGCGTGCCCCCCGGTCATGTAATGAGAGACCAAAGAATCTCATAATACTTTCTCTCACACGTCCATCAACCAGTAACCCGCAACATCGCCATTTCTCTTGCCAAAAGTATAGTGATCTTAGAAAGTTCTTCAAGTGAACATTATCATCATGAGATTGTAACTGGCTATAACATTGGTATCATGTTTGTAAGAAATGTAACTTTTACTGATTTATTCAGTGCTGTAGGACCTGGTACCATCGTACCTATGAAGTGAGGGTGTTTGTTTTACCCTCATTACCACTTTGTATCATGTACCACCCACAACAATCTCCAGATATCGATGGGAGTTTGTAAGCTGCATTATTTGTTCTTCATCATGTTTTCTGAATTAACAAAGTTTCATTGAGAAGATGTCTTCCAAAAAATAATGCCAATGCAATTTCTACATGTAATGTATTTCCTTGTATGTATACGAACTTGTAAAATATGTTGACTTGTATAGCCAGAGATTTTGTTGTATTTTTACATGCATAAAGGTTCACAAGAAATATGTCCACTGAATACATTTCTGATGAGTGTTATTTCAGGGTATAAATAATGTCCATGACTGTAAATAATTGTTTTAAGTGTTGGAATAAATATATACCAGCAGCTTGTTTTGTGTCCTTTGTTTTACCTTCTTTGATCAACAGACCACACTTAATGGAATAATTTTGCCTTCACCTTTTCTTCTTTGTTTTGGTATTTTCTCTTTGTCAAAGTGCATATGTTCTCCGTCAGTACAATACAATGCATTTTCAGGTCCATTTTCAATCATCAGGGGGCTTTGGCTTTTCAAGAATATTTCTTTTGATCTTTTCAACACATGTCATCGTATCCCAATTGTGTGGATTGATGCTCATGATATCAATCACTGGATAGTCTGGTCCATACTTTATTTACAGATCGCCGTCATATTGGTGTAATATTGCTGAGTGCGGCGTTAAACAACAAACATATACAGTTTTCTTCATGGACATTTCCTTTCATCAAACAACTTTCTTGTTTTTATATCATGAAACAAGATCCTTCCTGAGCTGATAATACAGTCAAGTCATGTTAATCTGACAATCGGCTATGTGTATTGAAAAATGGCAAATCTAAAAGGGTTAGTCTCTTAGACATCGTTTGTTTTGTTTCTTCAAATCCTTCAACAATTCTGCAAACCACATTGAAAGATATTGCAGAGGCCAAGGTTGAATCAGCCATTTAATTGTGGCAAGAAAAAGTATACACTCGTGTTTGATGGTGGCTAAATACGAAACAAACAAGAAATGGTTATTTGATGGTGGTGGATTTGAGAGGGTATCATAGGCGATAATTAGGAGATAAACATACTGTTTTTTCAACGTAGAGCTAGGTTACCTGTAGATTTAACTGTGCTAAATTGAATTTCAAAACGAATGTGCAGATCTCTGTTGTCTTCTAAACTTGAAATACATTCTCTTTGTAGATTTCTGTCGTGTTTTCTGCTCAATATGTATTGCCACATATCGTAGTAACAGCATCTTCCCATTTCGTAGCCTATTATTGTACATATAATTATTTGATGTGCCTACTGACAATGACTATAAAAGAAGAACTTTTCTAAAAAATATTAGCTTCCGCGGTGATGCGGCTGATAAATCAGCTGTTTCAATCAGAGGGGGTTTGTTGTGGTTTGAAACCTCTGATTGACCAATCAAACTTGAGTATTTTCCAAATTCATGGTAGAATCGACCTTACGTTTACAGTGCCTTTGCAACTGTTTTCAGCATCGTAACGTTTTTGATAATGTTTGTAATTGTTTGGACAAATCCAATGCTGAAGTGTATTCTTTCTTTTGCCTGGCAGCTTATTTGCAATGTTGCATCATCCAGCATCTGCACAGCAACAATCACAGATGCTGCAGCTGTAGTTCACATGTTCAGGAGCCACTGGCACAGGTAAAACACAGGATGTTTGGGTATCAGTTTATTTTTGGCAATAAAAATTAAACAGACGTTCATTTATATCACAGTAAAAAAACCTGGTCTACCACAATACAAAAATAGCATTTTACCTGCTGTGACTACAATCATAATGCTGTATTGCCCAGGAAGAGGATGTCTAGGTTTTGACTGGAATGTAAACAAAGTTGTTTTTTAACCTCTGAGTTATCTATCTCGATATGAAACAACATGGTCTAGTTCAGGAATAAAGCATAAATAATATTTAACAAGAGATCTAAAAAAGAATTGTTAATAATTTCTGTAAAAAAAAGAAAAATTCAACTGTTCTTTTTGGCAAATTGTGTTTGTGAGCAGATTAAAAATGTTAAATGGAGGTAAATATTGTGGAAGTGATAAAAATGATATTAAGATATAAAACAACAAAATGCATCAAAACATTTCTTGTGTTGCTCTGTGGCATCTTCTTGTTGCTATGGTAACCAGGAGAAACAAAAGCACCATCAGTGTACACAGTGAGTAATGAACTGAACAATTGAACAAACGTACACTCAACGGGCATCAAGTATCCCTTTCTGAAAGAACCTTGAGTCCTGGGCCCACTTGCACAAAGCGATCTTAGGACTAAGATGATCGTAACTCCCACACATTAACATAGGCTTACGATCGTCTTAGCACTAAGATCGCTTTGTGCAAGTGAGTCCTGGTAGCACTGTCCCATGTACACTTTCTGATGAAATATACTGTATGGCATGAAGTATCTACATATTTTAACATATACGTAGATACTTAAAATGGACTGAAGTTAGAATTTGTCTTATTTTTGTTCGCTTGCAGCCAGGCTCCTCTGTGTGTCTGGTTTCTGGTGCGTGTCAATGCGAGCTGGAACGTTCTTGAACCTGAAAAACAATATCACCTTTTATTGTTTAACTATCGGTGTGAAAGCCCTATCTATCTGTAAGACAAATTCTGTTTATAATGGATGATGAATTAACCATTCCTTATCTCATCAAGCTTGCTGTCATTTGTGGTCCAGTAACTGACACAGGCACATCAGGCCTGTCCTGAAATCTCTTCACTGGCTAAAAGGTTCAGGAGAGGACACAGTTCAAAATCCTACCTCTAATATACCGGTCACAAGTTCTTTCATCTATATCTTCAAGTTCTCACTTCCATGTATTAACCTTACAGTTCCTCCCTAGAAGTATTACAAAGACATTTGGTGCCAAATCTTGTTAAGCTTCGAGTACTTCGTTTGAGAAGTAAAATTATGCAAAAACAACTTGCAGTAAATAATTTTGTGGCATGGACAACTTATTTATATGTAAGTAGATGTCTAAACAATGTTACTCACGAAAATGTAATAATACAAACTACTAAATCAACAAAGTTGGGACTGAAGACAGTTATACAACTACATCGGGTTATGTGGCAGTAGAGACTGTAGTGAGTATATTTCTTGTCTCTGTCAGTGGCAGCAAATGACTGAAATGCTTGTAAAATATTGTGTGCTGTAGTCCCCAGATAATAACAGGAAGTGTGATTAAGAGTTACCTCCCTTGCCTGTAGACAAATAGGACAGATATGAAAATTTGAGAAGTTTCGAGATGGGACAGCTTCTAGAAGGCTGACTTAACCTTTATAGAGCAACATGAAGATGAATTAAGGCCTATTACAACCTGACTTACGCCTTATTTACTTGTTCACAATATAGCTGAAATAATGCTGATGCAATGTTAAACTTGAGGAGGAATTGATTATTCCGAGGACCTTGGTTTGATGCCCGACATGGGTACAATGTGCAAGGCCGTAGTTAACTTTTTTTGACAGGGGGTGCAAATATTTGTACAAGTATCACTTGTCCCCAACTTGATTCAAATAAAACTGTTTTCTATAAAAAATCCAGGGGGGGCAACTGCCTACCCTGCCCCCCCCCCCCCTGGATGGCTACAGCACTGATGTGTGAAGCCCATTTCTGGTGTCCCCTGCTGGAATATTGCTAAAAGCTGTGTAAAATCATACTCACTCACTCACTCACTCTTCAAAATACTTTAAAAAGCATAGTCTGGAATTGAAGTGGCCAGTTTGAAACTGGTACCACAAAGCTTAAGAAAGCTGCTTTCTTAGTTGCTAACGTTGACTTCCTGTTAGTCATTTCATTGGTCAGTCATAGTTCGCGAAAGGCTGTTCTGACATGACCTGTAACGGGATGTCCTCGAGATAGCAAGAACTTGTATCCGATTTGAATTAGATTGAGGTAATCTAACGTGATTAATCATATTTTCTTTATTTAAAACATTAATTGTTTATTGTTCAGCAAGCTATTTCTGCAGCCGTTTTAAAATGCAGCTACCAGCCTACTCATCTCGCATCAAAACACGGGGCTGTGTACTCGCGAGTAGATGACCACAGATTACACTGATCACTGTGTCGGATTAACAAGACTGATTAATGAGTGATTTCGGTAATTCTTTGCAAATTAGGTCTGTCAGAGTCGGAGTGTGAGACTGTCGGATTAACAGGTCTAAATAGCACTGATTTAATCGGTTCCCATCATTAGTGTCGGATAGAGCTGACTGTCGAATTAATAAGTGTCCGAGACGAGACTTGACTGTACATGGGATGTATACTTCACACAATCAACTAACTTACAACTTACTTATTGCAGACATTAACTACAACCACTGAAATATCCATACCCACAACTACTTACAATTGTTTTCTGAAGCCAAGTTACCCTGAGAGTATTACTTAGGAAGCCAGAAACCAATTCTTGAACATTTCTTGAATAGACTTTGATCAAATGTCATAAGAAAGTACTTACTTTGTAAGTTTGAATGGTTCTTTTTCCTCTGTGCTGTTGCGTCTGTGAGCTGTGCGGTCAGTAATCTTGTCAGTAAGAATATCTACTGTGCGATCTCTCCTGAAGAATATACACAATGATAATGCCAAAGAAGTAGAAAATTTTACGAAAATTTAATATTTGTGGGTGTTATTGAGTAATATTAACATTTCCCCAACATTTCTGTTGCTGTGCACGGAATTACACATGTCTAAGATCCATACCTGGTTCGAGTGCTCCCGGCTGACTTGTGGAAAGTATCTCTATACTCAGACTTGAGACTGCCATCTGCCACCTTGTGCTTGTCCTGCTTCTCATGAAGGTCCTTCATCTTGCCATGCCATTCCTTGTCATAGGCATACGACAGAAGTTTGTCCATCGCAGGCCGCTCAGCTTTAGCTTCCGACCTGTGTTCAAAGATGTCCACAGACTGTCAGCCACCATCAGCCTCTCAGGATACATTCTAACCATATATTCCATGTTTTTCATTTAACATTTTTTAAGGCATAAGTAAAGGACCGGGGCGAATCCAGAGGCAAGTTCCAGGGGGTCCGGACCCCCTACCCCCACCACTTTTGAAAATCAAATGTAGTATGTTGTGTACCATGCAAACTGTTGTCACATACATGTTGCCACGATATGGCTGAAATAATGCTGATGTGACAATTAATTTTAACTAATGATTGTGCCAACAATTGTTCCAGAAATTCTGCAAGCTTGTAAGATGACAAGATACTGTAAATTTTGAAATTAATGCAAGGGTGAATTAAATGCGAAAAATCGGAGTGGACTTTACTTGCATTAATTAACTTCGCATTTATGTCTATAACATGACTGTCAACAATAAGACGGCCTCACTGCACTCTTTGGATAGTGGAAATGCCAACTTGAATATAAACACAAACATGGTTTATCGAGCAGCAGTTGTAACAAGTACATAACAATGTCATTCAAAGAATAGGAATTACACAATGGGCATCCGGAGAGCTATCACTGGGTCAAGAGTTCTACCAAGAGTTCTGTCAAGCTTGTTGACACCTTCTCTGCATACCAATCAGTGAACTGTTGTTGGTTTAATTATTTTTATTGCCTTTGAACTTCCTTAATGCCAGTCAACAGAGTAAACATAGCAACAGTGTGTTGCTTTTAGGAAAACATTGTGTAATGTTTTTACAGAAGTGCTATTTGCTATTGCTATTTGCTGTTTGCTGGTGCTATTTGCTGTTTGATTGGATGAAGGTAAATTTAGATTAAGGTAAGGAAATGCATCATTCCACTGGGGATGGGGTGCGGGGAGACGCATTGATATTGAGTCACATTTTTGGCTAGGGGTCAGCAGTCGTGTTAATTTGGAGACGCATTAATTTCCAGATTTACAGTAAAGCAGGCACATGATTGTAATCATGAACTAAAATATCCATATTGAGATAAACTTACGACTGTGCAGATTTGTGTTTGGGTTTATCCCCTTGTGCGTTCCCGACAGCTCTCCGCCCCTGAGCTGCCTGCTTCTTGGCATGAGGTGGTTTGCTGTTCCGGATGCCGTACCCCGCTGGTATCTCTTCCGGCAACTTGACTGTCTTGTCTGTGAGTGCCTGTCCCTCCCTCTGATAGGCTGTGGCTAGGTCGAATGCATAAGGCGCCCGCCTCTCCTTAAGACTGCTGATACTCTCTGGCTCAAAGTCTACACCAGCAGCTTTCTTTGAGTCGTGAACCATGTACTCTGGCAGCAGGAACTCCCAGTTGCTGGAATAAAACAAGATAAAAAAACAATTGAAATGTTTTGGTTTTGGCTGGCCAAGATTACCTTCCAACTAACTTAAAAATATAAACCTTGAAAGCAAGGATTACCTTCCAACTTACTTAAAATTATAAACCTTGAAAGCAAGGATTACCTTCCAACTTACTTAAAAATATGAACCTTGAAAGCAAGGACTACCATCCAACTTACTTAAAATTATAAACCTTGAAAGCAAGGATTACCTTCCAACTTACTTAAAAATATGAACCTTGAAATATTACCTTCAAACTGACTTAAAATGTTTTTCCTGAAACACTTTCTTAATATCTGATGATTTTTCAATTAATACTCTCTTTTGGATATAATGCATATTTGTCTATTTCACAAATATTTAGCCAATTTTGTTTGACTATTTAATCTCCATTTTGTTTCCTAACCACCTGATCTATTTTTGCCTCTTACAACCAGCAAAGACTCCCCACAAGGAATGAGCAACACAGCAGGGTGACTGCATGAGTGAGTGAGGTTTTATGTTGCTTTTAGCAATATTCCAGCAATATCACAGCTGGGGACACCAAACCCATGTCGGGAATCGAACCCGGGTCTTCAGCGTGACAAGCGAACGCTTTAACCACTAGGCTACCCGACCGCCCTCACAGCAGGTTGATGCAACACATACGTTTCTTCCTTTTTAGCAGCATCCTCCACAGCATTGTCTTCCAGGTAGAACCATTCCACTCTCGGGTACCCCCGGGGCTCGCTGGTCTTGGGGGTACAACTATTAATCTGAAGGAGGTCTGTTGAGGAAACATACACCTTAACATCATTTCAGAATATAAATCACAGAATGGTATCATAGAAGTAATAATGTAAAACCATGGGCTACAGAATAATGGACATTTTAAAATTATTTTTAGTTTCACAAGTATCATAATTATAAAGCAATGACACATTCCCTACTACCATGCATAAAAATATCATCACACATTCATCTCCATCGCAGTCATCCGCTTGCACAGACATGCACCCCGGATACATCCACAACACCTGCATCATACCCTGTCATAAATACATCCATAACACCTGCATTCCACCCTGTCATGAATACCTGCACAACACCTTCATCCCACCCTGTCATGAATACATCCATAACACCTGCATTCCTTCCTGTCATGAATACCTCCACAACACCTGCATTCCACCCTGTCATGAATACATCCATAACACCTGCATCCCACTCTGTCATGAATACATCCATAACACCTGCATCCCACCCTGTCATGAATACATTCATAACACCTGCATTCCACCCTGTCATGAATACATCCACAACACCTGCATCCCACCCTGTCATGAATACATCCAAAACACCTGCATCCCACCCTGTCATGAACACATCCAAAACACCTGCATCTCACCCCGTCATAAATACATCTACAACACCTGCATCCCACCCCTGTCATGAATACATCAAGAACATCTGCATGTTGCATCCTATCCTAGTTACGAGTACATCCACAACACCTGCATCCCACTCCTGTCATGTATACATCCACACCTGCATCTCGACCCTGTCATGAATACCTCCACAACACCTGCATCCCACCCCTGTCATGAATGCATCAAGAACATCTGCATGTTGCATCCTATCCTAGTTATGAGTACATCCACAACACCTGCATCCCACTCCTGTCATGAATACATCCACACCTGCATCTCACGCCTGTCATGAATACCTCCACAACACCTTCATCCCACCCTGTCATGAATACATCCATAACACCTGCATTCCACACTGTCATGAATACCTCCTCAACACCTGCATTCCACCCTGTCATGAATACATCCATAACACCTTCATTCCACCCTGTCATGAATACATCCATAACACCTGCATCCCACCCCGTCATGAATACATCTACAACACCTGCATCCCACCCTGTCATGAATACATCCATAACACCTGCATCCCACCTGTCATGAATACATCCACAACACCTGAATCCCACCCCTGTCATGAATACATCTACAACACCTGCATCCCACTCTGTCATTAAATCATCCATAACACCTGCATCCCACCCTGTCATGAATACATTCATAACACCTGCATTCCACCCTGTCATGAATACATCCACAACACCTGCATCCCACCCTGTCATGAATACATCCAAAACACCTGCATCCCACCCCATCATGAATACATCCACAACACCTGAATCCCACCCCTGTCATGAATACATCTACAACACCTGCATCCCACCCCTGTCATGAATACATCAAGAACATCTGCATGTTGCATCCTATCCTAGTTACGAGTACATCCACAACACCTGCATCCCACTCCTGTCATGAATACATCCACACCTGCATCTCACCCCTGTCATGAATACCTCCACAACACCTGCATCCCACCCCTGTCATGAATACATCTACAACACCTGCATCCCACCCCTGTCATGAATGCATCAAGAACATCTGCATGTTGCATCTTCTCCTAGTTATGAGTACATCCAGAACACCTACATCCCACTCCTGTCATGAATACATCCACACCTGCATCTCACGCCTGTCATGAATACCTCCACAACACCTTCATCCCACCCTGTCATGAATACATCCATAACACCTGCATTCCACCCTGTCATGAATACCTCCTCAACACCTGCATTTCACCCTGTCGTGAATACATCCATAACAACTGCATTCCACCCTGTCATGAATACATTCATAACAACTGCATTCCACCCCAACATGAACACATCCACAACACCTGCATCCCACTTTGTCATGAATACATCTACAATGCCTGCATCCCACCCTGTCATGAATACATCCATAACACCTGCATCCCACCCGTCATGAATACATCTACAACACCTGAGACCCACCCTGTCATGAACATCCACAACAAATGAATGTTGCATCCTACCCCTGTCATTAATACATCCATAACACCTGCATGTTGCATCCCACCCCTGTCATTAATACATCCATAACACCTGCATTCCACCCTGTCATGAATACATCCACAACAACTGCATCCCACCCTGTCATGAATACATCCACAACAACTGCATCCCACCCTGTCATGAATACATCCACACCTGCATCTCACCCCTGTCATGAATACATCCAAAACACCTGCATCCCACCCCGTCATGAATACATCCACAACACCTGAATCCCACCCCTGTCATGAATACATCTACAACACCTGCATCCCACCCCTGTCATGAATACATCAAGAACATCTGCATGTTGCATCCTATCCTAGTTACGAGTACATCCACAACACCTGCATCCCACTCCTGTCATGAATACATCCACACCTGCATCTCACCCCTGTCATGAATACCTCCACAACACCTGAATCCCACCCCTGTCATGAATAAATCTACAACACCTGCATCCCACCCCTGTCATGAATACATCAAGAACATCTGCATGTTGCATCCTATGCTAGTTACGAATACATCCACAACACCTGCATCCCACTCCTGTCATGAATACATCCACACCTGCATCTCACCCCTGTCATGAATACCTCCACAACACCTGAATCCCACCCCTGTCATGAATACATCTACAACACCTGCATCCAACCCCTGTCATGAATACATCAAGAACATCTGCATGTTGCATCCTATCCTACTTACGGGTACATCCACAACACCTGCATCCCACTCCTGTCATGAATACATCCACACCTGCATCTCACCCCTGTCATGAATACCTCCACAACACCTGAATCCCACCCCTGTCATGAATACATCTACAACACCTGCATCCCACCCCTGTCATGAATACATCAAGAACATCTGCATGTTGCATCCTATCCTACTTACGAGTACATCCACAACACCTGCATCCCACTCTGTCATGAATACATCCACACCTGCATCTCACGCCTGTCATGAATACATCCACAACACCTGCATCCCACTCCTGACATGAATACATCCACACCTGCATCCCACTCGTGTCATGAATTCATCCACACCTGCATCTCACCCCTGTCATGAATACATTCATAACACCTTCATCCCACCCCTGTCATGAATACATCCATAACAACTGCATTCCACCCTATCATGAATACATCCACAACACCTGCATTCCACCCTGTCATGAATACCTCCACAACAACTGCATCCCACCCTGTCATGAATACATTCATAACAACTGCATTCCACCCCATCATGAATACATCCACAACACCTGCATCCCACTCTGTCATGAATACATCCATAACACCTGCATCCCACCCCATCATGAATACCTCCACAACACCTGCATCCCACCCCTGTCATGAATACATCCACAACACCTGCATCCCACTCCTGACATGAATACATCCACACCTGCGTCCCACTCGTGTCATGAATTCATCCACACCTGCATCTCACCCCTGTCATGAATACATTCATAACACCTTCATCCCACCCCGGTCATGAATACATCCACAACACCTGCATTCCACCCTGTCATGAATACCTCCACAACAACTGCATCCCAACCTGTCATGAATACATCCACAACACCTGCATCATACCCTGTCATGAATACATCGACACCTGCATCCCACCCCTGTCATAAATACATCCACAACACCTACATGTTGCATCCTACCCCTCATGAATACATCTTCAACACCTATATCCAACCCTATCATGAATACATCTACAACACCTACATCCCAACCCTGTTATGAATACATCCACACCTGCATCCTGCCCCTGTCATGAATACATCCACAACACCTGCATTCCACCCCCGTCATGAAAATATCCATAACACCTGCATCCTAACCTGTCATGAATACATCCAAAACACCTGCATCCCATCCCGTCATGAATACATCTACAACACCTGCATCCTACCCTGTCATGAATACATCCATAACACCTGCATCCCACCCGACATGAATACATCCACAACACCTGCATCCCACCCCTGTCATGAATACATCCACAACACCTGCATCATACCCTGTCATGAATACATCCACACCTGCATCCCACCCTGGGCATAAATACATCCACAACACCTACATGTTGCATCCTATCCGTCATGAATACATCTTCAACACCTACATCCAACCCTATCATGAATACATCTACAACATCTACATCCGAACCCTGTTATGAATACATTTACACCTGCATCCTGCCCCTGTCATGAATACATCCACAACACCTGCATCCCACCCATATCATAAATACATCCACAACACCTGCATCATACCCTGTCATGAATACATCCACAACTGCATCCCACCCCTGTCATAAATACATCCACAACACCTGCATGTTGCATCCTACCCGTCATGAATACGTCTTCAACACCTGCATCCTACCAATCATGAATACATCTACAGCACCTGCATCCCACCCTTGTCATGAATACATCCACAACACCTGCATGTTGCATCCCACCCTTGTCATGAATACATCCACAACACCTGCATGTTGCATCCCACCCCTGTCATGAATACCTCCACAACTGCATCCCACCCTGTCATGAATACATTCATAACACCTGCATTCCACCCTGTCATGAATACATCCACAACACCTGCATCCCACCCTGTCATGAATACATCCAAAACACCTGCATCCCACCCCTGTCATGAATACATCCAAAACACCTGCATCCCACCCCTGTCATGAATACATCCACAACACCTGAATCCCACCCCTGTCATGAATACATCAAGAACATCTGCATGTTGCATCCTATCCTAGTTACGAGTACATCCACAACAACTGCATCCCACTCCTGTCATGAATACATCCACACCTGCATCTCACCCCTGTCATGAATACCTCCACAACACCTTCATCCCACCCCTGTCATGAATACATCTACAACACCTGCATCCCACTCCTGTCATGAATACATCCACACCTGCATCTCACCCCTGTCATGAATACCTCCACAACACCTGAATCCCACCCCTGTCATGAATAAATCTACAACACCTGCATCCCACCCCTGTCATGAATACATCAAGAACATCTGCATGTTGCATCCTATGCTAGTTACGAATACATCCACAACACCTGCATCCCACTCCTGTCATGAATACATCCACACCTGCATCTCACCCCTGTCATGAATACCTCCACAACACCTGAATCCCACCCCTGTCATGAATACATCTACAACACCTGCATCCAACCCCTGTCATGAATACATCAAGAACATCTGCATGTTGCATCCTATCCTACTTACGGGTACATCCACAACACCTGCATCCCACTCCTGTCATGAATACATCCACACCTGCATCTCACCCCTGTCATGAATACCTCCACAACACCTGAATCCCACCCCTGTCATGAATACATCTACAACACCTGCATCCCACCCCTGTCATGAATACATCAAGAACATCTGCATGTTGCATCCTATCCTACTTACGAGTACATCCACAACACCTGCATCCCACTCTGTCATGAATACATCCACACCTGCATCTCACGCCTGTCATGAATACATCCACAACACCTGCATCCCACTCCTGACATGAATACATACACACCTGCATCCCACTCGTGTCATGAATTCATCCACACCTGCATCTCACCCCTGTCATGAATACATTCATAACACCTTCATCCCACCCCTGTCATGAATACATCCATAACAACTGCATTCCACCCTATCATGAATACATCCACAACACCTGCATTCCACCCTGTCATGAATACCTCCACAACAACTGCATCCCACCCTGTCATGAATACATTCATAACAACTGCATTCCACCCCATCATGAATACATCCACAACACCTGCATCCCACTCTGTCATGAATACATCCATAACACCTGCATCCCACCCCATCATGAATACCTCCACAACACCTGCATCCCACCCCTGTCATGAATACATCCACAACACCTGCATCCCACTCCTGACATGAATACATCCACACCTGCATCCCACTCGTGTCATGAATTCATCCACACCTGCATCTCACCCCTGTCATGAATACATTCATAACACCTTCATCCCACCCCGGTCATGAATACATCCACAACACCTGCATTCCACCCTGTCATGAATACCTCCACAACAACTGCATCCCAACCTGTCATGAATACATTCATAACAACTGCATTCCACCCCATCATGAATACATCCACAACACCTGCATCCCACTCTGTCATGAATACATCCATAACACCTGCATCCCACCCCATCATGAATACATCTACAACACCTGCATCCCACCCTGTCATGAATACATCCATAACACCTGCATCCCACCCGTCATTAATACATCCACAACACCTGCATGTTGCATCCTACCCGTCATTAATACATCCATAACACCTGCATGTTGCATCCTACCCCTGTCATTAATACATCCATAACACCTGCATGTTGCATCTCACCCCTGTCATTAATACATCCAAAACACCTGCATCCCACCCCTGTCATGAATACATCCACAACACCTGCATCATACCCTGTCATGAATACATCGACACCTGCATCCCACCCCTGTCATAAATACATCCACAACACCTACATGTTGCATCCTACCCCTCATGAATACATCTTCAACACCTATATCCAACCCTATCATGAATACATCTACAACACCTACATCCCAACCCTGTTATGAATACATCCACACCTGCATCCTGCCCCTGTCATGAATACATCCACAACACCTGCATTCCACCCCCGTCATGAAAATATCCATAACACCTGCATCCTAACCTGTCATGAATACATCCAAAACACCTGCATCCCATCCCGTCATGAATACATCTACAACACCTGCATCCTACCCTGTCATGAATACATCCATAACACCTGCATCCCACCCGACATGAATACATCCACAACACCTGCATCCCACCCCTGTCATGAATACATCCACAACACCTGCATCATACCCTGTCATGAATACATCAACACCTGCATCCCACCCTGGGCATAAATACATCCACAACACCTACATGTTGCATCCTATCCGTCATGAATACATCTTCAACACCTACATCCAACCCTATCATGAATACATCTACAACATCTACATCCGAACCCTGTTATGAATACATTTACACCTGCATCCTGCCCCTGTCATGAATACATCCACAACACCTGCATCCCACCCATATCATAAATACATCCACAACACCTGCATCATACCCTGTCATGAATACATCCACAACTGCATCCCACCCCTGTCATAAATACATCCACAACACCTGCATGTTGCATCCTACCCGTCATGAATACGTCTTCAACACCTGCATCCTACCAATCATGAATACATCTACAGCACCTGCATCCCACCCTTGTCATGAATACATCCACAACACCTGCATGTTGCATCCCACCCTTGTCATGAATACATCCACAACACCTGCATGTTGCATCCCACCCCTGTCATGAATACCTCCACAACTGCATCCCACCCTGTCATGAATACATTCATAACACCTGCATTCCACCCTGTCATGAATACATCCACAACACCTGCATCCCACCCTGTCATGAATACATCCAAAACACCTGCATCCCACCCCTGTCATGAATACATCCAAAACACCTGCATCCCACCCCTGTCATGAATACATCCACAACACCTGAATCCCACCCCTGTCATGAATACATCAAGAACATCTGCATGTTGCATCCTATCCTAGTTACGAGTACATCCACAACAACTGCATCCCACTCCTGTCATGAATACATCCACACCTGCATCTCACCCCTGTCATGAATACCTCCACAACACCTTCATCCCACCCGTCATGAATACATCTACAACACCTGCATCCCACCCCTGTCATGAATGCATCAAGAACATCTGCATGTTGCATCCTATCCTAGTTATGAGTACATCCACAACACCTACATCCAACCCTATCATGAATACATCTACAACATCTACATCCGAACCCTGTTATGAATACATTTACACCTGCATCCTGCCCCTGTCATGAATACATCCACAACACCTGCATCCCACCCATATCATAAATACATCCACAACACCTGCATCATACCCTGTCATGAATACATCCACAACTGCATCCCACCCCTGTCATAAATACATCCACAACACCTGCATGTTGCATCCTACCCGTCATGAATACGTCTTCAACACCTGCATCCTACCAATCATGAATACATCTACAGCACCTGCATCCCACCCTTGTCATGAATACATCCACAACACCTGCATGTTGCATCCCACCCTTGTCATGAATACATCCACAACACCTGCATGTTGCATCCCACCCCTGTCATGAATACCTCCACAACTGCATCCCACCCTGTCATGAATACATTCATAACACCTGCATTCCACCCTGTCATGAATACATCCACAACACCTGCATCCCACCCTGTCATGAATACATCCAAAACACCTGCATCCCACCCCTGTCATGAATACATCCAAAACACCTGCATCCCACCCCTGTCATGAATACATCCACAACACCTGAATCCCACCCCTGTCATGAATACATCAAGAACATCTGCATGTTGCATCCTATCCTAGTTACGAGTACATCCACAACAACTGCATCCCACTCCTGTCATGAATACATCCACACCTGCATCTCACCCCTGTCATGAATACCTCCACAACACCTTCATCCCACCCGTCATGAATACATCTACAACACCTGCATCCCACCCCTGTCATGAATGCATCAAGAACATCTGCATGTTGCATCCTATCCTAGTTATGAGTACATCCACAACACCTGCATCCCACTCCTGTCATGAATACATCCACACTTGCATCTCACGCCTGTCATGAATACCTCCACAACACCTTCATCCCACCCTGTCATGAATACATCCACAACACCTGCATGTTGCATCCTACCTGTCATGAATACGTCTTCAACACCTGCATCCTACCCATCATGAATACATCTACAGCACCTGCATCCCACCCTTGTCATGAATACATCCACAACACCTGCATGTTGCATCCCACCCTTGTCATGAATACATCCACAACACCTGCATGTTGCATCCCACCCCTGTCATGAATACCTCCACAACTGCATCCCACCCTGTCATGAATACATTCATAACACCTGCATTCCACCCTGTCATGAATACATCCACAACACCTGCATGTTGCATCCTACCCCTGTCATTAATACATCCATAACACCTGCATGTTGCATCCCACCCCTGTCATTAATACATATTGCATATTGTATTCACCGATCAGGAATACATCCACAACACGTTCATCATACCTGCATGCTGCACACCCACCTTTCCTGCCTCCTTGTTTTGCAAGTCTTATGTACTTTGTATCAGTGTCTTTGAAGTACATTTCGCGTGGCTTATCATCAAACTCTGGTGGGAGATCACTGAGGCCTGGAATCTGGGAGGTTAAAGGAACTTCAACTGGCTCAGCATCAACCTTGCGTCTTTCCGGCGCATGATAAAACCAGCCTGAAATTACATGAACAGTATATGTATATATTTACATTTTACTTTTAGTCATGACTATTTTAACAGTTTGGTTGTAGCTCCGTCAGTTAGCTTGTCAGGCCAACAATCTGAAGGTCGTGAGTTCGCCTGTTCACAAAAAATTGATTACTTGTGTCAGTGACAACGATGGTAGAGATCATACGGAATTCTAGAGGAGCTCTGGCATTTCCGAGAGGGCTGTATCCCATGGCTTGGAGTTGGAGCTGTTTTCGTTGTTGATGGTAATAGAAATGGTCACAGTGTATTAATATACTTGATGACAACATTTTGCCTGTTATTGAATGTCATTTTCGTGATGAACAGTATCTTCCAAGATGACAAGGCCCAGTACATTGAGTGAGGGTTGTGCAGGACTATTAGGTGCAAAATTATATTAAAGGCAAGGCATGGCCAGCTCCGAGTCCAGGCCTCAAAATAATTGAAACTGTTTGGTATCGCCTGAAAAGAGAACTTCAGACAATTAGGAGATAAACCTACTGTGTTTTGAAATTGGATGTAGTCCCACCGTAGAACAGAAACCTCTTTATTAAAAGCGCTCGGTTCAAAATTATAATAAAGAGGTATCTATTCTACAGTGGGACTACATCAAATTTCAAAACACAGTAAGTTTATCTCCATTCTACCATGATGGCAACAACGTTTTGAAAACGGCGCTCTCTTGCAACGCATAATAACACAGGTGCACAGGTCCGCGATCTTAGAACATTCCGAAAAGTGGTCACAGGTAGTTATATATGTAACAAATATTACTAAAGTTCAAGATTAAAAAACACCAAAGTCGTGAGTAGTTCATAATAAGTGTTCAAAAAACATAGTTTTTCAAACGAAGTTGACAAATAACACTCCTAACTTAATCCAAAGAGAGATGTTTTAATTTCTTTCAAACTGTTGCACACTGTTGAACACTGTGGACTGGCTGTCGTTTCTCGGAAATTTGTGAGAGAGGTCATTTCTTGGAAATCGAACATGCCATCATTTCTATTGTAGGGGTGACGGGTAATAGATAAAGGTTTTAAAATGCTAAACGAATATATTTCTACAGCAAACTTTATGAATTAACATTCTAATATACATTTAACATGTCTAAGAGTTATTAGTTAGATAGCAATTACCCCCAGTAAACAATAATAACATCAAAGTAAATGCCTCTCCACCCCGAACTTGGATGTGGCAGAACTTGACCTAAATCACGGTTACTCACACCTCACAGCTGTCAATGGCTGACAATCATGTGTTTACATTAACTTGATCTAGTTAAAAGAAGCAAGATGACAACCCCGATCTATGATGTGGTTCAACATTTACCTGTATATTTACTGGGATTGATCGAGCCTGCTGGTACATCCATAAGATTACCAATGGAACTGAGTATGACTGAACAGCCGCTGTTTAGGCTGCAGACGAGCCGGATATTTTGAAACGAGGAATCTGCATGGTGTGACCTGTCAATTTCAAGATTTCACGGATCCAAAGCCAAATAGTGACAGAACTTAGACATTTCTGGTCCAGAAATAGTAGGTCGTGTATAATTTTCATAATTGTGCGTGTTCTGAAATGAATTTCATCAAGTTTGATAAGCTGTCACTTCAGTTGGGACATTGTTTTCGTGGACTTTCGAAAGGGAGTGTTTTCTGATGCACTTTCAAATCCCCTCCTGCCAAATTCTAACGGTGGTGGTTGACGGAGATGGTAATGGATATCGATCAGAAAAAGGTTTGTAAACACCATGTTGTCATGAATAAAATGTCTTCAAACACATTTAATTATGTTATATTTCACTTTCATTGTCGGTTGTTTCAATAATGAAATTACCTGTTCGTGGGTTTCAGAAAAAGTTACCAAACAAATGAACAATTATTATTTTCTCAACAGAATTTATTAGATATCACTCTTTCACTTATTTTGAATGTGTGAATCTTTGAATTATACCTCCCCACCCTGAAATGAGAACCGTCCTAACGTGTCCCGGTTGTCACTGTATCTGCACTACACTCTCAGTTATGGCTGCCAAAGAAATTGTTAACAGTAACAGTGCTGTTAAAGAATTGCAGGAAACCAGAATACAACCCAGTACTGATGCACAGTGTGATGCTGTTCAACATTAACACATTGACTAACTATCCCTGCTGATGTGATGTTGTTTTTTCAAACAATTTTTATAATGTTATATTTTACTTTCATTGTCGGTTGTTTCAATGAGGAAATAGCTTAAATTGTTCCGATTCTGGTCACCATAGAACATTTCTCTAACAGTTTCATAAACATTTCATTTGTATGCAAAAGATATGCCTTCGTTAAATCTTTTAATGTCATCATCGAAGCAGTCAGGGTTGCGGCCTAGAACGCCCCAAACATCCGATATCAAACTACCGTATTTCCTCTATTTGACACTATACGCCGTCTATTAATTGCGAGAGCCCTTGACTCGGCTTGTATTTGAGACCTGTCTGGTATTAGAGACCAAGCGTGTATTAGAGGAAATATAGATATGTTTTACAGTTCAGATGGGGGTGATCGATCGGCAGCCATTTTCTGTGAATCGATATGTAGACTATCTATGTATTCATGCGCACGTTTTTTTGTGAAAAGGCTTAATATATTTGAAAGGGGTTTCCGTAGCAAAAAGGAAACCTCTTTTTAACCAATCAGAATCAAGCATTCATCAATGTCATGGTAGAATTGTTTATAGACTGAACTCAATTCAGGAGATGGCAGCTGAAGTCCCTGAGGTGTGGACTTTTCTGCCTTGGAATTACATCCAGAATCTTTTTGAGTCAATTCCTCTCAGAATTAGACAGGTACTGACATGGAAAAGATACATCACCAAGTATTAAGGTAATTAGTGCAATTTTCAGAAATAGTTTTCTTTCCGATATACCCAGTCGAGATTGCAAACTGGTGTCCATTTTGTTTCTACCTTCACTTTTGGCACTACGCAGTCAATGAGTGCCGCTAGATTCTAGATCTTTATCAGTTGCAGAATGGTATGGTGCAGCTAGATCTTTATCAGTTGCAGATTGGTATAGTGCAGCTAGATCTTTATCAGTTGCAGAATGGTATGATGCAGCCAGATCTTTATCAGTTGCAGAATGGTATAGTGCAGCTAGATCTTTATCAGTTGCAGCTTGGTGTCTGGTGAAATATGCATGTACGTGGACTACCCATAAACATTGGTTACCACTTATGAAACATATGATTGATAGATTGCTTATAATCAGTGGTCGATAATGATACCTTATCACTAAACACAGACCCCCCATGTCAGATCATGTCACCTCGCCGTTACGGTAGACTATCATTTAGTCACATCGGCCCTCCCAGACACAAGCAAAGGCCTATCATGAAACTAGAAAACTAACTTTTTGACCCATCACATCAACTCACCACATTCATTGATTTTCTGGTTCATTGTCATCTTGAAATTGTCGATGCGTCTGTAAAACTGCGGATGCGACAAGTGAATTATTTACACTGGCATTGTTCAACAGCCATACTTGTATACATCCCCATAGTTACAGGTACAACGAGAATCATCGAGACTTGATCGGAAACTATATGGTTCAAACAAATGATATCTGAATAAGTTTCAACAAAAAAACGTGAGGTTTTCCTATAAAATCAGGACAGATTAAAATTGTTAATACTTTACAATTCTGTATATTAAAATGCTCGTGACAAGTGGACAATATGTATAATTTATTGAATAGTTTTACCGATTTTAATTTATCATTAAATCACACTAGTAGTTAGGGATATAGAATTCCTAGCAACTTCCTACTTCCGGTGTAAACAATGCGCGATGAACACGTGCTTGATTTTGGTTAGTCAGATCGCCGCGGAAATTATTTGGCGCTATGCGACTCATATGAAATGTTACATGTGATATTTTATTGTCTTTCGCTCACTCTTTATAATATAGTCGCTGGTGAGGGTTCGAGCTACTGCAAGAAGTTTACCAACGACTGTCACGCAATGGAACATCAGACTGAATCAGGTATCGACTCATTTTGAATTTAGTTAATATTTCAATGGTAATTTATAAGTAATCAAATTAGATAAGACTAATAAGGGAACAGTTTGTGTCGCTGTGTGAGAATCAGTGTAACTTTATTTTCTGTTCTGTTGAAAGATTTCCTCTGAGACAGAATTTATTAGATGTTCTAACTTCTATCATATCTACATATGTCATGGGTTATATAGTCAAAACGGTCACATACACATCAGGCAAAACGGTCTTAAAAGAGTCATGCCCCTTGTCAGATTCAAAAGGGCCACACCAAAAAGTAAAAAGGGTCACAAGCCCAAAGAGTCAGTAATAAATATAAAAAGATACATTTTGTGAGTTTTAATATCTTTATTCATTTTATAACACATATCTTTACAGTAGGCATCACAAAGTACATCTTCTTTTGAATGGCACTATCGGGGTTCTTAACCTGGGGTCTCCCTGCTTATCCTGCCCATATATTGTTTTAGGTACAAATTAACCAAGGGTGATGATTTGTGAGAGAATATGAGATTAAGGGGGGCATCTCACATATGACATAATCAGTCGGTGAACATGGTGAACATCTCACAAAGTAAAATGACACAACTAATTAGTCAAATATATTTCAAACGCTGCACTGAGTGAAAACCCTTTTTGATAAATACGCCTGGAAATTAATTAAGTCTCACCCTTTTTCTACCATGTTTGTCTAACTACATTGTGTCACTTGCATCTAGTCCTAGGAATATGTTGGAAAAATAGATGCCATCAATTAGAAATAACAAAACAATCAATCAACTTTCCATGCCAAACCAAGCTAAATTCTTTAAGTGGCATCAACGTTCTTACTTGCATGTAAAAATACTCAATTACTCCACCTAATGACAAGACAAACAATCAACCTACCTTGCTCCACACTTGAAAGTATCTCTATTAAAAAAACTTAGTAAAAAAACAACACACACAGGTTTTACTGTTGATCAAAGTTTATTGTAAATCCTTTGGATTATGAAACAGAGAAAGCAAACTAATAGAAGTTAACCCTATTATTTCTTTATTTTTATACCCTTTCATGTGTCCCTTTTGACCTGTTCCCCTTTGATCCATATTCTGGTGCTTTGCCTTGTTCTATACATTGTAATAAGTTGTAACAAATGTTATATTTGGGATAACACTTTCTTAGTAAAGTACAGATTCTCGTACTTTTTGGGGTTGTTACATTTGTCCACTTTCTCAATGGGATTGTGTATTCATAGCTTTCGGCCATTGGAGCCGTGCCAATTTACACTTGTCAGAGGGGTACACAAAGTATGTGATCCAGGCTGACAATTGTCAAACTTTCATTTTTGTGAAAATCTCGGTTGCTGAGTGGGTTAGATTGCTGACTTTGTGTGCTGGCAATTAGGTGCCTCACTCTGGCAGTGCGGGTTCGAATCCCGGACGGGGCTCAACCCAAAAAGGGATGAGAATCTGTACTTTACTAAGAAAGTGTTATCCCAAATATAACATTTGTTACATTTCACCACTTACTAAATGGCATTTTAGTCCGGATGGGTCTCAACCCAAAAAAGTACAAGAATCTGGGGTGCAGGCTAAAACGGCACCCCAGCAAAACGTCACTGATTTCTCTGGCGGAAACGGCACCGCATTTGGCGAAAACGGCTACTATGTGTCGGGCGAAAACGGCACCTCTATTTTTAATGAGGATAAGAACAATTTTTGTAGTAATATATATATATGGTTTATTTACATGGTCACAGTTAGCACAGCATGTTGTTGTTTTCTGACATTCTTCTCTCATGCAACACATCGAAATGCCATTGTGAATAGTTGTGATCCGACAGCACCATGTTAGGCCTCTTAAATACAGTTTCAGTTTAAATTGAGTAAAGGTACTTAAAACTTCAAAGCGTATAGTGTTTTCACATTAAGTTAACTGCGCCCCCCAATCAGTCGGCGAGTAAATTGGAGTAGGGGTCTAATTTCTTACCTGTTTTATTTCACAATTTCACAATTATTTGTGTTTGTAAGAGACGATGTGAGTTTAATTTCTATTATTTTTCTTCAAAGCATGTCACATTTTCACAATAAGTTGTGTTGCGTATAAGCTAAGTTGGATTATAGTTGGAGTAGAGGCTAATTTCTAATGTAAACTTGTTTTAGCATCTCACAATTATTGGTGTTTGAAAGTTACCAAATAAGTTTAATAGCACTTATTTGACCAAGGTAAAAAAATAGAATAAGGTGCCGTTTTCGCCAGGCAATAGTAGCCGTTTTCGCTTAAGTCGAGGTGCCGTTTTCGCTTATCGGTGCCTTTTTCGCCCGGTGACGTTTTGCTGAGGTGCCGTTTTCGCTATAACCCAAGAATCTGTACTTTAATAAGAAAGTGTTATCCCAAATATAACATTTGTTACATTTCACCACTTTCTAAATGGCATTGGGTATTCCTAATTAGTTGTATTTGGAAACCGAGTCCTTGTCCCTGTTCCCATAGTTACTGGTAAAGCCCAATTGAACCAGCAGATGAACTTGCACAGTAGTGGACTTGAATCATGCTTGATTAGCCAGTTCCGTATCATTTCTTATCCTGCAGTTGTATAACTCTCCGGTTGTTTCGTAACCCATACTGCTTATACACTACCATGACTACCATACATATATTTGTGCTTTACAAATTCGCAGATACAATTACGTAAAAACGTTACACAAATTTGTTAAGATTGGAGCCAAGTTCTGTGTTAAAATATGTTACCGAAGGTATCCACTTCCACGGGGGGACGGGTGGCCCAGTTGTCTAAGTCGCCGGGATTCACTGTGCAGAGTTGAGTCCCTTGGGCATGCCAGTAACCGATGATTGTGGTTCGAATCCCTGTTCGCCCTGATTATGTTTCTAGGTTTGTCAGCACCACTGAGACCTGCATCATTTCCTCTCACATAAAGCTGACACTCCGTGACAAAAAAGGAATACTGTTAAAAGCGGCATTAAAGCCAACTCACTCACTCACTCACTTCCACATTAGGATGATCATGATGGTAGGTACCGTTTCTATGGTTACTTATGTTTAATGTTACTGTTATGTGAACCACTTAATATACATTCTGCTGAAACTGAACATGTAACTAGCCAGGTCGACATTTTTTGTTGGGTGTCCTTGAAAAAAGCCTTATTTTTAATAAATGGAGGAATAAAGGGATACTAAATGACCCAGGAATACAAAACTACTGAGTCTTGAACTGTTGAAAGTACCGGGATACAATATGACCTGTCACAGATTTTCCTAGTCTCCCTATAAATAATATTTGTTCTGTTGTTTATAATATATAGATTATATCATGTGAGTGTGTTTTTGGAATTGTTAATATCCTGTATTATGAAATAACATTGTATTTAGTGAGCCTTGGCCAAATCCAACTGTTTTAGATTGGGAAAAAAAACAAGGCACAGAAGTCTAGAAGCCCAGATATGAAAACTGATCCCGCTAGGTTAACTGATGTCTTCGCTAAATTGTTTTGCCAAAACTTGGAAAATGTCTCAACTACATCTCAGTGAGACACTGATGTTCTTTATCTTTGACTATTGTTTTGATAAGGATAACAATTATCCCAGTAATTTCTCCAGATTCCTTATGGTTAAATCTCACCCGATCACTGATTGACAACAATAATGCTGTATTTGTTGTAAACACTGAAAGTAGTACCTACCTGCCCTTTCATATTTGCATCCTTATCCATTTATGACCCCAATGGATACCTTTTCTATCTACTGCTTTGTCCAATTGAGAAACCTACCCATTATATGATAATTGTTTCTATGTGGATGAACAGGGTTCAACAAATTGTGTTCAGGTAGCCAGTAGGATGAGTGCCATAGAAAAACACAGGTTCCATTCAAAATTCTCAAGCCAACTATAGTCTGGAAGGGTAATTTAAGGTACCGACATTTACTACAATATCTGAAAAACTATCGGACCTACTCCAGTCAAAGTTGGTATGAGATTATTAAACAGTCATACATAACTGGACATACTCAACTCGAAAGGGTGCACGGGAATCACGCACGTTGAGACGCCCAACGCTAACACCGTATTCGTGCGTGCATGATTCCCGTGCACCCTATCACCCACGGCGATAGTTGAGTTGATTGGGTCAACTGTGTCATATGGCCCTGTGACGCAGGGGTAGCATTATGCAGATGGCTGTTTCAATGAATGCTCGTTCCACCCGTGACGAACAGGTCTGGTTGTTGATGAAATATGATGATAGCTAAATAGACAGATTTTGTATTCATGCACCGATTGTCTTTAAATGTAATATCCAGTTATGTATGACTGTTTAATAATCTCATACCAACTTTGACTGGAGTAGGTCCAATAGTTTTTCAGATATTGTAGTAAACGTCGGTACCTTAAATTAACTTCCAGACTATAGTGAACTACGAGACTTTAGTTTCACACCTTTTATGTTTCACATATTTTTTGATTACAGAAATGAAATACTTACATGTATGTTTTTCCCCTCCATCCATGATGTTGATAATAAGTAATCGATGATTAATCTTTATTTATTTTGTTTTTTTTTGCAATTCAGTGATCAGTCTTCATCCTATTCTCAACAATAGATTTGACTGACATACTTCAAATTTCATATTCCAAGTAGCAATATACCAAACTTTCCCCTAGTGAAGGGGATTTTATGAGGGTTTCTTTCAAAAATGCATAAAACTGCATGAGCTGTGTGACTGGGCATTGAAACTTGCGACTAGTTAAGTCAACATGATCAATTACAGACAACATCATGTTTCTAAAAACATTTATTTAGCCACTGTAAACATGATAAACACTTGGACATTGTTTGTCAATATTTCTATGACTGATATGATCATGATGAGTATATTCATATAAAATCATCAATGAAATGAAAGTTTTGAAAATTAAGCATCAGCATGTTTCTGCTTTATATTGGCTGTGAGCTAAAATATGTCATGGCCTTTTTCTTGTTTTAAATTTATTCTCAAGATTTGTATATCCTGTACATTATAAGAGTAGGGATAAAGTGTGCAAAAACAGTCTGACTTGAATTCCTGCATAGAGTTATAGAAATTGAACAGCTGAATAACCAAGAGGTCGTCCTGACTGCTACATTTACCGTATTCGACGTAATAAGCGCCCACGGCGATATTTACTAACATATTTGCTGGTGAACAATCCCAATTAGCACCCTTTCGGATTGATCAATGTACAAAAGACTTATTTATTCGCGTATAATATGCAATTAAATTCTGGAAAAATATATTTGTCGTACATTTCAGGCTGTCAGTATAAACCACGAAATTTATCTTTCAACTCTGTTTTTTTCCCACCAAAATAACATTCTATTAAGACCCCCCTATTTCTAATTTTGAGAGCGCCCTGGGCGCTTATTACGTCGAATATGGTAGCTGATATTGTTTTCCTGCAACTTCTATTCAAAATGTGTTTAATACCAATTTGCAGGCGATTCAGCCCACTTCTGTAAACGTTCGTTTTCCAAACGTGTGGTATTTGTTTGTATGTGATGAGTGACTGAGTAGACACAATTTATGAAGAACAATTTCTTTATTTTACTGTAAGGGAGTCGTTTCCGTATAGATCCTGAACAATCAACATGGTACAGAATATACCGTAAGTCTTCAAATTAATGCGAGCGTAAATTAAATGTGAAAAAAGCGAGTGGTCGTTGTTCGCATTAATGAAAATTCGCATTTATGTCTCCAAAATGACTATGAACAATAAGACCGCCTCACTGCACACTTGGGATAGCGGAAATACCAACTTGAATTTATACACAAACATGGTTTATTGAGCAGCAGCTGTAACAAGTACAGAACAATGTCATTTAAAGAATAGAAATTACACTATAGGCATCTGGTGAGTTGTCACTGCTGGGGTCAAGAGTTCTACCAACTCGTGTCAAACTAGGCATCATTGACCACACCAATCTGTGAACTGTTGTTGGTTCAATTATGTTATTGCCTTTGAACTTCCTTAATGCTAGTCAACAAAATAAACATATAAACTGTGTGTTGTTTTTAGGAAAACACTGATAAGAGGTGCTGCTTGTGTTTGATTGGATTAAGGTAAGGATATGTATCATTCCACTAGGGATGGGGTGGAGGAGTCGCATTGATTTTGAGTCGCATTTTAGGCTAGGGGTCAGCAGTCATATTAATGTGGAGACGCATTAATTTCAAAATTTATATAGTAGGTGGAAGATTAACAGCAATAACAATTGCATACATGAGAGAGACTAACATGAGTAGGTTTAATAGTGACAACAGAAGGAAGCATTGATAAGAAGTTGTTTTCCATAAATTGTGTCTACTTTGTCATCCGTCAACGTCTAACTAACGCCTATCAAACAACTGATGTCTGACCGATGATGTCCCCCAGGCACGGCGCTAGCGGTGGTTCCCTACACCGAGGACAGCCTGCTGCCCCACCACCGACCCACGCGGGACTTCCACCTGGGGGGACACGACATCCACATCCAGCAGGACTGGGGGAGCCTGGGGGTGGCTGCTGTGGTCTGGGATGCTGTGAGTAGTGATGAAGTGGTCGTTGTTGGCATGGGTACTACAGATATGTACCCAGGTTCCTTTTGGGAAACAGAAATGTGGTCGAACCATAATCAGAATACAGAATGGTACCCTGGGATAGATCCCTTCCGTAGTTCACTGAGCTGTTTCCTTGCATGCTTGCATAGATGAGACTTCCTGTGTGCCAAACCACGGTACACAGTCATCTAAATGTCTTAAATGAATCATGTAGTTTCATTTTGGCTGGACTAAGGAGTCCATGCATAGTCGAATCAAAATCTCGTAACAAAATCAACATCTGGTTTGTAAACAACAAAGATTTCAACGTGCAGATTTCGGTCGACTGTAGGATTGGCACAGGATGTGTACCGTCAACTGGGCATCGACAGATATTTCCAAATCTTTTTATGTTTTTAATCAAGGTGCTCACATGATTTGATGCACTTCACAAAGTAAGACCCGTTTTATTACAATATAGATCTTGATCATCGATCAGATTGTCTTGACTGGGCGCCACCATTTTGTTTGAAGCCAATGCAAGTGATGTGAGATGTGGAATCTGATTGGTCAATAGAAGTGACATAACTCTTCTTATCAACTGATGGCGCTACGATCAAGCCCAGAAAATCCAGTCTTAATTCGGCAAGGGTGGAAACTAGACTTTTACAGTCAGTCAACTCCCTTGCCTTGGGAAGATGAATGTCTCGTAACATGGGGGATTTTCTTCGTTGTCTGAATCAGAACTAACATTATGTTGTTGTATGAAATGCATTCCAGGGTGCTATGTAAAAACGAGCACACCCAGAGCTATATGTGCTGAAATTCACTCATAATCAGCATGGCGAACCAAACAAAAGGAACTGGGTTAGGTGAGGAATATGGTCTGAGGTACCCTTCTGTATTCTGATTTAGGGTCCACGTCTGTATACCCCAAACAGCCTGGAGTACATATCTGTTGTACATATCTTCAGCATACCGTTAAGTAGCATGGCCTGACTGGTTGAATGTCCTCATTCTCACAAATGTTTTTGTATGTAAACAATGATCAGGTAGCAAATAACATTGACATTTCAGATTAGTTATGAGTTATGAGACATATGAGATATGAGACATCTGAACATGGTGCCATGTTACCCACATCTGTTGAGTATCTTGAGCAGTTTATATATTTAGAGGAGTGAGTTGGATTTAACCCCACTTTGAACAGTATTCCAATTATACCATGGCATGTCAGCTTAATGTGGGAGGAAAACCCGAGTTGATGCAGGTCTCTGACGTTTACCACCTTGGTGAAACCCACAAGCATGGGTATGGTGCTGACAAACCTAGAAACAACTGAGGCAAACCGGGATTCAAACTCATGATCATATTTCTGGCATATCCAAGGGACACATTCACAGGAATGCTTTTGGGATTTTATTTTTTTATTTTGTCCACATCCTCTTTTCTTTAGTCAAGGGGATCTTACTACATGTGAGTTGACAGTGTCGCCTCAAATTGGATTGCCCACTAATTAAGAATATAAATTTTGCTTGTGGTTCTCTTTTATTGCATGCATGCACTTCTAAGATCAAAGGATGTATAGTGTGAAAAGTTAACTAGTTGAACAATCGTATTTCCGGGACTTGCCGCGGATGTTTTCAAACAGATTATTAGAACTCCATTCAGCGATAAACGGTTGATTATGCAATGAGAAGCGTTATGTGCAAATGAACAATGAACAACAATACAATTATGTCTGTGTAAAACTCTCAGTATTAAAAGTGTACATAAATTTTGGGAGCCATGCTTTACCGCGCGTAGTAACCGAGGTAGCGCTTTATCGAAGAGCACAATAGCGAGGGATCACTGTAATTATAAAATGTATTGACTTAAGGGATGACACGTAAGTATGAGTGAATTAATGAATATCTATCTTAGTTTTTGAGAGTTAGAAACAATGTTGGTGAATTGAAAAGATCTGATTGTCCCTGTCATCTGGTATGACTTGTCATCAGTCTACAGTGTGTACTCTACTTCTCCATGTGCCTCTAACATTCTCCTTTTTAGTGATAACACAGCAACTATTGACACAGACATAGATATAGTCACAAATAGTGTTATTAATGTGCTCACAGAGATGTTTTTCCTGCATGTTGTCAGGCCATTGTGCTGTGTGAATACCTGGAGCTGCACCCAGAAGTTGTGGGCCAGAAGCAAGTGGTGGAGCTGGGGGCAGGGACAGGCCTGGTCGGCATTGTGGCATCGTATCTAGGTAAGGTGGAGCTGGGGGCAGGGACAGGCCTTGTCAGCATTGTGGCATCGTATCTAGGTAAGGTTGAGCTGTACAGGGACAGGCCTGGTCGGCATTGTTGTATCGTATCTAGGTAAGGTTGATCTGGGGGCAGGGACAGGCCTGGTCTGCATTGTGGCATCGTATCTAGGTAAGGTGGAGCTGTACAGGGACAGTAAGGTTGAGCTGGGGGCAGGGACAGGCCTGGTCAGCATTGTTGCATCGTATCTAGGCAAGGTTGAGCTGTACAGGGACAGGCCTGGTCGGCATTGTTGTATCGTATCTAGGTAAGGTTGATCTGGGGGCAGGGACAGGCCTGGTCTGCATTGTGGCATCGTATCTAGGTAAGATGGAGCTGTACAGGGACAGGCCTGGTCGGCATTGTTGCATCGTATCTAGGTAAGGTTGATCTGGGGGCAGGGACAGGCCTGGTCTGCATTGTAGCATCGTATCTAGGTAAGGTTGAGCTGGGGGCAGGGACAGGCCTGGTCGGCATTGTTGCATCGTATCTAGGCAAGGTTGATCTGGGGGCAGGGACAGGCCTGGTCGGCATTGTTGCATCGTATCTACGCAAGGTTGATCTGGGGGCAGGGACAGGCCTGGTCTGCATTGTGGCATCGTATCTAGGTAAGATGGAGCTAGGGACAGGCCTGGTCGGCATTGTGGCATCATATCTAGGTAAGATGGAGCTGTACAGGCACAGTAAGGTGGAGCTGGGGCAGGGACAGGCCTGGTCGGCATTGTTGCATCGTATCTAGGTAAGATGGAGCTAGGGACAGGCCTGGTCGGCATTGTGGCATCGTATCTAGGTAAGATGGAGCTGTACAGGGACAGTAAGGTGGAGCTGGTGGCAGGGACAGGCCTGGTCGGCATTGTGGCATCATATCTAGGTAAGGTGGAGCTAGGGACAGGCCTAGTCGGCATTGTTGCATCGTATCTAGGTAAGATGGAGCTAGGGACAGGCCTGTTCGGCATTGTGGCATCGTATCTGGGTAAGGTGGAGCTAGGGGCAGGGACAGGCCTGGTCGGCATTGTAGCATCGTATCTAGGAAAGGTGGAGCTGGGGGCAGGGACAGGCCTGGTCGGCATTGTTGCATCGTATCTAGGTAAGGTGGAGCTAGGGGCAGGGACAGGCCTGGTCTGCATTGTTGCATTGTATCTAGGTAAGGTGGAGCTAGGGACAGGGACAGGCCTGGTCGGCATTGTGGCATCGTATCTAGGTAAGGTGGAGCTGGGGGCAGGGACAGGCCTGGTCGGCATTGTTGCATCGTATCTAGGTAAGGTGGAGCTAGGGGCAGGGACAGGCCTGGTCGGCATTGTGGCATCGTATCTAGGTAAGGTGGAGCTGGGGGCAGGGACAGGCATTGTGGCATTGTATCTAGGTAAGGTGGAGCTTGGGACAGGGACAGGCCTGGTCCTCATTGTGGCATCGTATCTAGGTAAGGTGGAGCTTGGTACAGGGACAGGCCTGGTTGGCATTGTGGCATCGTATCTAGGTAAGTTGGAGCTTGGGACAGGGACAGGCCTGGTCCTCATTGTGGCATCGTATCTAGGTAAGGTGGAGCTTGGGACAGGGACAGGCCTGGTCCTCATTGTGGCATCATATCTAGGTAAGGTGGAGCTGGGGACAGGGACAGGCCTGGTCAGCATTGTGGCATTGTATCTAGGTAAGGTGGAGCTCGAGACATGGACATCTTCTCTCATTTAATATGTTGACACAGTGGCCATTATCAATGTTATTAAAATCAGACCTTAGTTCTTGCTACCGCTAAACAAAGATCTGAGGACATCCCAGTAGAGGTCACGTCAGAACGTCTTTCATCCAACCAATCACAGCATCGCTTACCAGATCATGAAAGTGACAGTCGGAATGTGATTTCTAATCCTGCATCCTCGAAAACTTTAACACGGGGTATTCCGAAATGATAGTTACGGTTTAACGACTGAATCCATACAATCTAGACCATCTATTAGCGATTCCATAATGTTCTTTTGTTCAGGTTTCAAATTTTTAATCCAGAATTTGTCAAAATATGTTTCGAAGCGTTGTCACCAGTTTCAAAACAGTGCTGTAAAGCACGAGAAAGCTGCCTTCTGATTGGTCATTCCATTGGTCAGTCAAACTTTGCGCAAGGTCAGTCTGATGTGACCCGTAATGGGATGTCCTCAGATCTTTGTTTAGCGGTAGTGAGAACTAAGATCTGATTTTAATGAGACTGTGGCCATTATTGATATCGCATCTCTGCTCTTTGTTGATACTGTGTCTGAACCTGACACACTCAAGATATAATGAAAATACTGTCCATAGTGGCACTTAACCCAACTCGCTCTCTCTTATGGCCTGCAGGTGGTCATGTGACTGTGACAGAGAGGAGAGAAGCAATGCCTAATCTCCGAAAGACGGTGAACTCCAACACAGTGGACAGCTGCCCGGGCAGTATCACAGCGAAGGAACTGGACTGGACCACAGACTTGTCACCTCACCCACAGTATGACGTCATTCTCGGGGCTGATATCGTCTACATTGAGGACACATTCCAGGCGTTGCTGAGGACACTGGTGCACACAGCGAGAGAGGACACTGTTGTCCTCCTCTCATGCCGCATCAGATATGACAGAGATCTACACTTCCTCACACTCCTTGAGAGCCACTTTGTTGTGGAGCAAATACATTATGATAAAAGTCGCGATATAAAAATATTTTCTGCCAAAAAAATAAAGACAAAGACTTAGAAAGATGCATGTCATGATTGTACTCATTTAAAACAGTATGTGAATAGAACCCATGAAGATCTGAAAGACCTGATCTTCAGTAACCCATGATTGTCGTAAGAGGCGACGAACGGATCGGTGGTCAGGGTTGCTGACTTGGTTGATGCATGTCAATGTATCCCAATTGCATAAATTGATGCTCACGATGTCAATCACTGGATTGTCTGGTCCAGACTTAATTATTTACAGAGCATCATCATATAGCTGGAATATTGCTGAGTGCAGCGCTAAACAAACAAGCCATAGTGTGTATAGTATTGTCTGATTATCAGATGAGATATTTGAAAGTGCATACAAATAAATACATACAATATTAAAATCAAGTTAGTTTTATTCAGTTACTGTATTTAAAATATTAAGGCCTGTTAAGGCCTTCAGCTCACCTGAACTAAGATTTTCATTGAAACACCCCTCACTGTGAACATGTACATTGGTTGCTCTGGATACAAGCATTAACATTTTTAACGTTATGGCTACAACCAGTTATGGAGGTGTCCCTTTTCCTCGGCCGTTCCTTCATCTAGCCATGAGTTATGTCGTATACGCAGATATGAATTATGAAAGAAGTATGTTTTGAAGTATCAAATGTATGCCGATTTGACATACAAAATATACTGGTTTGAAGTAAGAAAGACGTATGTTTTGAAGCATAAAATGTATGATGATTTAGCATACAAAACATGCTGATTTGAAGTGTGAAATATTTATGTTTTGAAGTTTCAAGTGCTGGTTTGAAGTTAGAAAGAAGTATGTTTTGAAGCATAAAATGTATGACGATTTGACATACAAGACATGCTGGTGTGAAGTAGGAAAGACGTATGTTTGAAGGATAATATGTATGCCGATTTAGCATACAAAACATGTACTGATTTGAAGTGTGAAATATATATGTTTTGAAGTTTCAAATGTATGCCGATTTGACATACAACACAGGTGTTGGTTTGAAGTATTGAAAGCTAATTTTGAGTTGATTTAAGTATGCTTTCTTTATGTTTTGCCATATGAAAAAAGAAATGGTTTAACATGAGAAACCTGTGCTGATTTGAAGTATAAAAAATGTTTTCGTTCGAAGTGTTATACCTGTTCCAATTTGAAGACTGAAATTATATACTCTTCAAAAAAAGAAACTTGACATAGATGTAAAACCACTTTTTGACAAATATCTAAAATAATTACATTAAATGAGAACCAAATAAATCAAACAGAAAGATGATGTGTCTATAATTCACGAAAACACATGCAAAGCACATAAACGTAGCGTTTGGGGATCAATTTTACAGCTTCATCCAAACGCAACCGCCTGTAAAAAACGTGCAGCACAGGATCCTGCATTTAGGCATGCAGGCCCCCCTGCTGAATGGGTTAAAAAATCCACATCAACATACAGTCCTTATAACGTCAGTAGAGGCGGTGACAGAATGCCAAGACTGAATGCAGCTCAACGGAACAACGCCATTGGGAGATTACAAGCTGGAGCAGCTCAGCAAGAAGTGGCCAGGCACTTTGGCGTATCCAGACAGACAATCTCCGCACTGTGGACCCGATACAACAACACCAACAGAGTTGACAACAGACCAAGGTCAGGAAGACCAAGGGTGACAACCCAAGCACAAGATCGATACATCCGGCTGCGACACCTCCGAGACCGCACTACCACAGCCACGTCTACAACCACACAGATCCCTGGGGTACGCAGAATATCAGATCAAACGGTACGCAACAGACTGAGGGAGGCTGGACTTTTTGCACGAAGACCTGTTCGACGTCATGTATTGACCCCACGTCATCTGGCGGACCGTCTGCTTTGGTGCCAACAGAGGGTTAGATGGGCACGTGCAAGGTGGAGAAATGTACTGTTTACTGACGAGTCCCGTTTCCTACTCACACGTGCTGATGGCGCGCACGTGTCTACAGACGTCGGGGTGAACGTTACGCCCCAAACTGTGTGCAGCAGGTTGTCCCATTTTGCGGCGGGAGTGTCATGGTATGGGCCGGAATTCATCACGGTGGTAGGACGCCTCTCGTGCATGTGTCAGGTGCATTGACAGGTGTGCGTTACAGAGACTTGATCCTACAGCCTTACGTTCTTCCTCACGTCAACGTTCATGGCGGACAGTTCCAGCAGGACAACGCTCGACCGCATATTGCACGTGTTTGTCAGGACTTCTTACAGCACAACAACATCCAGACATTACCTTGGTCAGCCCGGTCACCAGATTTGTCCCCTATTTAGCATCTGTGGGACGAGTTGGATCGACGCTTTCGCAGAAGGAATCCACCGCCCCAAACACTTCCGGCGCTTCTTGATGCACTTCAGCATGAGTGGCAGCACATCCAACTTGATTGCATCTATGGGTCGTCGGTGTCAAGCGGTGATTGATGCACGTGGTGGGCACAACCGATACTGACATTTTCTGTACCCCTGTGACATTAACTGTATCGTGTACGTGTGTCTGTCTAGGTGACACAATTAATGTTTTGAAGATTGTGTACATTGATCTTCAAACCGTGTTTCAATTATGGTTTCTGTGTCCTATTTTGAAACAATCTCATCATATTACATTTTGAAAGTCAGTGTCAAGTTTCTTTTTTTGAAGGGTATATGTTTTGAGGTTGGAAGGGTGTTTTCTTTGACGTTTGAAATATGTGTTGTTTTGAAGTATGAAACGTGTGCTGTTTCCGTGAAAATAGTGGAAGATATTGAACGGGAGTTTACCGTACAGCCATGAATGTCACAGATGTGTGTATACAGGCCTGGGATAGACGAACCAACAACCCAGTGAGCATCGACCCAGTCAACAATAATCGCACAAGCCCGGCACCGCATTATACAACGCGCCCGACCAATCCGGCCTCGACCAAGAGTTCAACTTGACATAGAGTCCAAAAAATAATATCACTATATATATACATGTGTTGAGTGGACGGATACACTCAATAAACCGGGGGCACGGGTGGCCCAGTCGCCTGAGGCGCCGCGATTCGCTGTGCAGAGTTGCGTCCCTTGGGCACGCCAGAAACCTATGATTGTGGGTTCGAATCCCGATTCGCTCCGATTATGTTTCGAGGTTTGTCAGCACCATACCCGTGCTCGTGGGTTTCACCGAAGTGGTAAACGTCGGAGACCTGCATCACTTCGGGCTTTCCTCCCATATTAATCTGACACGCAGCGATATAACTGGAATACTGTTAAAAGCGGCGTTAAACCGAACTCACTCACTCACTCTCAATATTCCAGTATTTTAAGGAGAAAATAGAAACGAACAGTATAAAGGGTAGACTAACATAATCAAATACTCTTCCTATTCAACGTTTAACAGTTATGTATTGACGTCTCAGTTGTATAAGTTCAATAGGTTTATCTACCACCTGTTGATCTTCACACGAGAAGGATGAGGTGAGTTGACACGACTTTGGGACAACGGATCTGACGGAACCGACATTGCTTGTTTGGTTTGACACTAGATGTGACCGAGATGCGAGTGACTCTCCTCATCTTGGCGGCAAGCACCTGCTTCCCCACCACTGACACTGCTGAATGCCATGGGTCGGTCAGTAGCAGACTCTGTGTGTTACTGTTTTTGTTTGTTTGTTTTGTTTGTTGTATAATGCCACTACTCAACAATATTCCAGCTATATGACATCGGTCTGTAAATCATCGAGTCTGGACCGGACAGTCAGTGACTAACATCTTGCGCATGATCTACGCAATTGGGATGCGATGATATGCATCAACCAAGTCAGCGAGCCCGACCAGCTGATCCCGTTAGTCACCTCTTACGATAAGCACAGTCGTCTTTTAAGGCAAACATGGGTTGCTGACACCGGGAATGGATTTTACACGTTACCTGTGTAGGAATCAAACTGTTCCTTGTCGTAGCGAGCAAATACTTTACAAGGCTACCCTCCTGTCTCAATGAGTCAGGCTAGAAGTGTTAATTACGCTAGTCATTTCAAACAATAAGAATGTTTGCATGGGTTGTCTCCATCTCAATTGTACTTGGGGTCACGGGTGGCCCAGACGTCTAAGGCGCCGCGATTCGCTGTGCAGAGTTGCGTCCCTTGGGAACGCCAGAAACCTTTGATTGTTGGTTCGAATCCCGGTTCGCCCCGATTATGTTTCTAGGTTTGTCAGCACCATACCCGTGCTCGTGGGTTTCACCGAAGTGGTAAACGTCTGAGACCTGCATCACTTCGGGCTTTCCTCACACATTAAGCTGACACGCCGTGATATAACTGGAATAATGTTAAAAGCGGCGTTAAACCCAACTCACTCACTCACTCACTCACTTGTACTTGCCATCTAGTGGACAGATTGTCCACCCAGGGAGCGGAAGGTTCGATGCCCTGTCCGCGTCATACCAAAAGACATAAACATATGGTACTTGTTGTGACCCTGTTTGCGCTGGCATTACGGGGATTAAACGACTGGTCGTCTCGGGAGTCAATATATTGTGGCTGATGTCAATGGGCTAGCACTTATATAGCGCTATAAAAGCGGCATAAGTCCTGACTTGTACGAATAGCCATACACACACGCGCGCATGCTCGTCCCAATATGAGTGAAATATTCTTGAACCCGACACTAAACCCCATTTCACCTCACCCTAAAAAAGAAATACTTGAAAAAGTCTTCTATTAAAGAATATTTCCCTTCCCTCGTGGTAAATCAACAACTACACAATTATAAGAAGATGAAGATATCAATTCTTAATGCGCCAGATTCCGTTCACCGAGTGAATAAAATGGTGTTATGTAACTGCGTGTGTTGAACATTACAGAAACAATAATTTGTCTTCACCACAAACCAGATAGAGATATATGTCGTTCACGTCAGCTTGTCGAACTTTAACTGTAATGTATGATTCTTCTGAGGTCACGTGTTGAAATACACGCGGTGCACAAGTACCTGAGAAGCTAACTTCGGCCCAGCCTATAAACTAAGTCATTGTTGATAATTTCTGGTAAGTCGGTCGAAATACAACTTGCGAAGACACTTCGAATGGTCAACTGATATCTTTTTTAGCCAAGGGGACTGTATGAGTGGAAAGTGATGATACGAATTTGAAATTTCTTTGCGACTTTTATGTGTCAGTCCACTAAATGTACATAGACATAGTTTGTAACCCAGCTAGTACGTAACGGTATATGGAACATATGTGCACTTCACACCACATGGAATTAGGTGAGCTCATATTTGTGGCATACGTGTTAACTTACCAAACAAGACATGACATCGATGCGAGTGTTGGGCGTTGCCTTGTTTGTGGAATGGTGTTTGTTCCCCACTGTGACACCGGACTGCGGGTCGGTATGTGGCACCTTTAATACTTCTTCAGGTCGAAATTGTTATAAGTTCGAATTTCTTCATATGATGGAGTGTGGCTAGATCCCTATAAGTAGTTCAGCATGTCTAACTGCACTCAATCTGTTACGTAGCCCGGATGTTCTCTTAGAATACCAGTATAAATACTAGGTGTGGTACCGGATGCTCTCTAAGAATACTAGTATATATACTAGGTGTGTGGCCGGATGCTCTCACAGAATACCAGTTTATATACTAGGTGTAGGGCCGGATGCTCTCTAAGAATACCAGAATGTATACAAGGCGTGTGGTCGGATGTTCTCCTAGAATACCAGTATATATACTAGGTGTGTGGCCAGATGCTCTCTCAGAATACAACTATATACAAGGTGTTTGGCCGGATGCTCTCTAAGAATATAACAATATATACTAGGTGTTTGACTGGGTGCTCTCTTAGAATACAACAATATATACTAGGTGTTTGACTGGGTGCTCTCTCAGAATACAACTATATACAAGGTGTTTGACTGGGTGCTCTCTAAGAATATAACAATATATACTAGGTGTTTGACTGGGTGCTCTCTTAGAATACAACAATATATACTAGGTGTTTGACTGGGTGCTCTCTTAGAATACAACAATATATACTAGGTGTTTGACTGGGTGCTCCCTTAGAATACAACAATTTATACTAGGTGTTTGACTGGGTGCTCTCTCAGAATACAACTATATACAAGGTGTTTGGCCGGATGCTCTCTAAGAATACAACAATATATACTAGGTGTTTGACTGGGTGCTCTCTTAGAATACAACAATATATACTAGGTGTTTGACTGGGTGCTCTCTTAGAAAACAACAATATATACTAGGTGTTTGACTGGGTGCTCTCTTAGAATACAACAATATATACCAGGTGTTTGACTGGGTGCTCTCTTAGAATACAACAATATATACCAGGTGTTTGACTTAGTGCTCTCTTAGAATACAACTATATATACTGGGTGTGTGGCCGGATTCTCCCTAAGAATACAACAATATATACTAGGTGTTTGACTGGATGCTCTCTCAGAATACAACAATATATACTAGGTGTTTGACTGGGTGCTCTCTCAGAATACAACTATATACAAGGTGTTTGGCCGGATGCTCTCTAAGAATACAACAATATATACTAGGTGTTTGACTGGGTGCTCTCTTAGAATACAACAATATATACTAGGTGTTTGACTGGGTGCTCTCTTAGAATACAACAATTTATACTAGGTGTTTGACTGGGTGCTCTCTTAGAATACAACAATGTACAAGGTGTTTTGCCGGATGCTCTCAAAGAATACAACAATATATACCAGGTGTTTGACTTGGTGCTCTCTTAGAATACAATTATATATACTGGGTGTGTGGCCGGATGCTCCCTAAGGTTACCAGTTTATATACAAGGCGTGTGGTCTGATGCTGCCTGATCAAAGTGAGGGGAAAGATGCCTGTGCAGTAATTTATATATGTGGCATATCCGAAACTAATTGAACGTATCAACTGAAAGCCTCGCCGATATTGTAACCAACAAGGGTTGTACTTCATCCACACAGCCCTCTCCTAGCGCCGTCCCCAACCTGCTCCCTGTGGACACGAGACCACCCACCCTCGTCAGGACGATCAAGAACGCCAAGTTGTTCACAGTGGGGACCGGGGAGGACTCCTACTACATACTCCATCTGTACGGTAGGTATAACATCTCCTACATACAGTAAGAGAGTGAGTTGGGTTTAACTCCGCCTTTAGCAGTATTCCAGTTATATCACGGCGTGTCAGCTTAATATGGGAGGAAAGCCCGAAGTGATGCAGGTCTCGGACGTTTACCACTCGTGAAACCCACGAGCACGCGTATGGTGCTGACAAACCTAGAAACATAATCGGGACGAACCGGGATTTGAACCCACAATCATAGGTTTCTGGCGTGCCCAAGGGACGCAACTCCGCACAGCGAATCGCGGTGCCTTAGACGACTGGGCCGCCCCTGCCCCCTGCACCTACATATAAGTAGACCTTCTATTGAAGTACACAACTCAGAGATGGTGTTAATCTGATTGCGTTTAAGGACATCTGTAGCTTGGGACCATTTTGGGGTTGATTCAGAAGTGACCATTCAGTGTGGATACCGTTGGAGTTTTACAGGGTGGATATTGCATATCAGAGAGTTTTAATGCAGTCTGAACAAATTGGGTTTCTCTGGGAAGCACCGCGAGAGTCGCCGAGATACCCCCTTCTTCCAGTTATTGATGTATTGTACGTTTACAGGGACGCCGTATGAGATGGGCTTTGCCCAGGGCAGCATCGTTAAGGACGAGGCGACATCCATGATACAGCAGGTGTGGCAGTACATGCAGGACCAGATAGTGAGTTCTCAGTTACCCCCCTTTGGAAGACCATGATGTACTCAGTTATTACCCTTTGGAAGACCACGTAGTTTTGGTCCTTAAGCGATTAGCGCTGCGATTGTTAGACGTATACTTCAAAGACTTGAGTGGTAGTGACAGCATTCATATCTACAGGGTGGGGGTGGAGAAGTATCCTTTCTTATGTTAACATATCGTTTTAAGTTTCAACAAAATCAAAACGCGCTTTCGTGTCACTTGATTGTCTGGTCAAGGTTTGATTGTTTACATGCGGCTGACAGTGATTGACATCTTGAGCATCGATCTATGCATTTTGGATACGATGACACGCATCAACCAAGTCAGCGAGCCTGACCACCCAATCCTGTTAGGTGCCTCTTACGAAGGCAATTTTTAGCCGCCTCTTGCAGTAAGCATTGGTTGTTGAAGACCATTTCTAAAACGGATCTTCAGGGGTTACTCCTTTTGCAAACACCTGGTACCATCTACTGATTTTCAGTGATCAATTTATATATTTTTCACCGCTATTTACCTTTAACGCCCAATGGAATCCTTTTCGGCAGATAATCCAGGTTGGTTATTTTTTGGCGTTGACGCTTTACAAATGTAAATACTCAGAAAAAAAGTTAAGCGCCACCCTACAGTTTGGACAGTACAAAAACTGGGGTCATTATGTAAATATCATGAGTTTTATAACAGAGTTTTATGAAAACCGACAACAGAATTGTGTAGAGGTTTATTGACAAATAATGGTGTAAGATTATTGGATGTTTGCAGTTATGTGTTAATGGCAGAGATTATGGAAAACCAGGTGTTTCTACAGCCACGAAAGTACTGAAACAGGATCACCGCCAGTCGAATGTAGTGTAGCATATCAACAAACCAGTGTTACAGAAGGATCATTCCCACACTGGAGAAGTGATTCAACCCCTGATTAGACAAACTTTTTTTTTCTCTGGCGTTGACGTTTCATATCAGACCTTATCTTTACTCTTTGAAGCAATTCTGTGCATGTGCCTGATGTGTTACCTAGGTGTGTAATAGTGGTAACAGATATGATACCTAGGTATGTAATAATGTTAACAGCTGTGTTACCTAGGTGTGTAATAGTGTTAACGGATGTGATACCAAGTGATGTAATAATGTTAGCAGCTGTGGTACCTTGGTGTGTAATAGTGTTAACGGATATGATACCAAGGTATGTAATAATGTTAACAGATGTGGTACCTAGGTGTGTAATAATGTAAACGAATATGATACCAAGGTATGTAATAATGTTAACAGCCGTGGTACCTAGGTGTGTAACAGTGTTAACGGATATGATACCAAGGTATGTAATAATGTCAACAGCTGTGGTACCTAGGTGTTTAATAGTGTTAACGGATATGATACCAAGGTATGTAATAATGTTAACAGCTGTGCTACCTAGGTGTGTAATAGTGTTAACAGATACAGAACTAAAGTGGTGACCATTATATATGTTGGACCTATGCATTCTACTTTATCCATCAGGTCGGAGGAATAACGAAGAAACTGAAATTTCTTGACTGGTTCTTGGACGAAGTTGCAACTTTTGGGTAAGCGATTAGATTGTAGCTCAACATTAGAAAACAGTATATTAAGGTCCTTCACCACGCCCTTTATATCTGCACCACATTGTACCTACTTGCATTCGGTATACACCCCATTGTTCTTGTACCTTTTCGATCATATTAGGCCTACATCCATTCGGTATACACCCCATTGTTCTTGTACCTTTTGTGTCATATTAGGCCTACATCCATTCGGTATACATCCCATTGTTCTTGTACCTTTTGTGTCATATTAGGCCTACATCCATTCGGTATACATCCCATTGTTCTTGTACCTTTTGTGTCATATTAGGCCTACATCCATTCGGTATACATCCCATTGTTCTTGTACCTTTTGTGTCATATTAGGCCTACATCCATTCGGTATACATCCCATTGTTCTTGTACCTTTTGTGTCATATTAGGCCTACATCCATTCGGTATACATCCCATTGTTCTTGTACCTTTTGTGTCATATTAGGCCTACATCCATTCGGTATACATCCCATTGTTCTTGTACCTTTTGTGTCATATTAGGCCTACATCCATTCGGTATACATCCCATTGTTCTTGTACCTTTTGTGTCATATTAGGCCTACATCCATTCGGTATACATCCCATTGTTCTTGTACCTTTTGTGTCATATTAGGCCTACATCCATTCGGTATAGACACCATGTTTCCACCCTTTCTGTCAACGACATATTATGGTTACACAATTCCAACCACGTTTTCCCAATCTTAATCCCTGTATTTCCTGGCTGTTGGTTGGTAATGACTTGCGTCTTTAAGATGGCCGTGTGTTCGAATCCCATTTTCGCTATGAATATGATCATGATTTTAGTCAAGCTATCTGTTAAAACTACTGGGCACGTAATGTCACATTTACATGTTCTATATCTTCTATCTATATGTTCACACACTCACTCACTCACTGACGTAACTATGTTGTGGAGTTGTACATTGCGTCTATTATCAGAATTTTTATTAACTTCATGTTAACTTCTGGTTTCGTCAGACTGGACGCTGCCCTTGACCTGGAGTTATTGGCGACGAAGAAGTACACATCACAGGCGTTTTTTGACGAGGTCAGGGGACTGGCGGATGCCACTGGACAAGACTACAAGGCAGGTTTCTTTCCTTGTTACATAGTCAGAGGTGAGGGGACTGAATGTGCAACTGGACAAGACTACAAGGCAGGTGTTTGTTCCTTGTTACATAGTCAGAGGTGAGGGGACTGAATGTGCAACTGGACAAGACTACAAGGCAGGTGTTTGTTCCTTGTTACATAGTCAGAGGTGAGGGGACTGAATGTGCAAATGGACAAGACTACAAGGCAGGTGTGGGTTCCTTGTTATACATAGTCAGAGGTGAGGGGGCTGAATGTGCAACTGGACAATACTACAAGGCAGGTGTGGGTTCCTTGTTACATAGTCAGAGGTGAGGGGACTGAATGTGCAACTGGACAAGACTACAAGGCAGGTGTGGGTTCCTTGTTATACATAGTCAGTGGTGAGGGGACTGAATGTGCAACTGGACAAGACTACAAGGCAGGTGTGGGTTCCTTGTTATACATAGTCAGAGGTGAGGGGACTGGCGGATGCCACTGGACAAGACTACAAGGCAGGTGTTTGTTCCTTGTTACATAGTCAGAGGTGAGGGGACTGAATGTGCAACTGGACAAGACTACAAGGCAGGTGTGGGTTCCTTGTTATACATAGTCAGAGGTGAGGGGGCTGAATGTGCAACTGGACAATACTACAAGGCAGGTGTGGGTTCCTTGTTACATAGTCAGAGGTGAGGGGACTGAATGTGCAACTGGACAAGACTACAAGGCAGGTGTGGGTTCCTTGTTATACATAGTCAGTGGTGAGGGGACTGAATGTGCAACTGGACAAGACTACAAGGCAGGTGTGGGTTCCTTGTTATACATAGTCAGAGGTGAGGGGACTGGCGGATGCCACTGGACAAGACTACAAGGCAGGTGTTTGTTCCTTGTTACATAGTCAGAGGTGAGGGGACTGAATGTGCAACTGGACAAGACTACAAGGCAGGTGTGTGTTTCTTGTTACATAGTCAGAGGTGAGGGGACTGAATGTGCAACTGGACAAGACTACAAGGCAGGTGTGGGTTCCTTGTTATACATAGTCAGTGGTGAGGGGACTGAATGTGCAACTGGACAAGACTACAAGGCAGGTGTTTGTTCCTTGTTATACATAGTCATAGGTGAGGGGACTGGCGGATGCCACTGGACAAGACTACAAGGCAGGTGTTTGTTCCTTGTTACATAGTCAGAGGTGAGGGGACTGAATGTGCAACTGGACAAGACTACAAGGCAGGTGTTTGTTCCTTGTTACATAGTCAGAGGTGAGGGCACTGAATGTGCAACTGGACAAGACTACAAGGCAGGTGTTTGTTCCTTGTTACATAGTCAGATGTGAGGGGACTGAATGTGCAAATGGACAAGACTACAAGGCAGGTTTCTTTCCTTGTTACATAGTCATAGGTGAGGGGACTGAATGTGCAAATGGACAAGACTACAAGGCAGGTTTCTTTCCTTGTTACATAGTCAGATGTGAGGGGACTGAATGTGCAACTGGACAAGACTACAAGGCAGGTGTGTGTTCCTTGTTACATAGTCAGAGGTGAGGGGACTGAATGTGCAAATGAACAAGACTACAAGGCAGGTGTTTGTTTCTTGTTACATAGTCAGAGGTGAGGGGACTGAATGTGCAACTGGACAAGACAACAAGGCAGGTTTCTTTCCTTGTTACATAGTCAGATGTGAGGGGACTGAATGTGCAAGTGGACAAGACTACAAGGCAGGTGTTTGTTCCTTGTTACATAGTCAGATGTGAGGGGACTGAATGTGCAACTGGACAAGACTACAAGGCAGGTGTGTGTTCCTTGTTACATAGTCAGATGTGAGGGGACTGAATGTGCAAATGAACAAGACTACAAGGCAGGTGTTTGTTTCTTGTTACATAGTCAGAGGTGAGGGGACTGAATGTGCAACTGGACAAGACTACAAGGCAGGTGTTTGTTCCTTGTTACATAGTCGGAGGTGAGGGCACTGAATGTGCAACTGGACAAGACTACAAGGCAGGTGTTTGTTCCTTGTTACATAGTCAGATGTGAGGGGACTGAATGTGCAAATGGACAAGACTACAAGGCAGGTTTCTTTCCTTGTTACATAGTCATAGGTGAGGGGACTGAATGTGCAAATGGACAAGACTACAAGGCAGGTTTCTTTCCTTGTTACATAGTCAGATGTGAGGGGACTGAATGTGCAACTGGACAAGACTACAAGGCAGGTGTGTGTTCCTTGTTACATAGTCAGATGTGAGGGGACTGAATGTGCAAATGAACAAGACTACAAGGCAGGTGTTTGTTTCTTGTTACATAGTCAGAGGTGAGGGGACTGAATGTGCAACTGGACAAGACTACAAGGCAGGTTTCTTTCCTTGTTACATAGTCAGATGTGAGGGGACTGGCGGATGCCACTGGACAAGACTACAAGGCAGGTGTTTGTTCCTTGTTACATAGTCAGATGTGAGGGGACTGAATGTGCAACTGGACAAGACTACAAGGCAGGTGTGGGTTCCTTGTTACATAGTCAGATGTGAGGGGACTGAATGTGCAACTGGACAAGACTACAAGGCAGGTGTGGGTTCCTTGTTACATAGTCAGATGTGAGGGGACTGAATGTGCAACTGGACAAGACTACAAGGCAGGTGTGGGTTCCTTGTTATACATAATCAGTGGTGAGGGGACTGAATGTGCAACTGGACAAGACTACAAGGCAGGTGTTTGTTCCTTGTTACATAGTCAGAGGAAACCACACACTTGTCACACAATCAGAGGTCAGGGAACTGGCTATGCAACTAGACAAGACTATAAGGCAGGTGCTCGTTCGTTGCTGCATTGGCAGAGGTCAGGGCAGGCTTTATATTTATCAAGTTCTAACTTGTGGTAATTAGACTAGGAAAGGAGACATCCTAAGAATAAGAATTTGAAATCCAACCAGTGCCTCAGCCGCGTTAACATTCACAATGGTCTCGTAAGCAGAGATATTCAACAAATTGCAAGACAACGAATCATATCTACATACTTCTGTATTTTCACTTGAAATTACAAGATTATTATTTTTTTCAGACAATTTTGTACATCCATTTAATAGGTGAGCTAACGTGAGTATTTGTCATTATGCTTTTATTTGTAAAAACAAATTTGCATACTGTAAAAATATTTTGTTGTGGATAATTGAGTAATTTATGCAAATGAATGGAGTATTTTTCCTCTCCGGAGTGAGATATAATATTAAAGCGACAAAACCATTTCCATCAGCACAAGACATCGCTACTAAAAGCGGTCAGTTGCGCAATATCACAAGCCTGTGTTTATGAATCACTATCAAATAGTGATGATATCAGCTGTTTGCGAGTACGTGAGCGTACCCTGTCCCTCCGGTGGCAGCATTACAAACACATTCAGAGGCAAGTCAACTGTTCACCTAAAGTTACCGCGGAAAACGTCACATGTCAAAATAGGAAAAATGCTTCGGACCGCATTTCTGATGCGTAAAATTTGGAAATGTTCCCCACATGGAGAAATAGATCGCCACTCCCCGCTGAGAGCATCCTAATGATGATCTATTGGTTACAGTCCTTGGCTTGGCTGAGTGTATTTCATCGTGCCCCGACGGCATATAATTTGTTCATGGTGTCAAACACTGCCTGACCCAGAATCGATTATTTCCAAGCTGCCGTCATACAGCTGGGGTATTTCTTGCTGTGGCGTAAAGGAACAATTTTTTACTCACGCATACTCACAACATACCGTAATGATTCCAGAAAAGGATCGTGTTCTATGATTGGCGCCTGGGGTGACAGTCTTGCCAGGAATGGATCGCTCCTGCAGCTGCGCGCCCTAGACTGGGCAGTGGATGGTAAGTATCATAGGTTTAGAGAGTGTACCACCCTAGACTAGACAGTGTGTATCACTATAGGTCTAGTGAGTGTACCACCATAGATCAGACAGTGTGTATCACTATAGGTCTAGTGAGTGTACCAACCTAGACTAGACAGTGTGTATCACTATAGGTCTAGTGAGTGTACCCCCTAGACAAGACAGTGTGTATCACTACAGGTCTAGTGAGTGTACCATCCTAGACTAGACCGTGTATCACTATAGGTCTAGTGAATGTACCCCCCTAAAATAAAAAAGTGTGTATCACTATAGGTCTAGCGAGTGTACAACCCTGGACTAGACAGTGTGTATCACTATAGGTATGGTGAGTGTACCCCTAGACTAGACAGTGTGTATCACTATAGGTCTAGTGAGTGTACCCCCCTAGAATAGAAAATGTATCTCACTGTAGGTCTAGTGAGTGTACCACCCTGGACTAGACAGTGTGTATCACTATAGGTCTAGTGAGTGTACCCCTAGACTAGACAGTGTGTATTAATATAGGTCTAGTGAGTGTACCACCCTAGACTAGACAGGGAATATCACTGTAGGTCTAGTGAGTGAACCACCCTGGACTAGACAGTGTGTATCACTATAGGTCTGGTGAGTGTACCCCTAGACTAGAAAGGGGTGTATCACTGTAGGTCTAGTGAGTGTACCATCCTAGACTAGACAGTGTGTATCACTATAGGTCTGGTGAGTGTACCACCCTAGACTAGACAGGGTGTATCACTATAGGTCTAGTGAGTGTACCACCCTAGACAAGACAGTGTGTGTCACTATAGGTCTAGTGAGTGTACCATCCTAGACAAGACAGTGTGTGTCACTATAGGTCTAGTGAGTGTACCATCCTAGACTAGACAGTGTGTATCACTATAGGTCTAGCGAGTGTACCCCCTAGACTAGACAGTGTGTGTCACTATAGGTCTAGTGAGTGTACCACCCTAGACAAGACAGTGTGTGTCACTATAGGTCTAGTGAGTGTACCATCCTAGACAAGACAGTGTGTGTCACTATAGGTCTAGTGAGTGTACCATCCTAGACTAGACAGTGTGTGTCACTATAGGTCTAGCGAGTGTACCCCCTAGACTAGACAGTGTGTGTCACTATAGGTCTAGTGAGTGTACCACCATAGATCAGACAGTGTGTATCACTGTAGGTCTAGTGAGTGTACCACCCTAGACAAGACAGGGTGTATCACTGTAGGTCTAGTGAGTGTACCACCCTAGAGTAGACAGTGTGTATCACTATAGGTCTAGTGAGTGTACCATCCTAGACAAGACAGGGTGTATCACTGTAGGTCTAGTGAGTGTACCATCCTAGACAAGACAGGGTGTATCACTATAGGTCTAGCGAGTGTACCCCCTAGACTAGACAGGGTGTATCACTATAGGTCTAGTGAGTGTACCACCCTAGACAAGACAGTGTGTATCACTATAGGTCTAGTGAGTGTACCATCCTAGACAAGACAGGGTGTATCACTGTAGGTCTAGTGAGTGTACCATCCTAGACAAGACAGGGTGTATCACTATAGGTCTAGCGAGTGTACCACCTAGACTAGACAGGGTGTATCACTATAGGTCTAGTGAGTGTACCACCCTAGACAAGACAGTGTGTATCACTATAGGTCTAGTGAGTGTACCATCCTAGACAAGACAGGGTGTATCACTGTAGGTCTAGTGAGTGTACCATCCTAGACTAGACAGTGTGTGTCACTATAGGTCTAGCGAGTGTACCATCCTAGACTAGACAGGGTGTATCACTATAGGTCTAGTGAGTGTACCACCCTAGACAAGACAGTGTGTATCACTATAGGTCTAGTGAGTGTACCATCCTAGACAAGACAGGGTGTATCACTGTAGGTCTAGTGAGTGTACCATCCTAGACTAGACAGTGTGTGTCACTATAGGTCTAGCGAGTGTACCATCCTAGACTAGACAGTGTGTATCACTATAGGTCTAGTGAGTGTACCATCCTAGACAAGACAGGGTGTATCACTGTAGGTCTAGTGAGTGTACCATCCTAGACAAGACAGGGTGTATCACTATAGGTCTAGCGAGTGTACCCCCTAGACTAGACAGGGTGTATCACTATAGGTCTAGTGAGTGTACCACCCTAGACAAGACAGTGTGTATCACTATAGGTCTAGTGAGTGTACCACCCTAGACAAGACAGTGTGTATCACTGTAGGTCTAGTGAGTGTACCACCCTAGAGTAGACAGTGTGTATCACTGTAGGTCTAGTGAGTGTACCATCCTAGACAAGACAGGGTGTATCACTGTAGGTCTAGTGAGTGTACCATCCTAGACTAGACAGTGTGTGTCACTATAGGTCTAGCGAGTGTACCATCCTAGACTAGACAGGGTGTATCACTATAGGTCTAGTGAGTGTACCCCCCTAGAATAGAAAGTGTGTATCACTATAGGTCTAGCGAGTGTACCACCCTAGACTAAACAGGGTGTATCACTGTAAGTCAAGCGAGTGTACCACCCTAGAATAGACAGTGTGTATCACTATAGGTCTAGTGAGTGTACCATCCTAGACTAGACAGTGTGTATCACTATAGGTCTAGCGAGTGTACCCCCTAGACTAGACAGTGTGTATCACTATAGGTCTAGTGAGTGTACCACACTGATACTACTTGGCGAGACAATGGGTTGTTAGTACTGTGTGTTCGTTAATGTGATAAGCATTTCTTGTGTGTACGTGAAACTACTAGAGCTCTTGAGGTACAGTATTAACGGTATCAATACCGCTGCTGTGCCGCCTGTGAATCCTGTCCTGTAGAACTACGCATTCGTGTTCTCATCATGTGTTCAGCACGACTGACCCAGCCGTTTAAGGCTCCGCAATGTGCTGTAAAGAGTTGCGTCCCTTAAGCAGGCCAGAAACCTATGACTGGTTCGAATCCCAGATCCGTCTTGATTATGTTTCTAGGTTTGGTTTGTCGGCACCACACCCGCGCAAACATAGTGGTTTAATAAAAGAGGTAAACGTTCAAGACTTGTACCGTGTCAAGGCGTGGTCTAGTGGATAGAGCTTTTGCCCGGAGATCGGACGGACGTGGTGGTGCATGTTGTTACCCTGCCTGGCGCTCGCCATTAAAGGGCTCAATCAAGGACTGATCGGTTCGGAGTAGTATACTATGTCTGAGTGGGGTATTCATGTTAGACTGCGGTATGGTATCTCAGTGGGCTTGCACTATAAAATCGGCATTAGTCCAGACTAGTACAAGCAGCAACACACACGCTCATGAGCGCACGTCGCAATAATCTTCAACGCGACGTTAAACCCCATTTGTCCCACTTCACCCACAGTAAGCTTACGGGTATTCACTCACTAACTCATGATGAAAACGACGCCCTGATTTCAGGTCCCTTCAAGGACTTCCCACAGGTGACCGTGTACCACCCTGTCAACACGACATACGGGCAACCCTGGGCCAACTTCGGATGGACGGGATGGATTGGTTCTATCACAGGTGAAGCTTTTCGTTTATAATCCTATATGTGTATTGTCAAACTAGCATGATTTGCTGTCATGGTTTTATATATCACTTGGGTTTGTGAACAGAAAACATATGGAATATTAATTCAGCGTTAGACTACTCAAGAATCATGTATTGGCCTTGTGTAACATACTCCTCTATTAAGACCGCCTCCGTGGTCTAGTGGTAGAGCGTCCGCCCGGACAGCGGAAGGTCCGGGGTTCGATCCCCGACCGCGTCATACCAAAAGACGTTAAAATATGGTACTTGTTGTTACCCTGTCTGGCGCTCGGCATAAAGGGACTAAAACAAGGACTGGTCGGCTCGGAGTTAGTATACTGTGTCTGAGTGAGCTAGCACTATAAATCGGCATCAGTCCGGACTAGTACAAGCAGCCACACAAACACACACACGAACATGCACGTCGCTATATAAGTGCAATTATCTTGGACGCGACGTTAAACCCCATTTCACCTCACCTAGTCCTCTAGTAGTGTCCTCACCTAGTCCTCCTGCAATGTAGTGGTGTTTCTGTTTCCTTGCAAAATGCCAGCCCCATCAAGTTTGACACAACACCTTTTAAATACTCTACCTTCGTCTATTAACTAAAAATTTGCGATGAAGATTATTGCAGCATTAAAAGATTAATCATAGTATAGGGTATCCATTTGAACTTTGACACTTGACACTTGCAACGTCTAGACCTTGACCGGAAGTGGACGCCATGACCTGGAGCATCGTCTCCCATTTAGCTTCCACGCGATCGATTAATTAGTCTGTGAATCAGTATGCTGATTTTCCTTCAAACGCAATATTCCCTTCCAGGAATGAACTCGGTGAAGATGGCTATTTCCGAGATCGGGGTATCATTTCCTGACGCCAGCTTCGGCAAGGAGTCGAGATTCGGCATCCCGTTCACTGTAGGTAGTCTTTCTTCTGTTTGTTTGTTTGTTGTTTAACGCCGCACTAAGCAATATTCCAGCTTTATGACGGCGGTCTGTAAACAATCGACTCTGGACCAGACAACCCAGTGATTGACAGCATGAGCATCGATCCACATAAATGGGATATGATGACATGCATCAACCAAGTCAGCGAGTCTGACCACACGATCCGGATCTTCACGGGATAGTTTAACTTCTGATACATATATGGTACCAATGTTATGTTCGTCATACCATAGTTAGGTCCTGTATATAGTTGTGTTTGACACATGCGGCAGAAAATAACGACCCACGCGTATCCTCACAATCTCATAAGAATCGAATATTTTACTCGTATTCGATGGACGGAGGTATCAACTCGCAGTTAATGCGATTTTCGTTGTTATTTCTCTGCGATTAGTTATCTTCTAAGACTTTCATATTCCGATATTAATGTCTGGTTTCCTCGCTCCAGATCCGATACTAAAGATAATGATTATGATAATGTCTGCGGTGACATTAATCCTATATGCACTCTCTTGAGCTCACTTGTCCATTACTTCAGAACATCTTGCGAGACATCCTTCAGTACGACACCACCCTGGATGCAGCCGTGCAGAGAATCACTAACTCTAAGCGGACCTGTGACCTTCTGCTCGGGGTCGGAGACGGCAAGGTAATTGTTCATCCCCAAACACCAAACAAAGAAGGCACTATGTGAGCCTCCGATTCTTTCAATTCATCGACACAATCTTAAGCATAAGAGGTCTTTCCCGAGATATATGTTGTGTCTTTCTCCGAGATATATGTTGTACCACTGCTTCCAGAGCCAGACATTCCGTCAGCTACTGATGTGCTGTGTTGTCTAAATGTGTTGTACCACTGCTTCCAGAGCCAGGCATTCCGTCAGCTACTGATGTGCTGTGTTGTCTAAATGTGTTGTACCACTGCTTCCAGAGCCAGGCATTCCGTCAGCCACTGATGTGCTGTGTTGTCTAAATGTGTTGTACCACTGCTTCCAGAGCCAGGCATTCCGTCAGCTACTGATGTGCTGTGTTGTCTATATGTGCTCTGCCACTGCTTCCAGAGCCAGACGTTCCGTCAGCCACTGATGTGCTGTGTTGTCTATATGTGCTCTGCCACTGCTTCCAGAGCCAGGCATTCCGTCAGCCACTGATGTGCTGTGTTGTCTAAATGTGTTGTACCACTGCTTCCAGAGCCAGGCATTCCGTCAGCTACTGATGTGCTGTGTTGTCTATATGTGTTGTACCACTGCTTCCAGAGCCAGACATTCCGTCAGCCACTGATGTGCTGTGTTGACTATATGTGTTGTACCACTGCTTCCAGAGCCAGACGTTCCGTCAGCCACTGATGTGCTGTGTTGTCTATATGTGCTCTGCCACTGCTTCCAGAGCCAGACATTCCGTCAGCCACTGATGTGCTGTGTTGTCTATATGTGCTCTGCCACTGCTTCCAGAGCCAGACATTCCGTCAGCCACTGATGTGTTGTGTGTGTATGTGCTCTGCCACTGCTTCCAGAGCTAGACATTCCGTCAGCTACTAATGTGCTGTGTTGTCTAAATGTGTTGTACCACTGCTTCCAGAGCCAGACATTCCGTCAGCTACTGATGTGCTGTGTGTGTATGTGTTGTACCACTGCTTCCAGAGCCAGACATTCCGTCAGCTACTGATGTGCTGTGTGTGTATGTGTTGTACCACTGCTTCCAGAGCCAGACATTCCGTCAGCTACTGATGTGCTGTGTTGTCTAAATGTGTTGTACCACTGCTTCCAGAGCCAGACATTCCGTCAGCTACTGATGTGCTGTGTTGTCTATATGTGCTCTGCCACTGCTTCCAGAGCCAGACATTCCGTCAGCCACTGATGTGCTGTGTTGTCTAAATGTGTTGTACCACTGCTTCCAGAGCCAGACATTCCGTCAGCTACTGATGTGCTGTGTGTGTATGTGTTGTACCACTGCTTCCAGAGCCAGACGTTCCGTCAGCCACTGATGTGCTGTGTGTGTATGTGTTGTACCACTGCTTCCAGAGCCAGACATTCCGTCAGCTACTGATGTGCTGTGTGTGTATGTGTTGTACCACTGCTTCCAGAGCCAGACATTCCGTCAGCTACTGATGTGCTGTGTGTGTATGTGTTGTACCACTGCTTCCAGAGCCAGACATTCCGTCAGCTACTGATGTGCTGTGTGTGTATGTGTTGTACCACTGCTTCCAGAGCCAGACATTCCGTCAGCTACTGATGTGCTGTGTGTGTATGTGTTGTACCACTGCTTCCAGAGCCAGACATTCCGTCAGCTACTGATGTGCTGTGTGTGTATGTGTTGTACCACTGCTTCCAGAGCCAGACATTCCGTCAGCCACTGATGTGCTGTGTGTGTATGTGTTGTACCACTGCTTCCAGAGCCAGACATTCCGTCAGCTACTGATGTGCTGTGTTGTCTATATGTGCTCTGCCACTGCTTCCAGAGCCAGACATTCCGTCAGCTACTGATGTGCTGTGTTGTCTAAATGTGTTGTACCACTGCTTCCAGAGCTAGACATTCCGTCAGCTACTGATGTGCTGTGTTGTCTAAATGTGCTGTACCACTGCTTCCAGAGCCAGACATTCCGTGGGGTTGAGTACTCTGCCTCTACAGCCAACTTTTACGACGACGCGACGTTGCAGCCCCTTGCGGTGTGGCATCCTAGGATCAAGGACGTCGTATACTGGGGTGAGACAAGGGGACACCGATCGCTGCATCCCTGCTGGTTACATAGCTCTCTGTGTATGAGGAAGCTTTCTTCCTGCTTAGTAAGGTTAAGAAATACCCATTGACAAAACATCCTTGCAGGATTCCTGGTTGTATTGCTGCCTATATTTTGAGCCGTATTCCTTGCTCTATTCCTGCTCTAATTTTATTTTTTCCCAGCTGTATTTCAGTATTTTCTTGCGTATTATCCTTCCTGTTTCTGTTTCAATTTTGTGCTTCTTTCCTTACGATATTTCTGGTCGTTTTTCCCGGCTCTAGCCTTGGCTGAACACTACAACTATTGCAGCTATATTCACGCCTATATACCCGCCTTTACTCCCGTATACATTCCTTCCTATGTACATGCCAATATTCCTAACGGGGTGTTGGTGACGTAGTCGTCTAATGCTTGATAATTCGTTGTGCAGAGTTGCGGCCGGTAGTCGTGACAGAATCCTTTGACTACGGGTCCCAGTATTATGCCTTTTTCGCGGGTTTTGCTAAGTGTTTTATGACCTGTGTCACGCTTTGTTATCCCCCCACATCTATCTGACACACCGTGGTGTAAATGAAATACCGTTCCAAGCTGTGTGAAAGCCCATTCGCTATATTCCTATTTCCTCACTCCTTTTCTACCTATATTCCAGGCTGTGTTGTTTCCCATATCCTGAGTATAGTTTTGCCTAATTTCTTGGCTGTTTTCGCTGTACCTCTAGTTGTAGTTATGTTTGTATTCTCGCCTATATTCCCGCTTCTATTTCACGCCTATAGTCCCGTTTGTATTCCTGACTATATTCTAGCTTGTATACACGCCTTTAACCCTGTTTAATTGTTTTCGCCTATATTGCCGTTTGTATTCCTGACTGTATTACTGCTTGTATTCACGCTTTTATTCCTGATTGTAGTCACGTCTATATTCCCCTTTGTATTTACGACTGTATTCCCGCTTGTATACAAGTCTTTATTCATGTTTGTATTCACGCCTATATCCCCATTTGTATTTACGCCTATATTCCCAGTTGTATTCCTGACTGTATTCCCGCTTGTTTACACGTCTTTATTCATGTTTGTATTCACACCTATATTCCCATTTGTATTCACACCTATATTCCCATTTGTATTCACGCCTATATTCCCGGTTGTATTCCTGACTGTATTCCCGCTTGTATACACGTCTGTATTCATGTTTGTATTCACGCCTATATTCCCATTTGTATTCACGCCTATATTCCCGGTTGTAGTCCTGACTGTATTCCCGCTTGTATACACGTCTTCATTCATGTTTGTATTCACACCTATATTCCCGCCTATATTTACATTTGTATTCCTGACTATATTCCAGCTTGTATCCCTATTTGTATTCACGCCTGTAATCCTGTTTGTATTCCCGCTTATATACACGCCTATATCCCTGCTTGTATTCCCGCTTATATACACGCCTATATCCCTGCTTGTATTCCCGCTTATATACACGCCTATATCCCTGCTTGTATTCCCGCTTATATACACGCCTATATCCCTACTTGTATTCCCGCTTATATACACGCCTGTATCCCTGCTTGTATTCCCGCTTATATACACGCCTGTATCCCTGCTTGTATTCCCGCTTATATACACGCCTGTATCCCTGCTTGTATTCTCTCCTATATTCCTGCTGTATTTCTGCATGTATGCAGGGATGGACTGGGAATGCCCTGGCTACAGTCAGGTCCTGGCCACACAGATACAGCGGAACTACGGCCACCTCGACGCCAGCCTCGTCATGAGAGATGTCGTCAGCATTGTCCAGACTGGCAACATGCAAGTGGCTGTATACGACCTCACCGAGAACATCGCCTACCTGGCCAACGCCCGAGGGTCCTTTGAGAGCGGACCAGAATACGCCTATGAGAGGTTAGTTAAAATTATTAATATCATGCACGTGTGTGAGGGTTGTAACCCTGCTCCCAAGGATCCGCATATTCGTAAACAATAGTATAGCTTTCACTTAAATGGGATATAGACGGATTGTTCCTGCATATATTATACACCTCGTGCAGATTCCGTCGTGTTAAGGGATCAGGCTATGTGACATTGTTGGATTGCTTGGCATCTGACCTCGAAGGTGTGGATCGTTACTTATGACATCAATCACTGGATTGTCTCGTCCAGACTCGGTTACCAGTATTTACTTGCAGCTGTCATGTAGCTGGAATATTGCTGAGTTATACAGCAACAATGTGTCATCAAGCATACACATTTGATATTTTGTTGTGACTGTATAAAACTATTTCAGTCATTTTACAGTTTTTTTTCCATTTATAATATTATGAATACGAATTAAAAATATTGTATGCCCTATTTCATTACCCAGTGATTGAAAATGGTAGGATTAATAGAAATCGAAAGTCAATGTATATATTTGGGTGGGGGAACTTATTATGGGAGGGGGGATAATTGTGAAATTACTGAAATATATGGTGTTTTTATCAATTGCCTAAGTGAAAAGTTCAATCATTTTACACATTGACTGTTACATATATACTTCAAGGTCGTAAATTGATTGACAGGTGTAGATATACTTTCGAGAACGATTCGCCTTTGCAATTCATTTCTTAGACGTAACTCGCAACTTATCCGACTGGGGATACGATTTGCTAATAATGGTTATTTTGTTTAATTTTCAGGCAGTTTGTGAGAATGAACATGACCCAGATATTTGCAGAGCCAATGCCAAGCCTTATACCTCATACACATTGTATATTCTGTCCAAAATAAACAAATATATCGCGAAGCGGTGTTTTTGTTGAAGTCATTGATACATTAACAATGCTTTATAGATGAATCAGTGAAGATGTTAAAGTATACATGTGAATTACGAAATTCTTTATTGTAGCTTTGGTACAGAATGTGAGTTACGATAATCTTGGCGCTATGTTGAATTGTGTGAGGCACGATAATCTTGGCGCTATGTTGAATTGTGTGAGTCACGATAATCTTGGCGCTATGTTGAATTGTGTGTCACGATAATCTTGGCGCTATGTTGAATTGTGTGAGTCACGATAATCTTGGCTCTATGTTGAATTGTGTGAGTCACGATAATCTTGGCGCTATGTTGAATTGTGTGAGTCACGATAATCTTGGTGCTATGTTGAATTGTTTGAGTTACGATAATCTTGGCGCTATGTTGAATTGTTTGAGTTACGATAATCTTGGCGCTCTGTTGAATTGTGTGAGTCACGATAATCTTGGCGCTATGTTGAGTTGTTTGAGTTACGATAATCTTGGCGCCTGCCACGGACTAATTAACCTGCCACGGACTAATATTTGTCAATATTAATACCGAATATGTTTAAGTATTTTCAAAATTCGTTTTTACAGCCATATGGCTTTTGTCACCCGAAGAAAAATGACATCAGCCCATTCGTTTAGTTAAAATAATGTACATTCGAGAAATTGTTTTATTTAGAAATTACCATGTGTTTTGTTTAAGAATGTTGAAACTATTTGTCACAATGGAAGAAGATCTAAGTATGCTGTATGTAAGAGCCAAGCATTTCATAGACGCGGGTACAGTGTGTGGAGCCGATGTCTGATGTCCCCGCTCTGTTATTGCAGGAATATTTGAAAAAAAAACGGCGTAAAACCATTTGGGTCATTTAGCATTTTTTTAAAAACCGCCCACCCATATTGACTTTTGATACGCATTTTAACTATTAAAAACGTTAGAAGTCCATCATAACACACAGTGATGTGTATGAAGGCTGATAACGTTACGTGCGTTCGATTAGTGTAATTCGAGTGACCGAGGTTATCACATTCTAGCAGCCAGGGTTGACTAGATTCAGCTTGAGTTAACCAGTGTTAATCAATGATAACTTAGGGCAGTATCCGAAATATGACGCATAAAATGCAACCTTAGATATGATGATGGCTGTAAGGAGGGAGAAACACAATAGCCATATGCTATTACATAAACACATACATTTGAGAGGTTTACTAGTTTTTGATTGCTTGACAAAGCTGTCATTTTACATTTTTTATTTAATGCATATAAAAAGACAATAAAGTTCAAAACATCAAACATCAAAAGAACTGCAAAATCATCATCAAAGTTGCATTAATTCTAAAGTATTAATTTCAACAATCCAAAAGTTAAATTTCACTGACGCATATCAGAATAAACATATACGATCAATACCTATTTTTTTATTATATTAATTGAAATGTTTGTTTTCATGAATACACAATGCCATTTAGAAAGAGGTCAAATGTAACAAATGTTATATTTGGGATAACACTTTCTTAGTAAAGTACACTTTGTGTGCTGGCGATTAGGTGCCTCACTCTGGCAAGTGTGGGTTCGAATCCCGGACGGGACTCAACCCAAAAAAGTACGAGAATCTGTACCTTACTAAGAAAGTGGTATCCCAAATATAACATTTGTTATGTTTGTATACATGATTCAATCAATAAATGAAACTAATTTTCTTCACTGATGACGTCACTTGGAGGCTGCTAACTATAGAGTATCGCCCCAAGGGGTTCAGTAGGTAGGGCAACTTAGGGCAACCGATATGTGACGTCAATCAGTTAACACGACCTAAAACTGGTCAACCAATGTTAACTTAGGTTATACCTTTGTCAACACGGGTTTACCTTGGTTAACAAATCGAACGCAATCGCTGTCGTGGAGTCAAAATGGGGGACGCGACGTCACGTGACTGCATATTGATGAGATTGATTCCAAATGTACAAGCGTCAACAATATTCACTCACACGCAACCTCTGAATGTCTAAATGTGAATACCGTGCGCCATGTGGTGTCAGCAGCCCCGACGTTTGAATTGATTTCACACACAAACCTGCCTGAGACTATAAAGTCCACACATTCAACCTGTTGCCACCCTTGCGGCCATTGTTGATCAGCCGGCTGTTGTGCTTCAGGCAGTGACTCGATCAGCCTGGTTCCCTGGGCATGCTGCGCTGGCGCTACAGTGTACCCTGGGAGCCAGGCTGTGACTCGGTGAGGATCGCCTGTCTTGTGATCAGCTGCCATTGCTACACATCGTGCGAAGAAACAACGATGAATTGTAAAACAGCTCTTATTTGAAATATGCTGTCAGCGGACAGTTTATGGCCAACTACGACTCTCATACAAAGATTGGATTGTGTGGTCTGTCTGCTAATCAACACATGGCCCTATTCTTTGTGGTTACTGTGAAATAGCTGGAAGAATTAGGTCTTCAGCAACCCATGCTTGCCGTAAAAGACGACTATGCTTGTCGTAAGCGGCAACTACCGGGATCGGGTGGTCAGGCTCGCTGACTTGCATGGTTGCAGCCTGGATCCCTGGGTACGTAGCGCCAGCGCAGCCTACACAGGGAACCAGGCTGACTTGGTTGATGCATATGTCATCGTATCCCAATTGCGTGGATCGATGCTCTCATGATGTCAATCACTGCATTGTCTGGTCAAGAATCGATTATTTACAGACCCCCGTCTTATAGTTGGAATATTAGTGACAAACAAACAAATAAACAAACAAACTGTGAAATAGTGTTCTCTAAATACACGGGCTTCACAAAGCACGACTCTCAGGTGTTTTCTTCATCTTGTCCGTTGGTTCACTGCCAAGTGACATTTGTCTTCCAGGTTAGAAAGATGCATCGAGTCCTCTGTTTCCTCAAATGGATATCAACATTTGAAATATTCAACCATTATGAAAAGAAATTTAGTGTTAGGGATACGAGTGTCCCATTGAGAAAGGCACTGCATTTTATGCGCAGAGTTGCGTCCCTTATTCATGCAAAGATTTGTTGATTCGCCCTGATTTGGATTTTTGGTTTATCAGTTCCATTCCCGTCCGTGTTCGTGAGTTTTCTCAACGCGATAAACATCTTCGTCCCCATACCTTTGGGCGTGCCTCCTATGTTCATCTGACACGTCGTGACAACGAGGTACAGTTCAAACGGTGCAAAGGGCAACTCACTGTTTACTCGGTTTACTTCTCCTGTATTTCAATATATACTACTCAAAAGAAGTTGAGAACACCCGGTGTTCCATTAAGTGGTATATATGATTACGTCACTTCGCGAGGTGACGTGTCGATAAGATGGAGTAAGCATGTAGGATCTATTGATAGACAACACATGAAAAATGTTTGAGTAAGGTTTATTTTATCATATTTATACACAACACGCAGCTCTTGTTTCCATAATCTAGAACACATGAACCTTGGTTCAGTTTTACGTATGACGCAAAGCTCCTACGGAGGCACATTTCAAATCATCAGTTTTTATTCATACGGCAAACACCAATTAGGGGTCAACCATTCGATATTCTGGGGGGGCCTTGGATCTTATCGAAAAAAATTAATTGTCACTGAAATTCTTAAAAACATATCGTTTTTAAAAGATTGTCTACCACAGAAATAACATTGTTGAAATGCCCATAGTTGTGATTGTAAAAATACCTAGTTCTGCAGTTGTAGCTAAAAAAGAATATCTGGTTTCAATACAAAATCCGAGACATCACGCCCCCCCCCCCCCCCCCCCCCCACACACACACACCTCCTCTCCCGGCCAAACACACTCACCCTCCAAAAGAATATCAAATGGTCGATCGTCCAAAGACAAAGCGTCCAGATGTGACACTTCATAAACCACCGAAAACAGTGGATGAACCGGAAGCTTGATACGATACTCCGTCAAACTAACTTTTTGTGTCAGCTAATATTTCAATGGACTAGGAGATAAGCATGGCCATAGATAATACAGAAACAAACGAGTCGAGATAAGTACTAAGTAAGTAAGTAAGTAAGTAAGTAGATATGCCTGATTAAGTACTCACGGCTCCGAGTAGCGTTGAAACCTATGCCAAGCCTACGCGTGTCAATGTCAATTTTAACACAAGTTTGTCCTTATTTATCTTATTGCAGAAGGACATAAAGACAATTAATATGGACACAAAATGAACTGTTGAACTTAAGTTAAGAGTTAAGAGACTACTGACTTTAAATTCTATCAGCAACACTCTCCCTCTCTCTCTCTCACACACACACACACACACATCTTGTCACAGGGTACATGTACATATAAAACACAGGGGTGCCGTTATACAAAACAAACTTAGCGCTACGTCTGTCGTAAGTCTATGTTAAGATATGGGAGTTACGATCACCTTAGCGCTAAGATCGCTTTGTACAACGGCACCCTGGTCCACTTCCCCACAATGTGAAGAATATACCAGCATAAGATCAGCCACTCTTACACTGGGATGGGCTTAGAATGAATGTGTCGAGTACGAGGGTGACTGATGCGTGGTGTGAACAACACCCTCTGCAATGATGAAGTCAGGAAGCCAAGCCAGTCCGAGTTAATACGCCAACTTCCATTTGCCGTCCTTATCCCACATGTTCTGGTCATAAAGGCGACACAAGCCCTTCACTTTCTTCTCGAATAGTGACTGAACCGCAACTGGAATCCAAGAATATACACATGGATGAAACTGCAAAGCTATTTTAGAAAGATTGGACTGGCACCGTTACATATAACATCTAACCTAAAAGTGAAGTGAGTGAGTACTGTTTTACGCCCCTTTAGCAATATTACAGCAATATAGCGGAAAGGGGTACCAGAAATGGTATGCATACATTGTACGCATGTGGGGATTCGAACCCGGGCCTTTGACTTGACGGCAGTGTTTGAAATACAAAATGGCCAGGCTGCCATCAAGACCCACCGATTTTAAAAGCTGCTGGTCCTAACCAATTCTTTGGGGCCTCATTTATAAAGACTTATTGTGACAATTAAATCGTAACGTGAATTTACTGCCGACCATAAGATTCCTAACCAACTCATTGGGGCTTCATTTAAAAAAACTTATTGTGACAATTAAATCGTAACGTGAATTTACTGCCGACCATAAGATTCCATACAAATTTGAAACTGCGGGCCCGACATGAGATCTACCTGCTACGGGCCTACGGGTAGGTGCTTTTTGCGAACACTGCGCGAACACTGCGCGAACGCTTTAACCACTCAGCTACCCCACGTTCCCTTCATTAGAGTCAGGCAATAGCCGGTCCATTGAAGCATCATAAGAGATCCATGCCGAAGATGCATCACTGCCGTGTAGACTAGCCAACACAGTTGTCGCAGCAGAGACGAGCATCATAACCTAGCTGCTTTATTCATGGCTAGTACACTCAGGGCTATAGTACAGTCTTGCTAGTACACCCGTGGTCGTACAATATGGCTTGCAGGCTCGTGGTAAGTGTAATTCAATTAATATATACACCCGGGAAAAAAACCCTATACATTCATGTTTGATGGTGGCGAAAAAGGAAACAAACAAGAAATGGTCATTCGATGGTGATGCATTTCAGCCTAGTAACGTTTTGATAACGTTTACAAGTTTGGGGTCAAATCCAATTTTCAAGTATATACTTTCTTTTACCCGGCGGTTTACTTATTGAACCCTGAGTTCTGCTGTCAAAAATGAGGAGACGAAACAAGATATTTTACCCTATTTTTTTTTTAATAACATAATGTTGTCGTTTATTTTAGAAAGGCTTGATATTTCCCTTGGCGTAGGGGAGCGGTTGGGTAGCCGAGTGGTTAAAGCGTTCGCTTGTCGCACCGAAGACCGGGGTTCGATTCCCCACATGGGTACAAGGCGCAAAGCCCAGTTTCAGCAATATCAATAAATATATTTAAATTGGTTTCTGTATCTATGTTAAGAAAATAGGACCATTAAAGGTGGTGTGTCTCCAAGCATGTATTGAAATAAAAGCGACAGAACACTTTCCATGTGAGGATCAAATCACTGTATTACTCACGCCATTGGACTCCATAAGATACGGGACAGATGTTCAGTGTGCTTCTAGTCGGGAAGAAGAATATAGTATTGCCCTAAAACAGAAACATTAGTCAGATAAAAACATGTAGAATTAATACGGCAAGACGTCACACCACACAGTGTGACGTCGCAATAAACGTCGAGTTCCATCATGCTCATTAAGCTGAAATTACACTCAGTCTGTAGTTTGGTCCGATTCCAAGATATTCCAAGATGTGTATATGTACAATACGCTACATTTGTACCAGTGTCAAAGGATCATTGTTCACTCGATTCCATTACTCAGCTCCTTTGGGAGTATACAACCGAAGATGCACATGAGGCGCAAGAAGGTTAACAATCACGTTACCATCTCATTCTACCTGGTACCAACTAACTGCTCGGTGAACACGGGCATATTTCGAACAAAGTCACTTGCCAAAAGAGACACCACCTAGTCCACTGTACAGCATTCAATACAGTAAAGTCTACTGACTAAATTTAACCTGTCATGTAGATCGCCGTGTCTTTACGGTTCCGGTACATTCTGTTTCTATTACCAGCTATTTATCTCGGGTTCTTGATTTAGTGCCCCTTGTAGGACAATTGCGAAAAATCGTTATTTTGTTCAAAATTGGGATTTTTTTAAAAGTTTATATTTTCATAAATTCAGAGGTATTTGAGATGGAATGCAATAAATAAAAACGAAGCATTAAAACCTGTTCCTATTTATTTGTCTTGTCCTATTATGTATTCATAAGGGAAAATAGGTTAATTCTTCGAGCCATACGATTAGTTATTAGTTTTATATATTAATGCACAGTAACAAGAATTAGGAGTAGGAATTGTTAAAGAATTGGGGACGAATATCGGCCACTGCGCAAGTCTGTATGAGACTCCGATGAGATAGTTTTCCGTTGGACGTTTCACCTTCATCCATGGACAGGGTAATACGTCTAAGCTAATTCAACACGTCAGACTCACAATGTTGGGAGTTATCTTTAGCTTGTATTTAGGAAATACAAATTCCCCGCCGTTGTATTCGTCGTCCAGCTGGAAGTAGATGAAGACACACAGTAGAATAATGCAACACGGCACAAGGGGCTGAAATATTCTAACAAACAAAATATAAAATTTTAAAAGTAATGATTAAGCAGTTGTTGTTGTTGTTATTTGTTTAACGCCGCACTGAGCAATATTCCAGCTATGTGACGGCGGTCTGTAAATAATCGAGTCTGGACCAACCAATCCAGTGATTGACACCGTGAACATCGAGCTACGCACATGGGATATGATGACATACATTAACCAAGTTAAGCGCTGGAATATTGCTGAGTATGTCGTTTAACAAACAAACAAACATAAACAAACAAACAAATTAATTTAAAGAAATCACGACTGTTGATATGAACTGACTGAATATCTACACTAGTACAACCTTTATCTACTTACAAAGGTAAAGAAAGACCCAACGTGGGAGCCAAGATTCGGCAACTGGAATAAAAAGAGAAGTTCACTTGTCATCACATCTTCAATCTCCCCCTACAATGATTGAATTATCCCCTACTCGGAAGAACGCAACACTTTTTATGGATAAGTTGCTTTCCCTAAAAATGGTCATGTCAAAATTCAGCTTTTCATATTTGCACAATGTTGGATAGGGGTCATTGCCTCTGGTATCACTGCGTGGTGTGTTTGGAATGATGCCACTATTTACCAGGAGTGTGGCTGACGTGTGACTGGCAGCTGGTTGTCTTACACAAGAACTCACGGCCTCAGTACTCACGTTTTCTCGATCTTTAGGCCTGAAATACATGCCTTCCAGGCTGATCTGTCGGATCTAGAATACAGACACATCATATCACATCAGTATAAGGCAGCATAGCATAGCATAGCATAGCATAGCATAGCATAGCATAGCATAGCATAGCATAGCATAGCATAGCATAGCATAGCATAGCATAGCATAGCATAGCATAGCATAGCATTACGACGATACAATTCTTAATACATCCATTGAGCCAACACAAAAGTTCCCCCTACACATGTAATACATTATTGACTGTTCAGAGCTTAATACAACAAAGGTGACAGATGTTTGCTGTAGCTATAGCTAACAGTTCGTTTACAATAGATGTAGCTACAATGACGTTTTTTATTGTAGAATGATGTACCCATAACGGATTCTCATAGAAAGTGCTATATTGAATAGTTACTGTAGATATAGCTATAATGAATAGTTACTGTAGATATAGCTATAATGAATAGTTACTGTTGATATAGCTATAATGAATAGTTACTGTAGATATAGCTATAATGAATAGTTACTGTAGATATAGCTATAGAGACTGTTTACAGTAGAAGCAGCCGTGATTGTTAACTGTAGATGTAGCTGTGACTGTTTACTGGAGACATAGCTACAGAGAATGTTTACGGGAGATGTTGCTGTTACTGTTTACTGGAGACATAACTACAGAGAATGTTTACTGGGGATGTAGCTGTGACTGTTTACTGGAGATGTAGCTATAGAGAATGTTTACTGGAGTTGTAGCTGTGACTGTTTACTGAAGACATAGCTACAGAGAATGTTTACTGTAGGTGTAGCTGTGACTGTTTACTGGAGATGTAGCTATGGAGAATGTTCACAGGAGACATAGCTACAGATAATGTTTACTGTAGGTGTAGCTGTGAGCGTTGACTGGAGACATAGCTACAGATAATGTTTACTGTAGGTGTAGCTGTGACTGTTTACTGGAGATGTAGCTATGGAGAATGTTCACAGGAGACATAGCTACAGATAATGTTTACTGTAGGTGTAGCTGTGAGTGTTGACTGGAGACATAGCTACAGATAATGTTTACTGTAGGTGTAGCTGTGAGTATTGACTGGAGACATAGCTACAGATAATGTTTACTGTAGGTGTAGCTGTGAGTATTGACTGGAGACATAGCTACAGATAATGTTTACTGTAGGTGTAGCTGTGAGCGTTGACTGGAGACATAGCTACAGATAATGTTTACTGTAGGTGTAGCTGTGAGCGTTGACTGGAGACATAGCTACAGATAATGTTACCGTAGGTGTAGCTGTGAGCGTTGACTGGAGACATAGCTACAGATAATGTTTACTGTAGGTGTAGCTGTGAGCGTCGACTGGAGACATAGCTACAGATAATGTTTACTGTAGGTGTGGCTGTGAGCGTTGACTGGAGATGTAGCTATGGAGAATGTTTACTGTAGGTGTAGCTGTGAGCGTTGACTGGAGATGTAGCTATGGAGAATGTTTACTGTAGGTGTAGCTGTGAGCGTTGACTGGAGACATAGCTACAGATAATGTTTACTGTAGGTGTAGCTGTGAGCGTTGACTGGAGATGTAGCTATGGAGAATGTTTACTGTAGGTGTAGCTGTGAGCGTTGACTGGAGATGTAGCTATGGAGAATGTTTACTGTAGGTGTAGCTGTGAGCATTGACTGGAGACATAGCTACAGATAATGTTTACTGTAGGTGTAGCTGTGAGCGTTGACTGGAGATGTAGCTATGGAGAATGTTTACTGTAGGTGTAGCTGTGAGCGTTGACTGGAGACATAGCTACAGATAATGTTTACTGTAGGTGTAGCTGTGAGCGTTGACTGGAGATGTAGCTATGGAGAATGTTTACTGTAGGTGTAGCTGTGAGCGTTGACTGGAGATGTAGCTATGGAGAATGTTTACTGTAGGTGTAGCTGTGAGCGTTGACTGGAGACATAGCTACAGATAATGTTTACTGTAGGTGTAGCTGTGAGCGTTGACTGGAGACATAGCTACAGATAATGTTTACTGTAGGTGTAGCTGTGAGCGTTGACTGGAGATGTAGCTATGGAGAATGTTTACTGTAGGTGTAGCTGTGAGCGTTGACTGGAGACATAGCTACAGATAATGTTTACTGTAGGTGTAGCTGTGAGTGTTGACTGGAGATGTAGCTATAGAGAATGTTTACTGGAAATATAGCTATGGAGAATGGTCACAGGAGATATAGCTACAGAGACTGTTTACTGGAGATGTAGCTATAGAGACTGTTTACTGTAGATGTAGCTATAGAGACTGTTTACTGTAGATGTAGCTAGTCTGTATTTCCTGCTTGTCTCACCTCGACGCTTCCCTCCACAAAGGGCCATGTTAGCGGAGACTTGAGGTGCATGAATCTTGAAGCATACTGTTTATATGCATACGTAGGGAGCGGCCGAAACCTGAAATATACATTACATGCCACATCTTACAAAGTACCTACTGAGGAGACATGCATTGGGAGATCCAAGTATCAGGGCCCGTGCCACAAAGCGATCTTAGCGCTAAGGCGATCGTAACTCCCATACTTTAACATAGATGTACACTGATCTAAGATAGCTTTGTGGAACAGTGCCTGGTATCTGTTTTCCCCTATTATTCATTACTGAAGCACACGCGTTGTTAAGGCAGGGGGGGTGGATTATCCAACGTGCTTATTAGGTCGGATTATCCAACGTGCGTATAAGGTTGGATTATCCAACGTGCGTATTAGGTTGGATTATCCAACGTGCTTATTAGGTCGGATTATCCAACGTGCGTATAAGGTTGGATTATCAAACGTGCGTATTAGGTCGGATTATCCAACGTGCGTATAAGGTTGGATTATCCAACGTGCGTATTAGCTTGGATTATCCAACGAGCTTATTAGGTCGGATTATCCAACGTGCGTATTAGGTTGGATTATCCAACGTGCTTATTAGGTCGGATTATCCAACGTGCGTATTAGGTGTGTAATATCCGACTATGCGTTAGATCCAATTAAGCTCCGTTTTAGCTTTCATTAACTAGCCACAAATAAATAAATTGTCAACTCGTTGCGTAATGATTCACGTATAATTCTCCCATATATCATATATATTCCAGATGCTATTGAAAACACATCGGGACTTACATTATTTATACAGTATTGTTGAACACATTTAAATGTATCTTGGGTATATTTTTAAATGCAAGACATATGTAAAATCAAACATTATTCATGAGGGATTCTTTGACTGAAGTAATTGAAGTCATACGCGCATTCTGATTGGTTAGTCGCATTTTCGCACGTGACATTCATTGACAGGAGGACGAGTCTTCTTGCAGGTTACGGAAAGGGGCGAGTGGTGACGAATGAGGGCGGCTACTTACGTGAAGTCCGGGGACTGGTAGAGGTTCCTCGTTGCCATCTCGCGGTACTGAAACAGACCAGTTCCGGTACTTACAGAAAACATTTCAAAACCACCAGTACTTCCACTCAGTGTATGAAGAACACAAAGTAATTTCCAAAGTTAACAGGCCAGAGGGTTTCTTGATAAAAACATATTGCAAGCCCTTATCACATTTTACTGGCCCTACTTGTGTCTACAACCAACATAGTTGTGTGAACCTGTGTTTTGAGACCATTGCAATAAACAAGGTCGGGGCTGATTAGTTGCTTCGTACTATACGTTTTCCTGACGTTTGTGGTGGTTCTTAGACTTTCACACGCATCGCTAAAACCGCATGTACATGTATATCAGTCATAATCAGTCTACAGCAAAAACCCAGTTTGTTACTTCAGGTGGGTTTCCCATAAACTACGAAATGAAACAAAACAACAACAGACTTTGTCCTTAAATGACGCCTTAACTGACTTATTGATTACTAGATATAAAAATGTATTGACTCGAATTATCAACAAGACAATCGGATCAGCTTTACGGAAATGTTACTGGCCCAATTGAAAAGTCGTTTGGCATTTGACAAGTGGGCGGTAGCTATTTCGAATATAGTTTCACCATTCACACTGGTACCAAGCTCACTACTACTACTACTACTACTACTACTACTTTGCTTGTCAGCAATATTCAAGCTATATGACGACAATCCAGTGATTGATATTATGAGCATCCATCCACGCAATTGGGATACGATGACATGCATTTACTAAGTCAGCGAGCCTGACCACCCGATCTCGTTCGTCGCCTCATACGACAAGCATGGGTTGCTGAAGACTACTACTACTACTACTGCTGTTGCTGCTGCTGCTGCTGTCGCCGCCCCTTGGAAACTTCGGGTTGGAATTGGTTTCCAGCAAACCTAGGCTGGTCGTAAGAGCCGACTTAATGCAACGGGTGGTCAGTCTCGGTGACTTGGCCCGACGGCTCGATTCGTAGATCATAACATCAATCACTGGATTGTCTGACCGAAACACGATTATTTACAGGACACCGTCATACAGATAGAATACTGCCGAGTGCGGCGTTAAACCAACAAACTACTTCTGCCACTATTATCAACACTGCTACTACTACCATTGCTTCAGCAGCAACAACTACTACTACTACCACTACTATTACTATAACTACAGAAACAATTACTACTACCACTACTACAACAACGGCTACAGCCATTACTACAACAATATTAAAATTACTACAGCAACAACTACTACAACAACAACTACTACTACTACAACTACTACTACTACTAAAGCAACAATAATTACTACAACAACCACTACAACAGCAACTACTACCATTACTACTGCAACAACAACCGTTACTACCATTACTACTACTCCCACTACTACAACAACAACTACTACCATTACTACAGCAACAACAACTACTATTACTATTACTACAGCAAAAACAACAACTACTACCACAACTACTCCTTCTACTGCTACTATTACAATAGCAACAATACCTACTACAACCAAAACTACAACAACTACTACCGTTTCTACAGCAACAACCACTACTACTACCACTACTACTACTCCCACTGCGACATCAATAACAACTACTGGCACTACTCACGGCTTTTGTTGCAATTCTCTTCATTACTTTGAGGAACTGCGGCTGTATGGTTGAGTGGAATTCCACAATGGGTGGATCCATGTGATGGTACTCTGCCTTCTCAAACACCAGGAAGTAACGGGTGGGGAGCAGGACACAGTGTAGGCGGGACATCTGGGCGGAGCTCTGTGGGCAGACAGCGACACGTCAGCATAGCGATCGTTTTTGACGTATTCTTGAACATCTTCCATACTTTGAACATTCAGTAAATGTCTAAATATTACTTTATTTAGTTATACCAGTCAGACGGTGTGTGTTGGTCACATCGAAGGCTGGGATCGATTCCCGACTTGGGTACAATTTGTAAAGCCCATTCCGAGGCCAACTTGTACAAAGCAATCTCATCACTGAAGCTATTGTAGGTGTATGTTAAAGTATGGGACAGAAGATGGTCTTAATGCTAAGATCGCTTTGTGCAAGTGGGCCATGATGTCCCGTGTTCCGGAATATTGATAGAATAACGCAAAACTCATGTAACATGAACTGCCCATTAAAATCCTTTCAGTTCTCAGGCCAATCAATGTCGATTTTTCACTAAAAGCCACATGCACGCACGCACGCACGCACGCACGCACGCACGCACGCTCGCTCGCACACACACACACCACCCCTGGATATTGTGTCCATCTGTAGTGTCACCTTCCTCCTCTCTCCCCTGCAAGTCTCGTAGTATTTGACGTTCCGGGCGCCGAAGAGGACCTCCTTGCCCCTGGACTTGCTCCTCAGCCTCCCTGCGTAAAACCGACGGCTTCTTAGGGCACCTTTGTCTTCTGGATCTACAGCCAAGCCAAAGTACAACCGTACAGAAGAGTAACATTTCCAGGAAAAGTATTGTCATCTTGTACTGTGTACCAACATACTGTTACAGACAGAGGAGAACGATTAACTCAGAGGTCTTATCGTTCCATACCGTGATTCTGCTGCCGGACTGTAGTCCGCCATTTTAATTTAATGGGGACTGTGTTCCATTGTTTCGTGCAATTATTTGCCAAATCCTAGCCATTGTAATTAATACCTTATGTAAAACACAGACATTGTCCTCGCGCACTTAGGACAACCATTAACTGTTATATAATACATCATAAAATTACGAACTAGCAAACAAACAAAGTAGTATTTAAGGGACTTGAATTTAATTTGCCGGTACTGGCAAATAGCTTAAGACTATTCTGTTAAATATGTTGAACTGTCAAAGGGATGTTTTGGTCACGACAACACACGTGGCAGCTTTCTTACATCTCACAGATACGGTATATGTACAGAGGGCATCTTTCATTAGATAATAGCTACTTTACCCATTGAAAGAACTTTGTCTATCATTTGAACTGCCTCTTCCAGTTTATTCATCTGAAATAAAACGATATTTGGTTATAGTGCTGTCAACTCTTCGCCTTAGTTTCTGGTTTGAGAGTCATGATCTGGATGAACAATTTAGAAAAAAAATATACTGTAAACAAACAGAAAAAGGAAGTGAGTGATTATTGCTGAACGCCGCATCAGCCATCTTGGATCTATTCGCGGCGAACAAAATAAGCACCGTCGTGCATCGCAACATCATGTCAAATACTACTGATATAGTGAGTGTGTGAGTTGGGTTTAACGGCCATTTGAACAACTTGATGTGGGGATACAACGTGATTACGCAAGTCTTAGACGTTTACCACTTTGATGAAACCCACGATCAGTGACCTAGGTATGGTGCTGAAGATCCAAGGATCCTAATCAGGGGAATCAGATTCAGCGGATCCTGACATGACTAAGGGACACAGTTCTGCATAGCCGATTGCGAACACAACCTTGTCCCGATTCCCGACAACTGCTACAAGATAGATCCACTATGTACGAACCAATACCTCATAGTATGACGATGCAGCTATCTTGAACGCCTTCGGTGAATTGCAGTACTCGCTCCCGGGGTTTTTCTTGCATTCTTTAAGGACTCGCTCTACAACGTTCGTCGTGAACAGGAACTGACCCCCGCTGAACGCCCCCCAGGCCAAATCTATGAGGTCTTCAATGATCACTGGTTGCAGGGACTTCCGGCCTCTGATGACCCCGGCGTAGATGTCATCAAAAGTCATGTTCTCTGTGTACTGGATGTGGGCGATGCCAAGGGCAACTCGCATCAGGTCGTCTCTGGTCGGCATATTGTTGTTGATATTGGCCAATCTAGCCTTCAGCTGGGGGATATTCCCTGGAATTGTACAGACACGGACTACACATATGATTAAGACTGTGTTTTCATGCCATCACACATGTCTCTCTAAACAGTAGCGGATGAAAAGCAAACGAATTCCGACTACGCACATATAAGCTTGGACCATGGCCGCCTACATTCCTACACGGCTCCCTACAGCTACCCACATTCCTACACGGCTCCCTACAGCTACCCACATTCCTACACGGCTCCCTATAGCTACCCACATTTCTAACAAGGCTCCCTATAGCTACCCACATTCCTACACGGCTCCCTACAGCTGCCCACATTTCTACACGGCTCCCTATAGCTACCCACATTCCTACACGGCTCCCTATAGCTACCCACATTTCTACAGGGCTCCCTATGTCTACCCTCATTTCTGATACGGCTCCCTATAGCTACCCACATTCCTACACGGCTCCCTATAGCTACCCACATTCCTACACGGCTCCCTACAGCTACCCACATTTCTACAGGGCTCCCTACAGCTACCCACATTCCTACACGGCTCCCTATGTCTACCCTCATTTCTGATACGGCTCCCTATAGCTACCCACATTCCTACACGGCTCCCTATAGCTGCCCACATTCCTACACGGCTCCCTATAGCTGCCCACATTCCTCCACGGCTCCCTACAGCTGCCCACATTCCTACACGGCTCCCTACATCTGCCCACATTTCTACACGGCTCCCTACAGCTGCCCACATTCCTACACGGCTCCCTACAGCTGCCCACATTCCTACACGGCTCCCTACAGCTGCCCACATTCCTACACGGCTCCCTATAGCTCCCCACATTTCTACAGGGCTCCCTACAGCTACCCACATTCCTACACGGCTCCCTACAGCTGTCCACATTCCTACACGGCTCCCTATAGCTGCCCACATTCCTACACGGCTCCCTATAGCTACCCACATTCCTACACGGCTCACTATAGCTACCCACATTCCTACACGGCTTCCTACAGCTGCCCACATTCCTACACGGCTCCCTATAGCTACCAACATTTATACAGGGCTCCCTATAGCTGCCCACATTCCTACACGGCTCCCTATAGCTGCCCACATTCCTACACGGCTCCCTACAGCTACCCACATTTATACAGGGCTCCCTACAGCTACCCACATTCCTACACGGCTCCCTATGTCTACCCTCATTTTTAACACGGCTCCCTTTGTCTACCCTCATTTCTGATACGGTTCCCTATAGCTACCCACATTTCCGACATGGCTTCCTATAGCTACCCACATTTCTGACACGGCTCCCGATATATACCCACATTTCAAACACGGCTCCCTAAAGCTACCCACATTTCTGACACAGCTCCCTAAAGCTACCCGCATTTCTGACACATTTCCCTATAGCTACCCACATTTCTAACACGGCTCCCGATATCTACCCACATTTCTATCACGGCTCCCTAAAGCTACCCGCATTTCTGACACAGCTCCCTAAAGCTACCCGCATTTCTGACACAGCTCCCTAAAGCTACCCGCATTTCTGACACATTTCCCTATAGCTACCCACATTTCTAACACGGCTCCCGATATCTACCCACATTTCTATCACGGCTCCCTAAAGCTACCCGCATTTCTGACACAGCTCCCTAAAGCTTCCCGCATTTCTGACACGGCTCCCTATAGCTACCCACATTTCTAACACGGCTCCCTAAACCTACCCGCATTTCTGACACAGCTCCCTAAATCTACCCGCATTTCTGACACAGCTCCCTATGTCTACCCACATTTCTGACACGGCTCTCCGGTCCATATGATCTGTAGCGTGGACTTCCACTCTCTGCAGAGGCGCCTCGTCAGATGGAACACATTGATTGGGTGGCTCAGGTACTCGCTCATATTCGAGATGTTCCGGTGAATCACCTTGTTCTTCTCCACGGTTCTGGAACATGTCGACAAAATACCCCTCAGCACAAAAAAGTTAGGTGAGGTGAAACGGGACTTAACCTCGCGTCTAAATGCGTGCGTGCGTGCGTGCGTGTGTGTGTTTGTGTGTGGCTGCTTGTACTTGTCCGGACTAAAGCCGATTTCATAGAGGTAGCCCACTGAGATACGATGCCGCAGTTTAAAATGAATACTCCGCTCAAACACAGCAAACTGACTGTTGATGCATGTCATCGTATACCAATTGCGTGGATCGATGCTCATGGTGTCAATCACTTGACTGTCTTGTCCAGACTTGATAATTTACAGACCGCAGGCACTTAGTTTGAATAATGCTGAGAGCGGCGTTAAACAAAAAAAACAACAAAGAATACAAGCAAACAGAGTCATAGTACTTCAAGCAAAATTATTCAAGATTTCTACCTGATGAGATTTCGTAGTAACATTTGGTTTGTTTGTTGGTTTGGTTTCTTTCTTCAGTGAGCGAGTGATCGAGTGAGTTGTGTTGAACGCCGCTTTGAACAGTATTTCAGTTATATCACGGCGAGTCAGCTAAATGTTGGAGGGAATCCCGAAGTGATGCAGGTCTTAGACGTTTACCACTTTGGTGAAATCCACGAACACGGGTATGGTATAAATGATATCAATTTAACGAATTAAAAAAAGAAACGGAAACGGAACGGAAACTTTTATTTCTTAAATACTGTTATACTTCGAATGCTTTAATCGCAATATTGTCATGATTGTTATAACTGTACATGCGCGATGTTATTCACGCGTTATATCCGTCAACACGTGCGAGTTATTGTGATGGCATGTTGTGACTTGGTAACATCTGGCGCACAATGTGGCACGCAGGAAATAGAGGAGAGCATCGATTATCTCCCTTTACAGTAGCCACGCTCAATTTTACAGGCGATGCGTTGGCAGTGCTGTGTCCATTTCTATATTCATGACATCAGTACAATATAACGAATGCATGTCCATTAGATTCAGCTAGCATGTAAATACAGTTTTTAACATTCCGAATCAAGAAAGTTTAACGTGAATGTTACGTTGTTAGTGCCATCAAGGCATAGGTGTCATAATCAGGAGAAAATGATTCGTAAAAGAGCTGATTCAATTTTATTTGTAGGTTTATCAGTAAATAGTATATTTCTTTGATCAAATGCTTATGAAAATGTACTGATAAATCAGTCCCTGTTTCTACTGTATATAACTAACATGGACACCACTGATGAAATATTTATAGTTAGAACTTGATGAAATCGTTCGTTCCCATTGAAACTGAAACTGCCACCCTTCACACTGTGTTATTTTCTACACAATATATTATGGGATGAAGAGTGAGTGAATTGGGTTTTACGCCGCATTTTAGCATTTACCAGCCATATCAAGACGAAGGTCACAGTGAACGGCCTTCACACAACGACCCATGTGGACAATCGAACCCGGGTATAGGTGAGACAAGCTAACGCTTTAGCCACAACGTACCCAAACCGATGTAATAATGTAAGATGTAATAACAGACTCAAGCTATTGTATACCCATTGGTGTCCGGGAAATACGTGATAGAGTGGTTGGTGAACAGTCCAGACCCCGTTAATCGGACCTCCCATGTTCCACACGATCTTTGTGGGAACGCCCGAAACCAAGGGAACACCTCTCCATGCCGTAAATACAGAATTATGCTGATCAGGTTGATTTCACAAGGATCGGTGCAGTCCGGATTAACAAGGTTCCGCTGGACACTCGGAAAGACGGATTGAACCCATCTCTTCATAGATCAGTTCTTACTCCTTAGCTATGCTTCCATGATTTATGTAGCGTTATAAGCATGGACTCGCGGGTGGATATGGCGTAAAACATGTCCATTATTATTATCATTATTATCAACATGATGATGATGATGATGATTATTATTATTATTATTATTATTACTCACTTTTTCATTCCTCCGAGGTTATGGGGGTCCTCGCCTTGGTGGGCGAAATGTTCCTCACGAAGAAATACGTCAGAGAGCGCTATAACTTCAGATTCGATGTAAAAAAGCTTTTCCAAATTTGACATAGAAGTAAATTTGCCCCTGTTTGCACAACAGACAGCCCCGAGGGCAAACACAACCAGCAAACACCTCAATGTCGACGCCATTTCTGGTTATGTCTCTATGCTGGAACGTAAGGTATCAGATGTTGGCATGTTATGGTGACGTAGTGCACACGAGCTTGGAGCACGTGGCGCGTGAGTTGGCCGCACAGATGGTGTCACCATTGTTGGTGGGTTATTGGAAGTCGATTTTCCAAGTACTCTACACACAACATTGTTATAGACCTATAGACGTGTCGAAATGAAAAAGAGTTGTCCCCCTTCCGTTTGGACAACGGAAGGTTGAACGAAGATCACTGCAGATATCCGAATATTTACTCCTAACCATCTGGTTTATTTGCATTCTTGAACTGGCTTTAAGACAGGAGGGATGTTTTATCGATTGTAGTTTCTTCATCTGGAACTGTACAGGTGTCAAATGTCTCAACGTGTTACAGCGATAAAGGATATTGTGTTGTTATTTCATCTATATTTTGGGCGTGAGTCAGGGTAACGGTCGCATTGAGACGCTCAGTCACCGTGTCACTTCAATGCGGGGTAAGCCCAAAAGGAGCTCGAGTAGATCGTAAATGTTTTCCATCTTCCTGACACCCAGGGGCACGGGCATTATGTTGACAAACCAAGGATGATAATCAGGGCGAAGTCGGTATCCGAACTCCAAATCACTGGATCATTGTGGACTAAGGGACGCAACTCTGCATTGAGACTTGCGATGCCTTAAAGTGCCAGCGAATCTTGGTATTACATATCAACTTGACTTTGAATTGCGTGTTAAGAGGCCTTAACCCTCAGGACCACCCGTGTATTCTCCATATCATATTGATATTGGTGATCTTAATAAATTGACATAAATTAATATATTTATCTTTCATGCATGAGGGAAAAATTGTATTTTTACGAATATTTTTACATTCGATGTATGTATGTGTGTGTGTGTGTGTGTGTGTGTGTGTGTGTGTGTGCGTACGTGTTTTACACCTAAAATTTACACCAAAAAGCACATTTGTGTATAAGTAAACTTCAATTTACCATCTATGCAGTAAATTATTAATTCAAACTCTACACGGACGAACGTAATATATTCATTGCCTAATTTGAAAATCGGAATCCTTACGTGGTCGATGGTTTTGTGACGAAAGCAAACCGCGTTTACACAATTAGTTTCATTACAATGATAGAACGCCTCGCGTTAAAATATTAAAAAATAAATAACCATCGCATTCTACGAATGAACATGTAAAAACACATAAAAGTAATATTATCGATTCGTTTTAATGTAAATATTTCATTTGGCATTTCGTTTCTTGCATGGAAGTCGAAAATGTTATAGATAGATAGATAGATAGATAGATAGATAGATAGATAGATATGAACGATCCCAAAATGCAGGAAAATAGCGTTTAAGAGCATCTAATTTGTAACATTTTCTGGGGGAGCATGCTTTTAACACACACACACACACACACACACACACACACACACACACCAGCCCCACCCACCCTCACGGGCCTCACATATTGTACCCATATGGGGATACGAACCAGGTCTTCGGCGTGACGAGCGAACGCTAAACCACCATCGCCCTGTATATAGCTATAATATAATAATAATAATAATAATAATAATAATAATAATAATAATATGCGGTAAATGTTTACGAAACTGCCCACCAACAGGTTTAAGTAATGCTCACGAATCACACAGGACACAAAGTAGTTCCCCTTTCCCTGTGTGGACAGAATGTGAAACAGCGCTAAAGAAACTGAAAGCGTTACTAAATTAATGTAATGTATGCTCACAGCGTCGAATAGCTGATGTCCAAACACATAAAACACACAATAGCACCAACACTGTTCATCCACCCAATACAAGCACAAACGTTTCTTTAATAAACACAAATATACCCTGAATACGCACATGTAAGGAGAGTGAGATGGATTTTACGCCGCTTTTAGCAATATTTCAGCAAAATCACGACGGGGCTCATTCGAAAAGGGTTTCATATATACCTATGTGGGGAATCAAACCCGGGCCTTCGGAGTGACGAGTGAACGCTTTAACCACTAGGCTACCCCACCACCCCTATGTATATGTACACCCAGAATTCCTTCTGAAATTAAATAGATTTGCAACTACTCAATTTCAAGATTCTTAATCACGTGTTTGAATTACGCAGCAAGTCCGTTTCAACATACTGCTAACAATCCTGTCCCAACCATTAAAACTCCAACGAAACATTCTCATTAAGAATGAATGAATGAATGAATACTCTTTATTTCCCCCAATGATTTGGAGAGTAGTACATACAATTACATTACATTATTTGACAACTGCAATGACAAAATACATGTAAGTACAACAGATTGAGCTGGGTAAGCAGTAATGAAGTGATGCGTGAAACTATATTTACATGATGTGTGACATAGCTTCACAAATACAATATGGATGTTAAGTTCCATGAGCTGACATGTTTAGCCACGACACTCATGAATGTTGCCCAGCTGTCAAGTGCTATGTCTTGGACCACATCTGTAATAGCACCGAGGTATGTCAGAATCTTGACTGCATCACTAGACGTCACAGACAGTCTATTCTGTTAGCGTGTTGAGACCTGGCCTATTAAGAAACACAACGAGTACTCTCTCGACTTTCCGACTGGCAGTCAGAACAGTCACGTATAATATATCAGCGGTAATGAGACCCATAACACAGACATCACATACATAATACTCTACTTCATGTTCAATGTTTTAATATTTTGGATTATTTTTTTATTTATTCCCTGATGTCATCCAATGTCTTTTGTACTGTGGCCCTTAAATATCTGTGTAAAAAAAATGATTTATGATGTACTCGTACATATTGTTGACATCTAATTACATTATGTGAGTGAGTGAGGTTGGTTTAACGCCGCTTTTAACAGTATTCCGATTATATCGCGGCGTGTCAGCTTAATGTCGAATGAAAGCCTAAAATGATGCAGGTCTCAGACGTTTACCACTTCGGTGAAACCCACGAGCACGGTTTAGTGCTGACAAACCAAGAAACATAATCGGGGCGAAGCGGGATTCGAACCCACAATCATAGGTTTCTGGCGTGCCCTAGAGACGCAACTCTGCGGCGCCTTAGACGACTGGGCCACCCGTGCCCCCTAATTAAATTATGCTTTGCTCGGTCAGAATGGGCCAACATTGTCTTATAGACAGCAAACCCTCGCTAATCCGGAAAACCAGCTCCGAGTTTATTACTCGGCGTCTAAGCTAATACAAAAGGATATATTATACCTTAACTATTATCCGATAATCCGAAAAGTAGTTAATCCAGGCGATTTCACGATTGGGGACGATCGGATTAACAAGGTTTAAATGTATTTAAAAACATATACTAGATTAAATGTCACGTCTGAACAAACTCCATACCCAACACTCTATTTATTAACTATTTTTGAAGTATTCTTTAATACTGAATCGACATCGACGAAATTGAAATATGCAGCTTATCAGCGAGAATATATGATAATATGCTAATTTCATAATCATATGTTAAAACGCTGTATTTTAAATATTAAGTTTAGCTTTTGTTCCATGATTTACGGGTATGTTATACGGGCCCATTTTTCAGATAATGTATGACAACTTAAGTTGTGATGTAGGAACACTACATGTGCCTTGTATACGCCAGACAAATATGTTACAGTAAATGGGCTTTTCTAGAAAGGGGGCGTGGCTCTGGCGAGTAAACAAGTCAGAATGTCAGCGTGACAAATGTGACCTTTGTTAGCACGTGAAACGTCGTCACATCATTTGTCACGACCGTGATCTGGTTGGCGTATGTGCGTGGCAGGGTTATGGTTATACGACCCGGGCAGCATAACCGTATGAAACACCTTTTACAGCATACGACATACTCGAGGAAATACATAAACATGATATATTAATCAGAGACAAGGTCGTGGGTATTTCCTTGCAATTGTGTGGGACTAGACAATGACAAAGTACATGTCAACATATGTTGATTGCGATGTCCTGCGTAAACAATGCATCTGGACGTCACTGAGTTGAAACTATTCTATCAATTTAACGTAAACTGTTGCATTAAAGCTACTCTTTGACTATTCTACCAATTTAACGTAAACTGTTGCATTAAAGCTACTCCTTGACTATTCTATCAATTTAACGTAAACTGTTGCTTTAAAGCCACTCCTTGACTATTCTATCAATTTAACGTAAACTGTTGCATTAAAGCTACTCCTTGACTATTCTATCAATTTAACGTAAACTGTTGCATTAAAGCTTCTCCTTGACTATTCTACCAATTTAACGTAAACTGTTGCATTAAAGCTACTCCTTGACTATTCTACCAATTTAACGTAAACTGTTGCATTAAAGCTACTCCTTGACTATTCTACCAATTTAACGTAAACTGTTGCATTAAAGCTACTCCTTGACTATTCTACCAATTTAACGTAAACTGTTGCATTAAAGCTACTCCTTGACTATTCTACCAATTTAACGTAAACTGTTGCATTAAAGCTACTCCTTGACTATTCTATCAATTTAACGTAAACTGTTGCATTAAAGCTACTCCTTGACTATTCTACCAATTTAACGTAAACTGTTGCATTAAAGCTACTCTTTGAGTTGTATTATTGGCATGACCCTCGCCTGAGCGTGTTACGTCCCCACACGTCCGTTCATTACTGCCCTCGTCTAAAGTTAAAGGTAGACTGACCTCAGTTTATGATTCTTATCTGAGTCTATTATGTCCTTACATCTCAGTTTATTATGTCCTTACATCTCAGTTTATTGTGTCCTTACATCTCAGTTGATTGTGTCCTTACATCTCAGTTTGTTGTGTCCTTGCATATCAGTTTATTGTATCCTTACATCTCAGTTTATTATGTCCTTACATCACAGTTTATTGTGTCCTTGCATCTCAGTTTATTGTGTCCTTGCATCTCAGTTTATGTCCTAACATATCAGTTTATTGTATCCTTACATCTCAGTTTATTATGTCCTTACATCTCAGTTTATTGTGTCCTTACATCTCAGTTTATTGTGTCCTTACATCTCAGTTTATTGTGTCCTAACATCTCAGTTTATTGTGTCCTTACATCTCAGTGTATGTCCTAACATCTCAGTTTATTGTATCCTTACATCTCAGTTTATTATGTCCTTACATCTCAGTTTATTGTGTCCTTACATCTCAGTTTATTGTGTCCTAACATCTCAGTTTATTGTGTCCTTACATCTCAGTTTATTGTGTCCTAACATCTCAGTTTATTGTGTCCTTACATCTCGCAGTTTGTTGTGTCCTTACATCTCAGTTTATTATGTCCTTAGATCACAGTTTATTATGTCCTTACATCTCAGTTTATTATGTCCTTACATCTCAGTTTATTATGTCCTTACATCTCAGTTTATTATGTCCTTAGATTTCAGTTTATTATGTCCTTACATCTCATTTTATTATGTCCTTACATCTCAGTTTATTATGTCCTAATATCTCAATTTATTATGTCCAACAAGTTCAGTACATTTCAGTACGCTGGTGTCATTAACGTAATTTGTCATGTTCTGTAAGGCCTTGTAGCGTTGACAGATGATGTCAATATAGGTAAACATATGTTTTTTATTATTAAATGGAAATGTATATGTTTTTTATTTAATCGACATATTGTCATCTGTAATAAGAGGGCCCTGGTAGAGCAGCTCGACAACTGAGGATGTTTTTGTAAATAACACGATTATTCTTTCTTCATGGATACGTTTCGTAAAAAAATAACCATTAAATACCGTGTTCGATGGTTTTCATATCTACAAAGCTCATCGCGTCGCCCTTTTTTTGTCAACGTTTATTACAAGATTGATTAAAGCCGGTTACAAATGAACTGCATCACCAGATCAAAGACCCTACTATGAAATGTGCCGTGCCTAGTAGTTAGGCATATATATGTGCACCGCTGCAGCCCGGCGGCTGTTCCTAGTTCCACCCTTGTACAGCTAGATTCATCACTGCAGACAGACGTACGTAGACAACGGTCGTCCGAAAAAGGTATGTCTGTCTATATGTGTGGGTTTTTCAAAAAGTCGAAGATGTTGGTTAGCCGTTGTAGAGTATGTAACGCCTGAGACTCCTAAGATTTGAAGTATAACATAGCCTATACGTAAACAACAACAGCCAGTATGTGGGCGAGGAGAGGTGTAATGGGGCTTAACCCCGTGGAGGGCAGAGACATCCAGCGATGGATGTCCCTCCTCTCAACCCTCACTTGGAAGTTGAATAAAACTCCTAATACATCATGCGCGCGTACAGAGAGAGAGAGAGAGAGTGAGAGAGAGAGAGAGAGATAGATAGAGAGAGATAGATAGAGAGAGAGAGATAGAGAGAGAGAGATAGAGAGAGAGAGAGATAGAGAGAGAGAGAGATAGAGAGAGAGAGAGATAGAGAGAGATAGATAGAGAGAGAGATATATAGATAGAGAGAGATAGAGGATAGATAGAAAAGAGAGAGAGATTGATAGAGAGAGATAGATAGATAGAGAGATAGAGAGAGATAGAGAGAGAGAGAAAGAGAGAGAGAGAAAGAGAGAGAGAGAGAGAGAGAGAGAGAGAGACGTTTGGATGGATATTCTGTTCTGTGAGGTATGCATGCACTGACTAGCCATATAAGTGAAAATGCTGGCATTCAAAGTTTGCTAGTTTTGCTATGGAAGCACCCGAATGTGCCCAGTAAAGTCAAAGTAAGCGCCCTTATTTTAGATATAGATGTCTAATCATTCATTCAATCATTAGTAAGTACATATCCTGACGAAGATGGAGATATGAGATTAATGTTAAAGCATCATTCACTGAGAACTGCCCGTGGGTTTAATTTAACGGTTAAAATGAAATTGACGGAAGTTGTCGTGATTAGTTTATGAGCGGACCGTGTCAAAGATGGTGACATGGATACCCTACTCAGACAAAATATTCTAACTCCGAGCCGACCGGTCCTTGTTTCATCCCCTTGCCCTCATGGTGCCTGGCCGTTAGCTGGCTTTGCATACCGCTTAGTGACGCACTGTGGTGACGTCGCGGTTTCAAAAACGTACACATTGTATCAAAAGTGTTACAACGTTCTTATTTCTTCAAACATTGTAACCAAATTGTATAACGTGCAACTCGAGTTGGTTGTCGTTCCAACAGTATCTGTGGGCACGGGTGGCCCAGTCGTCTAAGGCGCCGCGATTCGCTGTGCAGAGTTGCGTCCCTTGGGCATGCCAGAAACCTGATCGTGGGTTCGAATCCCGGTTCGCCCCGATTATGTTTCTAGGTTTGTCAGCACCATACCCGTGCTCGTGGGTTTCACAGAAGTGGTAAACGTCTGAGACCTGCATCACTTCGAGCTTTCCTCCCACATTAAGCTGACATGCCGTGATATAACTGGAATACTGTTAAAAGCGGCGTTTAACCCAACTCACTCACTCCAACAGTATCTACATGTACATTTACACATAAAAAAGCACATTTGTGTATAAGTAAACTTCAAATTACCATCTATGCAGTAAATTATTAATTCAAACTCTACACGGACGAACGTAATATATGTATTGTCTAATTTGAAAATCGGAATCCTCACGCACTTTAGGATTTTCGTGGTCGATGGTTTTGTGACGAAAGCAAACCGCGTTTACACAATTAGTTTCATTATAATGATAGATCGGCTCGCGTTAAAATATGGAAAAATTAATAACCATCACATTCTACGAACGAACATGTAAAAACACATAAAAGTAATATTATCGATTCGTTTTAATGTTAACATTTCATTTGGCATCATAGATGTTTCTTGCATGGAAGTCGAAAATGTTTTGGTGAATATATTTATAGATACTTAGTGTAATAATAAAAAAATATTAATATTTGTTGCAAATAAAATCTGACGAACGGTCCCAAAATGCATGAAATAGCGTTTAAGAGCATCTAATTTGTAACATTTTCTAGGGGTTTCATATATACCTACATCTCAGTTTATTATGTACTTTGTTCTCTGTTTATTGTGTCCTTACATCTCAGTTGATTACTTCCCACAAGTTCAGTACATATCAGTACACTGGTGTCATTAACGCAATGTGTCATGTTCTGTAAGGCCTTGTAGCGTTGACAGATGATGTCAATATAGGTAAACATATATTATTTTTTTATTAAATGGAAATGTATATGTTTTTTATTTAATCGAAATATTGTCATCTGTAATGAGAGGGCCCTGGTAGAGCAGCTCGACAACTGAGGACGTTTTTTTTGTAATTAACACGAATATTCTTTCTTCATGGATACGTTTCGTCAAAAAATAACCAATAAATACTGTGTTCGATGGTTTTCATATCTACAAAGCGCATAGCTTCGCCCTTTTTCTGTCAACTTTTATTACAAGATTGATTAAAGCCGGTTACAAATGAACTACATCACCAGATCAAAGACCCTACTATGAAATGTGCCGTGCCCAGAAGTTAGGCATATATATGTGCACCGCTGCAGCCCGGCGGCTGTTCCTAGTTCCACCCTTGTACAGCTAGACTCTATATTCATCACTGCAGACAGACATAGACAACGGTCGTCCGAAAAAGGTATGTCTGTCTATATGTGTTGGTTTTTCAAAAAGTCGAAGATGTTGGTTAGCCGTCGTAGAGTATGTAACGCCTGAGACTCCTAAGATTTGAAGTTTAACATAGCCTATACGTAAACAACAACAGCCAGTATGTGGGCGAGGAGAGGTGTAATGGGGCTTAACCCCGTGGAGGGCAGAGACATCCAGCGATGGATGTCCCTCCTCTCAACCCTCACTTGGAAGTTGAATTAAACTCCTAATACATCATGCGCGCGTACAGAGAGAGAGAGAGAGAGAGAGAGAGAGAGAGAGAGAGAGAGAGAGAGAGAGAGAGAGAGAGAGAGACGTTTGGATATTCTGTTCTGTGAGGTATGCATGCACTGACTAGCCATATAAGTGAAAATGCTGGCATTCAAAGTTTGCTAGTTTTACTATGGAAGCACCCGAATGTGCCCAGTAAAGTCAAGTAAGCGCCCTTATTTTAGATATAGATGTCTAATCATTCATATCATTAGTAAGTACATATCCTGACGAAGATGGAGATATGAGATTAATGTCAAAGCATCATTCACTGAGAACTGCCGGTGGGTTTAATTTAACAGTCAAAATGAAATTGACGGAAGTTGTCGTGATTAGTTTATGAGCAGACCCTGTCAAAGATGGTGACATGGATACCCTACTCAGACAAAATATTCTGACTCCGAGCCGACCGGTCCTTGTTTCACCCCCTTGCCCTCGTGGTGCCTGGCCGTTAGCTGGCTTTGCATACCGCATAGTGCCGCACTATGATGACGTCGCGGTTTTAAAAACGTATACATTGTATCAAGTGTTACAACGTTCTTATTTCTTCACACAGTGTAACCAAATTTTATAACATGCAACTCGAGTTGGTTGTCTTTCCAACATTATCTATAGGGTTGGCCCAGTCGTCTAAAGGGGCATTCACACAGTCTAAAGTGGCATTATGTCCTTATCACTGCAACAGCTCCACAACCCCTCCACCCCCCAGCAACGCACACCAAAACCCCAACAGACCATGACCCACCTCCACCCATAATTCTCAAATGGTCGGCCCCTATTTTGAAACGCGCACCTGATGCAATCTTTAGCTGTCAATGTTCCGCCAATTAAACGTTAAAATCCAAATGTAAGACAAGTAGTTGTCCACACATGAGTTATACATTAATAAAAATATAACGTGGCGAATTTCTACGGAAGCCTTTTAGGGCCATTTGTTTTTTTCGTTTTTTTTTCGTTAGTATCTTGAAATTTCAACTTAGTATCTTGAAATTTCAACTTAGTATCTTGAAATTTCAAGATAGTATCTTGAAATTTCAACTTAGTATCTTGAAATTTGAACTTAGTATCTTGAAATTTTAAGATAGTATCGAAATACTTAAAAAACCCAAATGGCCCTAAAAGGCTTCCGTAAATTTCCTTCAGGTCTACATTTACTTTAACTTAAGAAATGAAGTGCCTGTTTTATTTAACCTATCTATATAAATTTGCCACAATGAATATTTCACAATTCTCCAAAGGAAATATGTATATGCTGCAGTGTTACATTTACAAAGCATCTTATGGGAAGGATAACACGCTGAATGTCTATGATCAAACAAACAGCTGATTATTATGAGTTTCATAAATTCTATGGCATTTTAGAATCTGATGATATTAGTAACAGTACTGCATACATGTATCCATTTTGCAGCAGTGCATTATTTTGCTGGGTGAAACGATATTGAAGAGATATCCAAATTATAATTCAAGAATGAAACAGTAAACTACTTCATGAACTGAATGCGTTGTGTACTAGTTCACCTGCACCTCAAAGAAAATAACAAATATGTACAACGATGTTAATGCTGATGTATACTTATATGACATCACTACCGGTAACCTCCCGTCATAACGTAGCGAGTTCACGAGCAGTACGCGGAATGTTTGGAGTAGGTTTTATAGTGATGCTGGGATCACATACATACATAAATGAGTCATGTAAGTTAAGTAATCAGAATCAATCTGAAATCAACAAGTTCTGTTTGTTTTTATGTTTCCATTCTCGCCTTGATACTACGTGGAAAGGCAGACCAATACCGTCGTCAGTGTGCGTGATTTTGCGTCAACCATGGCGGCACGTTGAACGATTTCTGTTGACTTTTTCCAAATAAGTATCTGCATGGACTCTAATTATTAATTCCTCAATTCCTGCAACGATTATCGACCCATGCATATTCGTAATAAACTGAGCTAATGTATGCAACAAATTGACGACCGAATCTCTCGGAATAGTAAAATAGCAAAATGGCATTTTTTTTCGTTGTACACTATTTTCAGATGTCGTTAGTGATACATATGCTTTGGCTAAAATAGTTGTTAATGGCATCATATTATAGATACTTTCCCACAGAATCTAAAACTGTGACGTGTATTTGTGTGTATGATGTATTTTAAGTTTTAGAAAC